ATCGAGAAGAGTTAAAATCTTAATAATGATGCTTTTTGCAATATTTATAATCAATGTTTAAACATTTTCCCAAGAATGTCACTTATTTTCCCTTCAAAATCACAACTAGGTTCGAGTACCATTTTATGAAATGAGTCGACCCAAGTGCTGCCTCCTTAATAAGCCTTTGTATTATTATTGAAAATGAAACCTAAAATGGAGTTCCGAAGCAATGAACACATCCCACTATGCATAATACACAATTCACTAGTTCGAATCCGCAAAACGCCATAAATAGGACAAACAGAACTTTCCAAAGTGTACTTCCAATGCTTTTGAAGACTACAGAATATGAAATATAACTGTTACTTTTTGATGTGATATCACAAGTTCTAGCACAATTATGCAAAAATGAGTAGTAACTGAACCACTATGGGCAACAAAGAATGCACATCACAATTTTGATGGGCTAAATGAATATTAGAAAGTTATACATCTGCCATGGATATTAGTTTGATAAAGATTTTATTAATTGTTAATTTTTTGTTTTTTACCAATTAAATACATTTTATTGTATAAATTTATAGTTGAGAAGCTTTAAATTTCAGTAATATAATTTTTAACAACACATGATTAAAAAAAACAAAAATAGGATGAATAGATGAAATTCATCAATCACATTAAGAAGCCATGTCTTTAGATACAAGTATTTCATCATTTTTTACTTCTGTAAATTGTTTGGAAACAGAAACAATTCCTTTTTATTTCATACCTAATTATTTTAATATTTTGTCAGTTGCATAAATCAAAGGAGTGAAATTGTGTTGGTTCACAATATTAAGGCTCCCGCCATTGTTTAACAACAAGTATATCACCTAAGGGAAATTAATTATATTACATCTATTTTATTTGATTTGATCGCCATGTGCATCGGTGTCCCATCGCTGCATAATACATTAGGATTAGCCCCATGTTTTAACATAAAATCAATTAAAATATTGTTTCCATGCATAGAAGCATAATACAGAGCTGTATTTCCATCTTGATCCATAACATCTATGTCATCTTGTGTATAATAGAACCCTGATTTTAGGATATGATTTGGTTAATTCAATTTAGAATATCTAAGAAGTCTTTCATGTTTAACAAGAAGAACCTTGACCTTTGATAAATTTTATGTAGTTACTAATCTACCTTATCTCCCAAATCCAATTGAAGATGGTTCTGCAGTCTCCTCAGTTTTTAATTTTGTTCTCATAGACTTTGTTAAGGAAATTTCTGATTTTACTCTATTACTTGAAGTTTTAATTCTGATTTGAGGTTTGTTAATTAATTAAATTGTCATTTCTTTGACATTTGTTTAGAACTCCTTTTCTGAATTCAATCTTGTTAATTTTTCTGAGTAAATTCGAAGTTTGTTTTGAAAAAATAATTCCTTATAATTTTTTAATTTTTTGTAAGCAATTCTTTTTCTGATTGCTCTTTAAATCATAATGATTGAGCTTAATTCTTTTTCACTCAGTTTAGGAGGTTCATTAGGATTTAAAGGATCGAAAATTGGATCTTGCCTTAAAGCCTTATTCGGGCCTGATGAGTAAAACTTTTAGAAGTTTTCTTTTTTATTCCTATCGATTGATAATACTCCTAATCTGTATTCATTTTCTTTTTGCCTTTGTATCTTAATTCTTTCAGCTAATCTTTGACCTTCAGCACTTTCCCAATCGTCTGCAGTCATCCCATGAGTAGGAACAAATCCTACTTTAGAAGATGGATGGTATCTTCTACGTTTATCTTCTTCATGGTTGTATGGCAATGAGAGCGCTTTTAATCTTTCCTTATGAAGTCTCAATTTTTCCTATTCGGCTAGTGTTTCCTTTGCAAATATATTACTTTTTTCCAATTTAATAAATCTGAGATACTCTACTTTCTATATTATCTTTCTGACAAAAATCAGAGCGAAAAAGTTTCTATATACTTAATCTTTTATGGATATATTCTCTTCTAACTTTTTGCAAATTCTTTGAAGTTTCTTGACTTTTCTGTCGTGATCTTTTACTTATTTGTTATGTTACATTTATTCTTAGAGTTATTTGTCATGTTGTTTGATTTGAGCTTTTCTTTTTGTTATTTATTCCTTTAACCAAAATGATCTAGCTTATTGAATTTAGCAATTGAGTGACTAGTGATTCTAAATAATCTGTTAAGCTAAGTAATTTTCTAAGTCATAGATTTGTTTTTCTTTGATGTGCATCACTACTTTCTTGACTTACTTTTAATCAACACATTTATTTAGTAATTCTGATGTATTTGCTAGAAATTTCATTTCCTGTGGTGTTAACCAGTCTCCATTCATATATTTTTACATTTTGACTTCCCTTTATAAATATACAGGATCATCGATTTTGACTTGATCAAATATTTGCATAAAGGCTACTTGATTGAAATTACTAGAATTGATTGCTGAGTTGTAAGTGTATTAAGCTTTTAATCTTTCCTTTTAAAATTTAGCTTCCAATATTGGATTCCACTATAATAAATCTTGGTTGCTTTGTGAATAGAAATTATTATTTTTAACAATTTACGAAGTTTAAATGGTTTCTATACCTTTTAGGTTTACCTTTTTATTTTTGCTAATAGCTTCTGCAATTTTAATTTGATTTTCATATTCATTTATTTTTTCCATAAGCATTTCTCTTAATTTCTTTTAGAGGACCTAATATTTGCTTTTTAAGGTCAGCCATTTAAATAAATCATTTTGTTATTTACGATTTTTCATTATCGTGAGTGTAAATTACTTGTCAATCGATTAGAGTTATTTATCCTTCTTCGCAATTTTGAGAACCCATTCACTCATCAATGAATCACATTTGCTTTAGAAACTATTTAACAGGTATGCTTGTCTTTCCTCTGCAGTTTTCATATTACACAAAGTAACAGCTGAGACATTAAAAGATTGCAAAATCTTTTAGGCAGTACCAAAATGATCATACGTAGGTACTTGATTCTAAAATTTGTGTTTTAAGGTATCAATTATTAAACTAGACATGAGTGAATTTTGTAAAAACTAAATTACATTATTAAGAATACATCTCCATATCTATTGACTAAAAAGTTTACATCATTTGTTAAAGTTTGTGTAGATGCTTATTATTTCACTTCTTGTTTATGGAAGTATCGATCAACAAAAAATTTGTAAAATTCTTCATTTTTTTGATTAATCTCCTTCTCTGGTTTTGGTTCTAATTCTATAATTTCATCGGCTCGAGATTGATTTTCTCCATCATAAGAAGATTACTCAACCATTTGACTGTCCTTAATAGTTTTCTTTTTGTATTGATTAAATGCCAATCTTCTCTATTTACCCTTCTCAACTGTTACTAATTTTATTGTTTCATTTTGTGCTTCATTCAAGAATTCATTGAATCTCTATTCTATTTATTCTTCAGTTTCCAAATCAAATTATTATAAAGGTCTTTTTGTTACAGGAAACCTTGATTATTGTTATACTCTTTATTTTTTCATAATTTAATAATAAACATCAATTGTGTCTCTTTACAATGTCTTTGAGTTTCGAATCTGATTTTTTGAAGTAAGTACATTGAATTCTTTAAGATAATGTCCTTATTTTTAGATTATCTGGAGATTTATATCTACTAGTTAAAGCAACTAATTTATTCACAGGTTTCTTATCAATTGCTTCTGAAGAATTTAGAAGACTTGATGCTCCTATTTAGCTTATTCTAGAGACTCTTGGATAATAAAACTTTTTTGTATCAATTTATTGCAGCTATTGCTAATTTTATAAAAATGGTTCAGTTTTCAATCTTTATCCAATCACAGGAGTTTGTATATCTTTTGGTTCAAAAATCTTCAATCCCTGAAGCTTCGAAGTAAAATCAGAGAGAGTTTGAGGAGATGATTAAAATGCTTATTATTATTGTTTGATCGGTTGAGAATTTACTAACTTTGATAACACGCTTTTCACATGTACCATTTAAAGGATGTGAGTGATGGGCTTAAATTTTGTCCTTGTCTTACTTACATTCATAGGAGTATGGCTGAGGATATAATTTATAGATACATAGATGGATTCCCACTAGAACGAAGAAGTGTTTCCAAATTGGTTGGAGTTTTATCCTATTCCGAATGCTTGATTTTGATGATCTTATCAAGTGGAAATTGATCATTGTCTTATTTTGAGAGTAATTTCTTGTGAATCTTGCCTCCGCAATCTGTGCAATGACAACTTTAATTGAGAACTTTATTATCCGAGACGACTTGTTTCTTTTCACTAAAGGATAAACTTGGCTTCATTTTAGTATATGTTCTTGAGAACGAGTAGACTTTATATTAGCTTCCATGTTTGTAAGTTCTTTTACGAAGTGGCTAATTAGGTCTGGAATGATAATACGATGTTAATGATTATATATCAAATATATTCATAATTATTGTAAAATGTTTTAAGAGCATCAAGATCAGATAATTAATATTTCAATTCCTCAGATGTAAATTTAGATTTCACCTTTTTTACTTTGACTTTAAAGTTCATTTACTCTTGAGTTACTTCTCGTAAGTCAAAGAGATTGTAATTCTTTAATTGAATTATCTCCTCCTCCAAATCTACATTTAATTGAAGCTTCATCCTATACTTAATTTCATTCACTTTCCGTATTAAATCCTGCATATCAATTTCCAAATCAATTGGATTTTATCTTAACAAGACCATCAATCCGATTATGATTAATTATTAATTGAAAGCCAAAGTTTCAACAACTCCTTTCATCTCAGAATCGACTCTATTCAAATTTATTTCCTGATTCTCTGTCGAACCCTCCTCAGCATTTCTAATTATTCTACTCAAAACTTCTTGGATTTATCTCATGTCTCCTCCTTTTTGGTTGTAAGTCTTTGATATTGTTAACTTAACAGCATCTGGATCTATTTATCTTAAATGTTAATTGTAGCAATTACATTGAATCTTTTGTGGTAAGGATGTCTTTAACCAATTCCTATACTTAATTCAAAGTGTAAGGCTCAAAAATGATGTTCTAATAAGGAGGTAATTTTATTGAACATTTATTTGATTTCAAATTTAAGGATTCAATATTATTACATATTCCTATGAGATGTACATATTTAGATAATTAAAATATTTAGAAGGCTTCAACTTCGTTTACTTTAAATAGGTTTTCAAATTCATCGAATATTATGATCCTAAATTCATTAAAATGTATGATACTGTTTGATTGATGTTTACTTTTGTAATTTTTTCTCAAAGTCTCGATGAGTAATAACATTACGATATTGTAATTTTTTTGATAGATATAAAATAACCTCTTTATAATTTTAAAATCCCATAGCATTTGTATATAGAATTTTGTACTTCTTCATTCTCCATTATCGAGAACAATGATGAATCAGAGTAGTTTTTCCTGTTCCTGGTTATCCTGTCAAAAGTAATAGTTTATACTCATCATTAGAATTTATGAATTATTAAATTTAATGTAGCTCTTATTCTCTAAATTTTATTTATTGAGGTTTCTGTGTAGCATTGTTTACTTAATCATCGATTGATTTTTATTATTTAGGTTGCTTTTTTTGATTCTGTTTCTTGGAACTCTTTCGTTATTGTTTAATTGGCATATAATTATATTAAATGGGCGCTAAATTCTTAAATTTGGGGATATAAACACAATTAATAATCAAATATTATTTATTTCTAGACATTATTTAAGCTTTCTTTTTGGATTCATTATTATGGAGTCTACAACATTGATATAATTATCTATTAAATTTATTAATATTTTTAGATAATATTAGAACTATCCTTTAATTTTTGTGAAATTGTTTTTACAATCCATAATAGATTTTGAATTAATACATTATTAAAATAAATAGAATTTCTATTGAATCAATAAAATATAATAAAGTTTGTTATCAATAAAACATAGAGAATGGAATTAACAAAGACTACTTTTCATATAAATTATGATTTAATTTTCATATGATATACACGATAAAGTCATTTAAGACACTCCTTGGATATAAGGTTGGTATATGCTTGAGTACCTGGTAATCCCTCGTCCATAATTTTAACATATAAATTTCCTTTACTAAGTTCAAATTGGGGCTCCAGCTTATCTCTTAACAATTCCTCAACTTATTTAGCTTGATTAAGAATAGATTTGGACTCTTTCTTCATAAGTGTTTTACCAAATTAGGACAATCGGTACAATTTGCTCTTGATATAAGCATATTGCAACTCGAAATGATCTTCTAACATTTTATAATTTCTCTTGATTCTGTCTGGAGTAACACTTAGGATTTATGGATTATAATTGACTTCTAAGACCCAAACATCTAGATTATCGTCGAGTAGAAAATCAACTGCAAAGAACTCACCAAACCTAGTTTAAGAAAGATTAATACGTGCTGTCCCTGGCAAATGAGTGATAAGTAGCTTTGGTCATATGAATCAAAGATCTATGGATTTTGGGGTATAGATATGATTATAGCCATCCTTTCTTAGCTCTTCCTTATTTGATTAGTAGTTCTTCTAATCCTTCCAGATACCAATCAATAAAGAATTCTTCATCTTCAATTTCCTCATCATCCTTGTCATGTTTGACTAAGTTTTTGACAATTGCTGTATTGCAAACATGAGCCCCTTTTTCAGTTGAATGGACACTAAATGGTTTTGCACATCTTTTAATCAAAGCTCTATTTATAAAATGATAGAAATAACTACCTTGAATATGAATATGCAATAACTGGTTTAGTTGATATAATTGTATAATAGATTCTGAATTCTATCTTGTGTCCTTTATACAAGAATGGATTAGATATATATCTTTGAGCAATTACTTACTTTGAAATATTTCCACATTCTTGTCCATGATTGTATTCTTCCAATAATTCTTTAGTCTCACTCTCAAATAAAACTGTAATTCCTTCTCCTCTGTGTTGATTAGTTTTCAAAATGTATTATGGCCCATACTTTTTGAATTTCTTTTAATAATCCTCTGTTTTGAATGTTTCAAAGAATGCCTTGCAGTCATCTTCATCATTTAATCGATATGTCTCAGGAATGAAAGAAGCATTCCTCTTACATTCTGGGTTGGTGATGTTCTTCTTTTCAAAACCCCTAACATATTTCATGAAATTGTCTATCAATTAGTTTTTCATTGCCACAGAACTCTTTCCTGGAATGTGACTATACTTTTGTAATACACAACCTAATCCCTTACCCCAAACGTAGTTGTTGTACAAGGATGAGACAGTTGTATAAATGAATCCAAGTTAAAGTGGCAATTGATTCTCATATTTGTAGGAGGCAGTCTTAGTTGGACTTACCTTATCTAATACTGCATATGTTCTATCTAAGGTAATCTTTTTTGGTAAATTGGATGGTGGGTAGTCTCTCCATACATAGTAATCTTGCAATACTATATCTGGATGAGCCATTTTGTATGAATCACTCTTTTTGCAGTACAAGGGAGATTCAGCCACATTATAACGAGATTACTAAAATTAAGAAGCATCCTTACATTATATTCAGGCTTGAATGCTGAATTCTTTACAAATGTCTGCTTTCGAATTTAGTATACATCCCCAAAGAAATTCTCCCAAAAGTTTCTTACTTACTATTCCTAATTTTGTAAAGCCTTTGAATTTGAATACAATAACAATATAATAAATGGTGCCAATATTCCTTTTATTATAAAAGCAATCACCATTAAATTAATTAATTTCTTGTTTGTTTTAGAAGTATTTTAAAAACGCATTCAATTTCATATTTTTATTTTTTATTCTTGTTTCTGTCCTATTCATAACCATTATTATGATTCTCTATGTAAAAATTAAATTACAATCAAAGATATTTCAATAATTTAATAAAATAATGGACTCAAACTTTTTTGAAGATGAGTAATTCAACAACAACACATGGGATGAATACTCTGAGAATATGGTTTGCCCTTCACCTCTTTTGCTTGGGCATCCCTAGATTAAAAAGTTTAATAATGAAGACGAACTCTCACCCATACATCTTCAATATCATACTGACACTCTAGATGATGACTACAGTCAACAAAACCAACCTTCTCAACCTAATAAACCTCTTATCAAAAAGAAACTTCACAAAAGTCACAAGAGAACTCCCTCAAAAAAAAATTAGAATTCTCCTTCAGCGAGCAGAGTACTGAATGACTTTGCTACATATGCCAAACTTTCTGGAGATAACACTTCCTAATAAATTCAATATTGTAAACAAATGTAACAACTTATTGACAATCTTGAAGGAATCCTGTCCAAAATCAAATCAAAAATTTTAAACTCATACAAAAAGTAGATAAATTAGAAAAATTGATCTTTTTCATTTTTTTTTATCAATTTATTTATCTTTTTAATATATAAATAAATCTGGAGTTCGTACTCACATCATTATAAATGATATTATTAAAAATTAATTTATTATATATAAGAATTTAATAGGAAATTAGGTATTACGAGATGCCTAACATACTCATCAAAATGCTAGTTAAACAAAATATAAATAGAAACAATTTATAAGTTCTTAGCAAATTTTACTAAAAAATACACTTTTAGATTTTTCTATATAACTTATAAGTTAAATTCCATTTTTTAATATTCTCAACTCAATTAATGTAAAATTATAAAAAATGCTTTAATACTTTATTTTATCATTATTTATTGATTTATTCATAAATTTTTCTGAGTATCTTTCATGGAATTATATTGTTCTTATTGCTCAGATCCTATTTATAGTACTTATAATATTAATAATGACGTCATCATAATACTTAATGGCACGTTTATAAACATTAAATCGGAAAGAACCTTAAAATTTATGGAATTTAATTAAACTATCAATGTGATTTTACGAAAATAGTTATCATTTACTTTAAACAGATTATCTTGAAAAACTCAAAGAAATTTTTTTTAATTGATAATTAATCGAGCTTTTTTTCGAAAAATATAATGATGATATCATAAATTTAAACTTTATATGTAATTTCAAGAGCTTATATTAAATATCTTTAGAAATAATAATTTATATTGTTTAATAAACACTCTTTCATGGAAATAAGTGGCTTCCTCTACGATAATTTACCTCAACCTTAAGAAAATCATGAGTAGATTTCTGAAGATTGCCATCTATACAGAACTTAAACGAAATACATTAAATCTATATTCAGAATTTAAAGTCCAGACCTATCAATTCAAGAAGACTGTTTCTCTAATGGAAACGATCAATCATTTGAAATTGGTTCGGGGGAGTTTCAATATGTTAGTGAAGAAAAGAATTCAAATAAAAAAGAATAATTCAAAGGAATTACCAAGAAAGCTCAAAAGACCAAGAAACTCGAAAAGAAGAGAAAATTGAAAAATGGACCTCTATCAGAAACAGAATTTATAGACATTGTGAAAAAGTTAGAACAATGTCAGTAGGTGATGAATATGATAGACAATATGGTGACCATATTGAATGAATTTAAATGCTCTGTCCGACAATAGACAATTAAAAGTTGAATCCTATTATTTATTTACAAAGACATCAATAACTTTGCTGTCTTCAAGACAGTTTTTTCTCATATATATTTGATCAATTAATTATAATGATATATCAATATTTATCAAATGAACTTGAAAATGATTGTTAAGAAACCATAAAGAATTATGAACACTATAAATAAGTTTATTGGGGAAGCAAATTTCCTGGGCCATTGCGTTTATGGAAATTCACTTTAAGGTAATCCCTTCAACTTATCTAATCCTAAACTCAGATACCACATTATTATAAATAAAACATAAAATTCGAAATCTCTTAGTGGAGCCTTCCATTCCTGAATTATACTAATTATTTAAATTTTTAGTTTACATTTTTTATTTTGATAATCTACCAAGACTCTTCTAAGGACTCATAATTTTGATCGGAATCACATTAATTTTTGATGTTTAAATATTAAATTATTAACCTAAATATTCTGATATACTTTCGTTTTTTATGCCTTTTCTTTATTGATATGACGCCAATAATTAAATTATCTAAGATACCCAGACTCTAATATTTTCCTGCTATTTTATTTCAAAGTCTTTTTTATTATTGTTTTTTACATAGATATCACAAAAATTCTTAACTTCTGAATATGATGGAATTTAATAAGGTTCTTAATCAAGAAATTTTAATGAATCACAAAAGAATGAATTTTAATTATGAGGATTTAAAAACATCAACAAATGAATCAATCCTTAGTATTCTGAATCATTAACATAATTTAAATTATTGAAACATTAAAAAATTGTAATTAGCAATTTTGTGTAAAAAGGATAATAGAGTCTTACCGAATTTCTCATATAATTTCTTTGGGGATCCAATTCTCTAGTCTGAGTGTCAACCAGATATTCAAACTAACACAATCTTTATTGGGGTTTGAAGTCCTTAAATAAAATTGCTTAAGGAGATTCTCCAAATTTATTTTTAAACACCTAATAAAGAGGATAGAGCTCATTCAAAATAAATTTGGTTAATTGGTTGTTACCTTTGTATGTAATATCCTTCATTTTTTAAAGTTGAACCATAATTTAATTCGATGATGCAACACAGGATAAGCAAGCTTAATCGAAAAGTAAAACTTAATTATAAATGCTGGATTCATATTTAGCAAATTACCACCTTAAAAATATAACATATGCTGCTATGTGTGAATATATTGTTATTTAATTACATTGTCTCTCATTAGGATAAATCTCGAAAGATTACTAAAAGAACTTATATAATCCTTGTTAATAAGTTATTGGTTACTACTATCTTCCACATTCAAAGAAAAAGCTTCTGTTTTAATAGATGAATTAATGACTTTTAGTTGAAATATCAGAATTTTTTAAAAATGGTTTAAACTATTAATACATTGTTTCCAAATCAGTCCCATATTAGGAGTTAAAAAATATTGTTAAATAAACGAGCATCATCTGAGTATCCAAGACTACGCTGCTTGGCTTGATTTTGTACAGTAATTTCGATTGATCCATAGTTAGATTCAGTTCAAATAATTTAGAAACATATAAATGTTCGTATAATGAATATTCTTATAATAGTATAATCATCTATTGAAAAGTAAAGATTGTGAATTGTTTCTTTGAATTGCTTATGATTTAATTATTTTCTTTCACTTTGGTGTACATGTATTCTATAATTCTTCTCACTAAAACAAGGTATGGATTAAATGTAAGTTGCTTCAATAAGGGATCCTTTGTGTTCATCTTCCTTTTGCATTTATTGAAAGCACAATCTAACACTTTTTGACTATTATCTGTCACATACAAGGCACTATCCTTAAAATTAATGGCACCATTTAATAAATATATCCAAAACATCATTTTTGAGCTAACACAAAATTTTAGTTAATTTTTTTCAACTAAAATATTCTCTTAAAATATTTCTTAAAAAGCATAGAATTATTAATTCATATGAGCAATTGATGGGTCTTTAAAATATAATTGTATATGCGCAGGTAATACATCTAATGAAACAGGATGATAAGGATGTTCAAAAGGCAGCGCTGAATAAAATGACATTTCTTCTGGTGAAAGTATATGCAACAATTTTATAAGTAAAAGTGTGTCTTCAACTGATGAAAATCTTTATTGTGTATTGCGAAAACTATTATTCAAATTGCCATTTTATTTGAATATAAGTTCATATACATTATGTTATGATCTAAAAAATTCTTAGCCATAAGAGTATTCTTTTTATTTTATAAGTTCGTAACTGACATTCTATAACCAAGACAGAAATTCGTTGCTAGTTGCCTTTTATGCATATCTTAATTCATCTTCAAATTTGTTCATAAATATTTCTGTAATAAAATTAATTCTATAAAATAAAATAAAACTTACTAAATAAAAAAAAATTACTGTTTTCTAGAAGCACACTACTCCTAAAAATGCTAATTTAAATGAATAAAACTAGCTCTGTAGTGAATCAAGTAAGTAATTAGTCAAGAATTTGCAATTTGTTATTGGAAATTAAAAGATGCTCCACAATTTAATTTTTATTGTCATGACTAACTTTTAATTTATTATGCAGTTTGGGAAAGGGAAGGACATTCTTGAATATTTTATAATTCTCAATAACTCAAAACGAAGTTAAGAGTGATTGATTTAAATGTGATCTAATAAAAAAATAAAGAAATTAGAAAAATTGTGAAAAAATACTCTAATTACAAAAAACTTTTAAAAGATGTAAATGAAATTATCTCTTGATGTTCGGATTATAATTTTATAATTAGAAATTATCAATGAAAAAATTGCTGATTTTATTTGTAAAAGAAAATAAATAACTCTCCTTTAGTTATTTTCTAATATAAAGAAATTAATCGATATCTATTCAATTTCTCATATTAATTTGAATTATATAATAAAATTTAATAGTTGCTATTTAAAACTCATTCTGAATTATATTATCTCTTATATTGAATTGATTAATATAATAAACTATTAGTTAATTCTTACTTAAATTTACATATATATATCTTTCTGTTTTAATGAAATTATGTAAATACATATATTTGTATATGAACAACAATATTAATTGTTGTATTTTCTTATTTAAAATAAATATTGGGATATGATTATTATTTAATGGTTTTTGATTGTTAAATCCTTAAATCAGTGAATAATTTAATTATTAAATATATTTTAATGGGAATGTATTGTACGAAATGCTAAATTAAAAATGAAGAAGACTTATTTTTAAGCAATTTTATTTAATAAAAGAAATCTTTGTAATCAGAAGAGAATTTAGACGAAAGTTAGGAAATCGCTTCAAGTATATATTAGTAGAAGTAATTCATTAAGTCTGTCCTCCTTAAACAAATAGCAAGAAGAGCTTAGATGAGATGAGACAGTTAAAATAAGAATTAGGAAAAGAGAAGGCAAACTCAGCTGATTTTTATGAGACAGAAGAATTGTACTTTGACGATCAATCAAAGTTTATTGGTAAAATAGAGAAGAATTAAGCAAATGGGGAAGGTAAATTATGGTTACAAAATGGAGATTATTATGAAGGAAATTTTTGTAATAATTCAATGCATGGCAAAGGCCATTATAGATATAATAGTGGAACTACTTATGAAGGAGATTTCTTAAATAATAAGCCTGATGGATTCGGAATTGAAATATAAATTAATGGATCAATTTACAAAGGAACATTTAAAGATGGAAAAAAAGATGGGTTTGGATACTTCAAATGGTAATAAGGTTGCTAATATGAAGGTGAATGGAAACATAATAATATTAATGGAAAAGGGAAATATGATTGGCCTGATGGGAGGGTAATTAGATAAATAATAATAATTTCAGTCTTATGTTGGGGATTGGGTCGAAAATTAAATGCATGGGAGAGGGAAGTATAGTTGGAAGGATGGGAAATGCTACGATGGTGAATATAAGTGCGATAGAAAGTAAGGATTTGGTATATTCTACTGGCCGGATGGAAAATTATATAAAGGATACTGGATGGATGGAAAATAACATGGAAATGGTATGATGATATATGTAGATGGTAAAAAAAAGGCTGGGGAATGGAACAATGGTTAATTTATCCATTGTATTGAAAATGATGACATAGATATAATGCCTTAGAATTGGATTTAATGAAAACAGTAGAATATGTATATATAATTATTTCACTTTATGGTTTTATTGACTTAACTCTTAATGTTGTCATAATTCTGAATGATAATGCTTAACTTCTGATTCATTTATTTATAGCCAAATTCAGCTTATACTGTTTTAATTAGTTTCTACAATGAACTATTAGGTAATTGTTTTCCTTAATAAAGTATCTAAAGTCTTTAGATTTCTTGTTCTTCCAATTCAATAATTTGATTATCCAAATTATTAATTTAGAGTGATTAATTAGATAGTTTTTAACTTAGATTGTCCTATTTAGAGTCACTCTATTATTATAATTCGAATGATTTCAAGGTGTACTTTTATTTCCTCATGTTTTAGATTGTGTTCATAACTTAAAATAGTTTCTTCTCATAATTGACTCTATTTCCCTATTGTTGTTATTGTTTGACTTGATTTTCTTTCATTTGCAACTTCAAATAATCATTATTAATTTCTAATTTAGCCTTAGATATAAGGAATGTCCTTGATTGATTATCGAGATAACATGGGAAATCAGCTTATGTCACACTTTCATTAATTTACATTAATAGTTTTACTATGATTATGATAGATCCTGATATTCTATGTATTATAAGTATATAAGTTACTAAATTTCTTCACTCTGCAATACTTATTTTAAGAACTCTGCTAAATCTTATTTGATTTATTTCTTAGTATATTTAATATCTTATAGCATTTCTTCTTCTTTTTTCAATTAGGTTTGATTGAATTACAATTGTTGTTAATATTCCATATAAAATGTTTTGATTCTGGCTAATTCCATCTATTCATTTGAATCAATAACCTAAAAGTATTATTGTCTATCCCATTTTTTATTTGGATGTAGTTTATCCTCTTAATGGAGTGCTAATTGTCTTTATTTAGTATATTTGGATTTGATTTAATCAATTTCATCGCCTAATTTGGTGACATGATCTCTTAATTTGCAATTTTCCAATCTCAATTTTTATAAACTCATTTGATATTGATAGATTTCTTAACTGAGCAACTTAATTTGGTTCAATCTACCCTCTATGATGTAATTGAAATTAAATTATTGTCTTTCCAAATTTTTATGTTCTTCTTTGTTTATTGTGATTTGTGCTTATGATTGTCTGATTTGATTGGCAACAGCATGATAGTCTACGATCTGGTTGACACTCTTGAATATCGAAGATAGATTTTTAAAGCTTTGCAATACATTGGTGGTTGAGTTATTTATTTCATGTTGTGAGACAATTCGTTTCTGTCTCATTTTATTGAATAGGATTTGATTCACCAATTTTTGATTGGTCTATTTGGATATTTTTTCAGCAGTTCCATGTATTTTGTCTTCTGTTAAGGTTTCACTTTTATCTGAATGATAAATTTAGAATATATTATGTATTAATTTTGTATTGATTGTTGGACTTGGGAAATGGGGATTGTGATCTACTTCATCTTCAGCCAATTTGCCTTATTGAAGCATTTATTGCAAATTAAATTTCTTTTGGTGTTTTTTCGCTTTAAAGTAATTAAGATTAATAACTTCCATTTTTTCATCTTCTGATTGATTATCTTCCTCATCTGAATTTTACTTGAATATCATGGACTGTTTCTTGAGAGGCGACCTTATTCTCTTTTGACTCATTTATTTACTACCCAAATAGAGGGAAGTAGATTTTGTGTTCATTTTTTATAATTAATTTTATAATCAGAGAAAAATGAATTTATTGGATGATTTAGAAAATAATGGGACTCAGCAAATGGATTTACTTAACTTTGAGTATGATTCCTATAATTAATTAATAGTCATCAAGCTAATGTGATACCCAATGTAGATTTTTATAATGCAATTGTTGTTAATGAATTCATGAATAATCGTATAGTAGAAGTAAAAGACGGTGAAGTTGTGAAGGAAGGATACATAACTAAATACAAATTATATCTAGTCAGAACTAAAAAGCAAGGAGGCGAATGGGAAACTGAAGTTTCAAGAAGATTTAGTGATTTTGAATGGTTATACTCAGAATTGATTAATAAATATGGAGGATATATAATTCCTGCTATTCCAGAAAAGCATTTACTCACAAAAGTCAACTTAGCTAGTTATGAAGTATAATTTTGTGATTTAAAATTTAAACAAATAGTTTTCCGAAAAGAGAAGGAAAGACCTTTAATAATTTCTACAAAGAATACTTAATCATCATCATCTAAGATACGTGCCAGAATTAAGGATTTTTATTGAAGATAAAGAAAAAGTACAATTTGAAATAATTATAAGTTTATTTCTCTTTTGAAAGGGGAATTAGAATAAAACAAAACTATCGAATAAAAATGTGACAATCTCTTACAATCAGTCAAAACTCTATGGCATAGTAGTACTATGGCAGCGAAAGGATAAGATCCAGCAAGGATGTTTGATGGAAGTGAGAAGGATCTGACATACGATGAAACACTCCTCTTATCCTTGTCCATGAAAGGGAACAAGCTAAAAGCCGTTGTTGAAGAGCATGTCACCACATTAAGAGAAGAAGCCAAGACACTGAATGATTAAAATGAAGCTCTGTATTCTTGGAGTAAGAAGAGTTAATTACATAATTAGATGGTTTGGGATCTGCAAGTGAAGAAGATATTTCATAATTCAAGTAGTTGAAGTATAACAATGAGATCAGACAGACTAAAATAAATAGAGAAATTGAAGACATTGATAGGAAGTTTATACCCAAACTACAGAATAGCTTATTTGAAATCGAATGGGCATTGACTGCTTGTAAAAGAAGAAGAAATCTGTAATAGCAATTATTGATTGATCAATAACGAATAGATCAACTCAAAATGCAATATACAGACAATTCGAGCAGAGTATTTATTGCAATGATTTATAGAGAGATCTGGAAATGGACGTGCTCAAAACTAAATATCAAAAAAATAAGGACAGAAGTGACAAAATGTCTATCATTATGTAGGACGAACTGTTGAGTTTCATTTCAGAGATGAAACAATAATTAAAGTCCATCCTAGAAGAATGGAGATCGATTATGAAGACTTTATCAAAAAACATTGTTGAAGACGACAATGAATGATAATTCAATTTAATACTATATGAGTATAAAATATAAGTATTAATTTATTATTAATTAAATTTCAATATTTTTAAACTAACAACTGAAGTTTTAATTTATTTAGAATTGTTAATATATTTAAGTTATAATAAGATTGTTTTTGAATCTTCTTATGATTTTAATGTGTCATCAGTATCCTTAAAGTCTAAGAAATAATTAATTTTAATTTTGATAATAATAATTAAATGGGAAGTCATTGTTCTTAAGCAGTCTAAACTAATACTGTTACATACGAAGAGAAGAATGAAATTAATAATGCTATTTAGGAAAAGGAAACCTTTGTACCGATATTCACTGGCAAATTGAATCTAAATGTTGAAATTGACAAAGGCGTATATTCAATGAGACCATGCAATGTCAATGATTCAGTTTTGGATATAACAACTGAAAGAAATTAACAGGAATAAATACAATAAAAGTTCAATTTAAGAAATTATACAGTTAGTTATTGTCAAAGAAGTATTTCGACGATACTATGACCATAAACAAATCTCACAATTTAGTATATTCTAATATGGGTTTTAACATACTCTCTGAGATTATTCCAAGTGAAGTGGTATCCCAGAAATAAGAAAAATAAAAAAAAGTAGAAGAATGCGACGAGGACTATGATTAGATGTGTAGAACTGATTTGGATTAGTTTAAATTTTAGTAACCTGCTGTTATGAAATATGTAGACAAATAAATACCAACTTAATAAAAGACGAAGTAAAAATACAATTAAATATAAGCACTGTTGAACAAAGAAATCTAAGAAAATGATTTTTAAATATCAATTTATTTAAGTGATTATAATCAATTGCTATTTACAAATTCTAAAACTAGAGAATATTCTTCCACCTTAGCAATATTAATTGAATCTAACACCATAGAATGTCTCAACATAAGATTTCAAATCGAACTCCATTTACTTCTCGATTGATTTTAATTCATCATCCGTAAAATTCTCCGTTTTATAATGCAATAAGAAATACTAGTACACTTTTAAGAACATTATGAAAAATGAAGGAGGATGATACCTGGCAAAATTAGGAATAAATTGAAATTGTATAAGATTATTGTTCATTATCAAACACAAAAGAATTTATTATTAAGGATCAATTTCACACATTTTTTATAATAAATCTCTTAACAATGGATCAAGTATCAATTCCCTTAATGGATTCTAATTTTCGACTTTAGCTATGCTCTCCATCGTTGTATTTTCCTATGGCCAAATGTAGTATTTCCCATTGGAAAAATTCCTGGTGAAATATTAATTCAATGATCCTTTGACATTGCTGGCCCTCCAATAAGGGAAATTTTGATCAGTTATTTTTCAACCAAAGCCATATGTTCATACTCGTTCTTTCTTGTTTAAAATAGCAAGCGTCCTTAAATATTTTAAATTATTCACTCCTACCTAAATAATTCTATATCTAAATAAAGAACTTATTAGCTAATATACAAATCATTTTTCAGTCTAAAATTTTGAAATTAATATAATTCAATTTGCAGTTTATGATAAATTACCTTAGTTGTATCCTTTTTTTAATTTGTAATTTTTACTAAAAAGGATATTCTCTTGTTTTAAATCAGTGTGAACAATTTTAAGATTATGTAATTTTCCAATGAACTTTAATAATTATTTACTAATGCTTCATATTAAAGTCATACCATGATTTTTATGGATTTTCATCAAATTATAAAGATTGGGTCCAAGCTAAATTTATATGATAACAAATGATTACTCTTTCAAATAATAATACTCTCTATGATTAAAACATTCATATAATTCAACAAAACTACGACCTAGTCCTTTTCTCTTTAAATTAAACAAAACATCTGCTTCTGATTATGAACTTTCAACATGATTACGTCTGACTACTTTCATGGCATATGTCTCCTCCTAACCTTTAAGACCCTTCCAAAAGTAACATCAAATATATGTCTCCTGACCTTATATTCTTTAATACATTCTCCCCTCCTGTATTTATAATGCTAGTCATCATCACTTGAAGAGCTTCCATTAGACTCATCATCAGTCACTACCGAGGAAGTAATAGAAGAACTACAAGATTATCGATTTTAGAATTCATACTATTTTTGTTTGCGGTTTGATTTTCTATTTGAACGTCTTCGTGATTCTTTTGAGGACATGTTTAATATTAATAATTATTTATATTTAATAATTCTGAATAATTTCATTTCTATCTTGAAAAGCAATAAGCAACATTAATCAACGTCTATATTTTGATACAACTTTATTAATATCAATATAATTCCTTATTATTAACTACTTTAATAAGAAATTAATAAATTTGTGTATAATAATAATAATAATAAAATAAATTTGTATAAATCTGTCAAACACTTATCATTCATTATTTTAAACCGGCCTTAATCTATTTCTCATAACAATCCTTGTATAATATTCTAATCAATGTCAATGAGATGAAAGCTCCAACAAATGGTAATCCTGCATAAATCCACAGATTCCAAAATCTAGCCCAATGGCCATCTTTACAACACTCAAAAAATACTAATCTAAATTTTTATCCCAATATATACCCCATAGCAATAGCTGGATTCAGACTGCTTTTGGCAACATAACTAAGAGTTCTGCCAACTCCATATAATCCACTGATTATAATACTATGTTCTAATCTATCGCTTGTGAAATCCATCAAGTCATCATACTAAAACAAAAAGCCAGCAGTCAGTATAAGTGAGCCTAAGACCTCTCCTATTATGACTGCGAAATATTCCTCGAATGTAGTTTAAGACAAATATGGAACATCATTTACACTAGAACAAAATCTACAAAATTTTTACTAATTCTTAAAGCAAAAGAAACCAAGCATGCTAGCCAAAAATGCTCCACCAAATTAGCTGGCAATAGCCACTGATACCCATAGACCCTTGTCATTGGCAGATAAGACAGTGGTAATTGCAGGATTGAATGAGCACTTCTGATTTTGGGCGACCAGAATTAACATTCCATATGCACAACTGAAAACGAATAGGTTATTGCTTGAAGTATTATAATGACTTTACTTGCTGGCATAGATGGAAAAGGTTAGCATGAATGTGCCTAAGAATTCGAACCAGAAAATGTAGACGGCTTCTTTTTTCATCTGTCCCACTCTTGTTTGGGGCATCTTCCCTTCTACTTCCCATTTGATGGGCTTATTTTACTATTAGATTTCTTGATTCACCAAGTCACTATAGTTTTGTTATTATTATTCTTCCATTAATCTGTAATTATTTTAATGAGAGCAAATTCTATATACAAAGGGTATTATTCACTCCATATGATTAATAAAGATGCAGAATTAGATGCGAAGAGAAATAAGAATTCGTAATTGCTTTAGTTATATGATGGAATAATTATGATAATATAAATTAATATATAAGATTATTTTGATGGATCAAATGACTAGTAAGGAGCTTTTGAATAGGATCAACATGTAATTGAAATCAGCAGTGACTGTATATGCCAAAATCCAATTGGTGAATTATATACTCAATTCGAGTCCAGAATTTATAGACATGTAAAAAAGGAGGGCTAATTTTAGGGTTGGATAATCAAGTTCAATGAAGATGATTACTTAATATTTGAGAGAATCTTTGAAATGCATTTAGGGTAATGAGGAACTTGTGGATAAAATATTTATGTTGTTGTTGAGGATGAATTTAAATGATTAAATGCTTCGAGAATCTGAAATGGGACTTTTGTTAATAAAAATAAAGGAAAAAAGATTATTTGAAGATTAAAGAGCAAATGTGAATGATCACATCCAATAAAAATGGATGAAGATTTATGCAATGTATAGAAGTGGATTGGAAGATTTAAAAAAAAATAACAATTAAAAGGATAAATATGAAGAGCGCAAAAAAAAAGTGAAAAGGAATCAATCATCAAGTTCCGACGACTCATCTAATAAAAGGAAGAAGAATAGGAAGAAAAATGTTCGGTATGTTTTGAGTATTGAATTTTCATAGGTTTGCAAGAGATGACATACTCATGAATTACAAATATTTTAAAAGGGATGATGAACCTAATCAAAGAGGAATGACCATTGAAGAAGTAATTGGTTTCCAAAAATTATATTCAGTTGAACTTAAAAGACTGAATCAAATAAATGGCTATGATATCAAACACAGAGAATCCATGATGGAAGGACAAGAACATAAACTCTAATTAGATAATATCCAATAAATGATTGAATAAATTCCCTTTATTAGACCTTTGAGTATTAATTCCTTCATTATTTTAGAATTACATCCAACCTTTATTGAAGTTTATGAAACCAATTTCAAAGAAACTCAAAAATAATAAAGCAGAACAGAATCCAAAATGTCAGCCTTCTATAATAGAGACGTATATACATTTTTAATATCGATCTAGTAGATTCCAGACCAACCTGGGTATAGTGAAATTTCCAATACTCAATCAGGAATGCAACCTAGAGCCATTCATTTGGATCCTCCAAAGAGAGAAGACCTTGTGTTTATGGTTCAAATCATCTGTAATCGGGGCTTCACTGAATTAGAGGAAAAGCACAAGAATGCAAATAAAAAATAAATCAAAGGAATTTTGAAAAAACCCCAAGTGGAATAATCCAATTAGAAGGATATCATGTTGAATCAGGCAAAGCAGGATCTCCAACCCAAGATGCAGCAATTGGTTCAGATGGTTGAGCAGAAACAAAATCATAGCCAGGAAAGCATTCGTAAGAATATTAATTTATTTAAGTCACTTTATTACATGATATTATATAAAAATTAAAGGAAATTGGTGAGGAATAATATATAAAAAATTTTAAATCATTCCTTGAAACTAAGTTGAATGACAAATAATCAATTATAACTGAATAGGAACGCATTAAATCTCAATAAGAATAATAGAGAACTCGCATCGAACAATTATAAACTATCAATCCCATTCAGGCTCAGAGATTAAGAGCCTACAAAACCAAGCATTGTCACAATTTTCATTCCTCCATTGGATGCACAAGAGGAGATAATTGTAATTTCATACATGACTCTCGCTATCCAGGAAGACCTGCTCCAATTCTTCAAAATCCCAATTTCCTTAATAAAACCCTCTATCCCTAGTCCTCTATGCAATCAATCATTCCCCCCTTGCTCCAATAACTAAACCCTACCTATCTACTTGGAAGGCTAAAAAAGTATGATAGTTTATGAGTTGATATTTATTAAAAATACATTTAATATGCTAATTTAAACTTCCATCAGTACTCAATGTAATACGCCTTCTCTTCCTTCTAAAAATAAAAAATAAAGTCTCTAGAGCAAGGAGCACTTTGTGATCAAGGAAATAGCAAAAACGTATTATGAAAGTATGAATATACATATATATTCACATAATAAGGCAATTCATGATCTGAAACCTTGTTTTCTAGCAAAGGAACCTATTGCTGCAAAGCCAACTAAAGCGATTATTCCAAATAGGACCACATTCGAAAGGAAGTCAAGAATCATTATCGAAATTTAATTATTTAATTACAAATGTCACTTTATAAATTATTTTATTGTTAAAAACCAATTAAATATTTAAGACCATTTCAATACTTTAATCAAAAAATTATTTGTTATTGATTTGTATTTTCATTTATACTTACCTTATCCATTTATAAAAAGTTAAAGATTTTGATATAAATTCCAATTAAAAAATTAAAACATGGGTTGTATATGTGCAACTATGCCAAGAAAAAACTAAATTATGCCAATGCACACAAGAAATAAGGACTTGGTGTTTACTTCAACTGAAGATATTTCTAAAATCTATGTTCTTGGAAAAGTCTTAGGAGTAGGATCCTTTGGAAAAGTAATAGCTGCTAAAATGAGGAGTAATCCTATGAAATAATACGCTATCAAAATTATAGAGAAAAAAAAAGTAAAAGGCAGGGAAGACATTTTGGCCAATGAAATATTTATTTTGCAGAAGCTGGATCATCCCAACATAATCAAATTTCACGAGGTTTATTAGAATAGAATGAACTTCTATATTTGTATGGATTATTGTAAAGGGGGAGAACTAGTAGAGTGGATTCCAAAGCGATATAAAAATTTTCATGAAAGAAACATCCAGGAAATAATGAAGAAGGTATGACAAGTCAATTATGTAGATCATATCTGCCGTAGCATACATTCATGGTCAAGGAATCGTGCATAGAGATATTAAGGCTGAAAATATTATGATAGCAAATAAGAAGGATGATGCTGAACCGAAATTAATTGACTTTGGATTAGCAAATAAATTCGATACATCAAAGCTACGTCGTTTAAAATCATTTGTGGGAACTCCAATGTACATGGCTCCAGAGGTAATTCAAGGGAAGTATGATGAAAAATGTGATATTTGGTCTCTTGGTGTCCTATTATTTACATTACTCTCAGGCCACATGCCTTTTCATGGAGAAACTAAAGAAGAACTATACGATAACATTTAAAGGGCTAACGTAATTTATTATATAAAAATGGATTTTTAGATTACCTTCATATACAATGCTTGGAAGAACGTGAGTGATAATGCCAAAGATTTAGTAAGAAGAATGTTGCAGAAGAATCCAAACCTAAGACCCTCAGCAATAAATTTATTAAAACATGAGTGGTTTACAAAATTGGAAGTTTTTGAGGAGAAACAAACCTTGGACCATCAAATTTCCCAAAAAGGTTAGGCTTCCCCTTCAAATTCTAATTCAGATAACAGATCCATATATTAAATGTTGAAACAAACAGCTTAAAAAGGAGGAAGTAAATTTCGAAAAGAAGTAATGACAATTTTAGTGAAATAATTAAATGAATAAGAATTGAGTAATCTAATAGAAAAATTCAAATAAATAGATGTTGATAATTCAGGAACAATTACTATATTCGAATTAAGATAGGCACTCATTGCAGAGGTTTCTATTAATATGTTAATGTGTAGGGTTCACCAGCCTCGATTGATGAAATTGAAAGATTGGTCGAGAATATTTCACCAAAGAATGCTTTAGATGTGAAGAAACGATCTAGACCTTCTGTTGAATTGAAATACAGTGAGTTTTTGGCATCTTGCATTGATGAGAGGAAGTTTTTGACTAGGGAAAAGGTATTAATTTTATTAATAATATTAGTTATGGTCCTTATTTAAATTTTTTGATACAGATAATTCGAATTACATCACGAAAGATGATATCAAGGAGGCTTTTGCAAGAAATGCAAAGTCATTCACGGATGAGTAAATTGAAGAGATGATTTATGAAATTGATCCTAATCATGACAACAAAATCAGTTTTGATGAGTTCTGCTAAATGTTTGATAATGCTGGAATCTATTAGAAATTAGATGATGATGATGAAGTAATTGAAACATGAATATTTTTATTTAATCTTCTCTAATTTAATGAATGATTCTATTGCAATTATATTTTAATGAGTTAAGGTATTACAAATTAATATAAATATATATATAGAATTTATATGTCATAAGAATGGATGTCATACAATTACAGAAGGAGCATTAGATTAAGGATCCTTAGATTCATCTTTAAATTCTAGAGTTTCTTAGATTCCAGCAACTCCCATCATCTAACAAAATGCATCGAAACCAATTTTATTCTCATTATTAGGATCAATTTCAGATATCATTTAGTTGATTTTGTCAAGTGAAAGTGAACGTCCATGCCTCGCAAATGATTCTCTAATGGCCTCTCTTGATAAATGATTCTCATTCTAAGTGTCGAAATATTTGAAAATTGACCACAATTTCTCTCTTGTGAAAACTCTTCTTTCATCAATACAGGCTGTTAAGAAATCGCTGTACTTAATTACTAAAGGTTTTGAGGATGTAGATTTATGGGATAAAGTTACGGTCACATCATCTACCTCATCAATGTCATATCCAATGTTCTCCATAATTTATTCAATTTCTTCTACAGTGGTTAGGGAACCCTAAGAATATTTTAGATCAATACTTCTTGTTGAAGTGCTTGGTGCAACTCTTGGACTGTTATTGTGCCAGAATTATCAACGTCAATATTCTTGAATATTTGTTGCAACCTTGCTAAATCCTTCTCATTCATTTGATTTACTAAGACTTTCATGACTTCTTTCTTGAATTTGGCACCGATACGATAAGTCTTAAGCATTTGATATAATGTTCTTTGATCATCCTCAGAGGGAGTTCCTGAAAATCCAGTACTTCTTCTGGGAGGTCTATAAACTCCATCTTTAAATAACAGTTGAAACCATGGATGTTTAAGACATTCTTTGGCAGAATATCTTAAGTGCTAGCTTTTGTTAAGCATCCTCTTCAAGAGATCCTTAGCTTCGTCACTAATGTTTTTCCAATGTCTCCTATCAAATATTAACTAATATATATAATTCAAATTGTATACATTTTGATATTGGATGTTTTCGTAAAGTTCCTGTCGATTTCTACCATAGAAAGGGGGATAGCCCACGAGCATATTAAATAGTAAAACTCCAAGACTCCACACATCACATTTTTCATTGTATGTGCCTTCGATGACTTCTGGTGCCAAATAGACAGGCGTGCCAACTCCGGCTTTAAGTTTACTATTTTAATATTATAACTTCCTTACTTGTAGCTGAAGGCATCGTATTTCACTGAAAGTCCAAAGTCGATAAGTTTGGGCTCAGATCTGATGTCACGATCGGTAAACATAATATTTTCTGGTTTGATGTCTCGATGTATTATTCCTTATTCATGAATGTATGCAACTGCTGATATGATCTTTCTTTAGCATAATAAGTTACTTTAACCATTATATCTCTGGCCTAACCCTCAGTATATGATTTTTAATTTTTGGGCACGCTCTCCATAAGTTCTGCTCCAGCACATTTGTCCATACAGATGTAGAAGTACAGTTCACTCTGATATACTTCATGGAATTTTATGATATTTGGATGATCCAACCTCTGGAGGACATATATTTCATTTGCCAACATCGTTTCCCTTCCCTTCACTTTTCTCTTGTCAATCATTTTTATAGCGTATAATTTTTCAGCGTTATTTCGCCTCCTGGCTGTCAGAACTTTACCGAAGGCACCTATTCCTAGTACTTTCCCGAAGGAAAATATTTTATGAATGTCAGCAGTTGATGTAAAGATGTAATCTCTGTTTGTTGTTTGCATAGCAACAATTTTATTTATTCCTTTTGGTTAGAAACAACCCATTATTTATTTTTTATTATACATTTACTAAGATCTAAGATTTGCTTAAATTTCAAAAAAAATTAACTCACAAATCATATTCTTTTAATCGAAAAAATCAATGGATTTTGAAGTGCAATAAAAACTATATATATAATTAATTTGATAAAATCATAATACATTTATGCAAGATTCTGAATGTAGTTTCTGATGGGGATGATGAAATATAATTGATTTCCTTGTCAAGTTCCTTTATTTTAGTTACACCCACAATTTAAACTAAATTTGTTTATTGAATAAAAACTCTACATTTGTTATTCCTAAAGAAATTTATAAATTTGAAAGACAAACTACCCTACTCATACTTTCCTGATACTTTAAATTATTAATAACTTCATGTGAGAATATTATATTATTATATATTAATAAATATATAAATTACAAAAAAATAATATATTCATTTATCTTAATTCATTAATTACCTATTGGTGAAATTAAGTATAAATTTACATATTTTACAATTTCTAAATTCTTTTTCACTTAAAGTAAGTATTCCTTAAATTTACTATTAAACTCATATTAATAATAACATATATTATTTCATCAAATGAAATTATCTAGTATTCCATGGAACAAAAAAAGAAGGAATATTAAAGTTAGCAAAATTTCATTATTTTTCAACCAAAAGTTTATCTAACAACTTTAGAATTATATAAAGATCTGAAATTTCAACAAAAATCAAGGAGTAATTAGGTGCTGTTTATAATACTTAACCTATTTTAAATCAGAAGAATCAATATTCAAAAACCATTTGTCACATAACTAATTTCACAATAAGAGTGATTGCATTTTGCTAATATTTTCATTATCTTTCTAATGTTTTGGTCTTTAAAAAATTTACAACACTCTCATTAAATAATTTTCTCGTCTGGGATATTTGTTTTTATATTTCAAACCCTCTTGTTTCCTCTGAATTCTCCTAATTTCTTCTTACAATTTGTGTTTGTTTGATTATATATCAGTCTACTAATAATGAAATAAAAATAATGAAAAATATAAAAAGAATTCAAAGAGAGAAATTTAATAAGTAAGAAGTGCGAAAGATTATAAAAACAGGAAAATATTGAGTAAAATAATGAAGAAAGGAAAATGTAAGAAAATTAAGAAGAAATCGAAAGGCAACCATTCCATAATTAATAATTAATTATAAAATTAATTTGAATAATTCCGCTATTCTGATTAAAATTTCTCTTTGGAATTGGGACAATTATTCATTTTCTAGATTTAAATAGCCTAAAAAATATGCAAGTATTATGTATAGAGAATTTAGATCTTAATTTTAAGTAAGTCAAGAAGATGAAGTTTAAGAAAAAAAGGATGTTAGTTATGATTATTAGATTTTGAGAGAACTTCTTGGTATGAATCGGCTAGGAGTGCCTAGGGATATTTGAAAGAAAGCATTAATTGGAAAAGACATGCCTTACTAGAATAATTTAGAATATATTACTACTTATTATTGAGTCTAGTTTATTTTTTAGAATATAATAATTTAATTCATTATACATGGGAGATATTTAAGGTGAGAGTGGGCAAAACTTAATTTAATCTGAATCGATAGGTTTCTTTGAGAAAGTGAAGCAAATTATTTTTCAGGTTCTTTTTGTGTTGAGGAAGGATGAAGAATCGGAAGAGTCTTAATTATCATTTTATATATAAACTGGGTTGGATTACTTTTAGATGCATACTTTTCCCTTCAACAATAACATTTACTATTTATGGAAGGCAGACAATGTGATTGGGTTTGTCTTAAATTTCGTTAATCTCTTTTAATTAAGTACTTACATACCTAATATCTCGTATTTCGCTCTTCTATCATCAGTGTACATATTGCTTGTAATTATATTGCTTATCATATTGGATATCATTTATGTAAGTTATTCATTTTCAAAAAATTAATTTGCTGCAACATGGCCTTTGGTTGTATTGAGATCAGTCACATCACTTGTGGTTACTGTATTGTTTTTGCCAATTACTGAAACTTTGTTTTCTATATTATAATGTTAAACAGATCAAACCACTGGGGAATATATAATATCTGGTTATAGTGAGATTTATGTGGTTTGTTGGCAAGGATGGCACACATTCCACGCATTGTTGACATTGTTGTTCATGTTCATTTTTGTAGCAATATGTGCTATAGTGGCCTATGCATTTTTTGAGCCTGGAATGATGAGTGATGATAGAACAGCAAGATAGGATAGTAAGGGGGAAGTGACATTCATTATTAACAAGGTGACATGTTAAGTGTTGTATTGTTTTTTGGGAGAGAATCAATCATGGATCTTGGTATTGGCAACATTTCTTATGGCTGTATGGTTATTTTGGGAATATAATTTTGATGATCCTTACTATGACTTTGAAGTGGGAAGATTCTATTCAATAATTTCAAGTTATTATTTGTGGGCCAACATTTTGTTGTTGATATGCAAGATATTTGAGAATCAGGATTTCAATGGAGGCTTTATTGCTTGGATCATAGGATTGCCCTTCATAGTCTCAATTATGTTGATGACAAAAAAGTCTAAGATTGACACTTTGATTAAGGTGCAGAAGAAGATCAGAAGTGGCAAGGAGATCTGGGCTCATATTCGTTATGTTTTGTAGCTTATTCAATAATAAGAAAAGGACAGAAATTCTTATATGCTCTTGATTGGCTATATAGAGAAGCACAAAGAAACTTGTAAATATAATGATTGCTATTTTAAATTTAGTAGAAGAAGGAATACTGAATTGGATATGAATGATATGATCAGAGGATTAATTTAGGAACTTGAAAAGATGTTCAAGGACGGAATCAAGAAATTTCCTAAAAGTGCTGAACTCAAAATCTTTTATGCTTTGTTTATAATGGAGAGAAAGAAAAATAAGGAAGGGGCCTATAAATAGTTTGAACTTATTGATGATAAATGTAAACCTGCATTGTATCAATAATTCATCAAATATAGATATATGTAAGATATTTGATTTATTAAATTTACAGGAAAAGTATCAAGGAAAATAAGAAGGAAAACAAGGACGACGATATTGTGGAGGCTATCAAATATAACAATCATTAAACAATGTGTGAAAAGAGTATGTAGCAATCAGCAAAATTGCAAAAGGATTTTTGGGGGGAATTAAAAGAGGATCAACCTGATTTAGGTAAGTTGATGAAGTTAGGTGCAGATATTACATATGTTACTAAAACAGCTAGACAGAATTATGAGGAAATGCAAAAGATATCCTAGAATGTATATTAGAGTGTTAAAATATACAGTAATTTTATTTTGTATGTGTTAAATGATTAGAAATTGGGAGGAGAATTAAGGAAGATAGCTTAGAATATCAAAGAAGAATTTTAAAAAGAATACGGTGGAAGAAATGAATTTTTAAATATTGATAACTAACCTATTCCGTTTATTTAGGTGAGTGCCAAAAAGGCAGAAGTTGGTAAGATTGTAAATGTTAACACCTTATTTACAACATTTTTTGGGTATTAAAAAGAAGAATTGTTAAACAAGTCAATTAATGTTTTGATGCCTAAATTATATGCAGAAAAGCATGACACTTATTTAATTGAATTTTTTGACAATATTGTATTGAATCTAAAATTGGAAGGAGAAATTGATAGTCAGTATTTGGACACTGATTAAACCTAAATATTTAAACATAAAAATGGATATATAGTTCCATTTATCTATCATGTTACTCTTAATCTAGAAACCATGAAATATTTGACAACGTTTAAGAGTGAGAATACCATCAAAAGTTAAGTCATTTTTATTGTGGATAACACATCAAAAATAATGGAAATGTCATCTGGAGCAATAATCTTTTTTGATTTGGAATTAAAGTAAATAGAAAAAGATGTTTATCTCAATAATTTTATCCCCAATGTTCTGTTATAAAACGAGAAACATATCTAGTATAATCATTAAAGCAAAGATGGAGTTGAATGTAATTTAAATATAATACTTTAGAGACATACTTTTTTTCCTGTCTGATTAAAGAGATTAAGCTGCCATAGAGAATGGATGAAAGTACTCATGTTAAATCGAACATAAATGACGACACTAATAATATAAAAACTGGGAAATGGTTGGTTAGATTAGAGAAGTTAGAAAAGAATGAAGTCAATTTAGGAGGTCAATAAAAGAAAAACAAGAATTTTGCAGTCAGTACTCGATAACTTATAACAACAACAAACACAAATAGCAATCCAACTTCATAACAATATCTCTAAACTAAGATTTAAGTTAATCAATCAATTGATGGACAGATTCCTAAATTTGACACTAATTTGGAGTTTGATCAATAATATGCTGTCTTTTTATCAGAACTGTATTCAGAACCTAGATATGATGACTATAAGATGCTGTTAAATTAATAGGTTGAAAGTGAGGTAAATCCAGTTGTTGACTACTCTAGTGACATTGTCATAAGAAGATTAATACGCAATCAAATATTAAATATAGACGAGGAAAAGGAGTAGGAATTCTTACTATAGTTGGAAGAGGAAGAAGAAGAAAACTCAATATTCAGGTTTAATTAAAATTAATATGAAGATGAGGATGATTACAAGATATTTGCTCATAGGAACTCTTAAGATCTTATTAGAAGAGTCTTAAATTAGGATCACAAGCATATGAAGATTACAGAGTTCAAAATATATTCAAATCTCTGGATATTCTTCATCTTCTTCATTACAATTCTTTAATATTTATTCTGTCAATCCTACTTTGTCTCTTACAAAGAGAGTATAAAGTCAATTTACTTAGTGAATAACGAAATTATATTTCAAAATCAAGTAATCTCACGGGTCTTAGATCTATGTTTACCTTAACAATTTAATATTACTTAGTTGTATCTAGAGCTTTAGTATGCTGCCAACAATGCAACAGCTTTCAATCAATACGTAAATTCTGCATTATTAGATAACTATTTTGACGATCATTTTATTAATTTAAGATTCTTTGATGATGATTAGTACACTGAGATTAATATCAAATTGGAAAGTGCTCTGTTGCTGATTGAAACTTTAGCATTAAATACTACACTTTTGAATAATCAAACATTCAATTACAAAAGCAATATAATCTAAAACATAGTCTATAATCATTTCAATGTTGTTCATCAATAGATTATTAATATTGCCTATGAGTTATACTCAAATGTTGAAAGCTAGATGAACTAATATGATGTGAATCTATTAATTACATTGGGAATATTGATCTTAGTCACTACCCTCGCAATGACAAAGTTCATTACTTTGATGTTGAGTATCAAAATGGACAGAGAGAACATCTTGTTCTTATTTTTAGATATCCCATAAAAACATATAACTATACTCTATAAGAAGGTTGAATATTTCATTAAAAATTATATTGGCATAGAGGAATTAAAAAGAAAAAATGAATTAGAAGGTTATGATTCGAGTGAGGAAGAATAGATGCAGGAAGATTAGATTAAGATTTAAAAAAACCCAGAAGAGGAAGAGAATTTCATTTAATTACAATTGAAAAGAAAGAAAATTATTGAGAAATACAGAAAAAATAAGTTTAAAGGCAATCAAGCAATTATCATTCAATTTATATTCATTGCTCTGTGTACATTGATATTTGCTGTTTACAATATCATCAGTTCCGCTAGTGAAAGAAATCAAATTAGATATTTACTCCCTGAGTATTTTTCAGGTTCCATGGACATTTCTGAATATGGAAACTATCTCAATATTTTTAAATTAGCTATTTTAGACAATCAATTTAATCTGATTAATTAAACTTCTTATGAGTCAGCTTTTGCTTAAATTGAAACCTTTACAGGCAATCAATTAAGTTCTGTAAGCTTTGCTTCTGCTCTGTTGAATCAATTGCCAACGTTAAGAAATATGTATTTTGGAATTTACTATGGAGATATTTGTAATGAATTAGGGTTAGCTAAAAGTGATATTTGTTATTCAATTATTGAAGGGAATCTTGAATTAGGGATTTTTAATGTTGAACAATATTATTTATAGTATTTTAGAAATCAATTATCCATTAATTAAAAAGGATAGATTGTTTATGATCCATATATATATGAGATCGATTAGTCAATGTATAATTATGTAAGGACAGCTGTGGATTAGGTGTAGAGCTATTAATTATCAATGATGACAAATTAGATGGATGAAACATTGAACATTTAACTTATACTTGTTATCATTTTCATATTGGTATTACTACTTATTTTTATAATCTATTGGTTACCATTTCTGACTAGTATTAATTCATAAGTAAAATTATTATTTGAATATAATAGATCAATTAAAACATACAGATGTTAAATATGATACCTATAGATGTGATCAAAGACAATAAGACAATTAGAAGATTCTTGAAAAATATAATTAAAGATATGAATATTTAAGATTGATAATATTATAATTATATTTAAATTTATTTAAATTAGAATCTATTCTCTAAAGGTTTAAAAAAATGAGATAGTTAGAATTTACAGAGAAGCTAGTTTGATTTTTTACAAGAAATTTCTAAAAACTATCCTAATATATTTTTTAAAGAATGAATGAGATTCTTATAATATTCATTATTCTAAATTTAAAAAGCAATTTTGCATAACATTTGCATTTCAAACCTTCTCTTATTACATATAAAGTGAGTACAAATTATAAATTTCGAGTTTAAGTTGAAAATAATCACAAAAAATAAAAAAATAGGACTCAAAATTTACGGTTATCATATTATTAATCAAACAAAAGTTTGATAAATTGGAAATTAATTATACATAATGTCAGAATCAATCATTTTAGAAAGAGGTCTTAAGAATATACGTTAGCTAAATATACAGAATATATTTTAATTGTATTTAGGCTATAATATATATATTCTTTTATTAATTCCTTTGATTCATATCCCATCATAATATTTATTCAGGAGGGAACAATTCTTCTATATATCTTCATATATAAAATATTTTGATGATGTAATCACTTTAATAAATTAAAAACAATATGTTTACGACATGTATATTTCTTTTTCTTAGTGCAGTCACGTATGCTTAATGGCAGCTTGTAAGTGAGGACTTACTTGGATTCACCGTTTCTGGAGCTAATTGGAATTATAGAGGTTCCTGTGATTGGAGCAGTGGGTCAATGGGTGGAGGGGGATCTGTTGGGGGTTGTTAAGATAACGATATCGAATACATTTTAGTAGGGAATTACAATGATAGAGCCTACTACTCAGTTTTAAATTTGCCTCCGCATTACTAAGTCAAAGTCATAGTGGATGGTTATTTTTTAGATTCTTCTAGTAGTAATTGGTTTACTGTCGCTTATGATGTCTAAGGATCTTCAACAGCTACTTAAACATTTTAATATAAGGATAGTACTTTGGGATAATTTCAATTAGTATGTAAATCTATGGGAGGTTGGAATAATTTTGAGATATAAACATTTTATCTGACATTCTAGCATAATGATAACACAGAAATTAGATTTAGAATTTGCGGAACAAATTTTGGTAGCAGAAATTATGGCTCAAGAGCATTTTAGATTTATGTAAATAAATGTCATTGGTCATGCTTAAAATGCAGTTCTAGCAGTGCTGCGAATAATTGCTTGGCTTGCTTTACAAGTCCTTCTACTACCTTAGGTTCCCCTTCAACCTGTGGCAGTTGCCCTACTAATGCAGCATTTATTGAATACCTAGATGATACAAAAAGTTGTGTTGTTGAATGCCATTATTATCGAGTTCCAGATACTAATAAGGTGTGCTAATTTAATGAAAGTACTGATCTTAATTATAATTAGATATGTTACCCTACACAACTTACTTTGATGCTACAACTTTCAGTTCTACATCCCCTTGGGTGTTTGTTCCTGATCCAATCAACTACAATTTGGTTTATTCCTAAAAGATTAGCACTATTTCTTGTTAAACGAGCAAGAACTTTGTTGGTCCTTTCCTTTATAATGAAGGTTTTAGTGTGACTCTCTCAATTCCTTAGAATATATCTTATGTACGATTTAGAGCAACAATTATAAAACTAAATAATTGGATAGATTATTCAGCAGTTCATGTTTATTTTGATAACATAGAGTTTGCATCGGTATACACATTAAGTCAGGTGCTTACTGGTCGAAATGCTGATCAGCTCTACTCTGATTCTAATTGTACAAGTCCAACTGTTGGATATTTCAGATTAGAAGCAAAATTAAAATCCAACATAACAAATCCAGTATTGCGTTTATAAGGATCTATGGAGTATTTATATTTACATTATTAACAGTTCAGCTGGCTCACAATCATGGGGCTTTAGAGATGTTGTTATGGATATCATGAAATGCTAATCATCTTGCAGTTGGTGTGACTTTGATCTTAAATGCTATGCTTGTTCATCAGGATTTCTTTATAAAAATAGATGTGTACCAAGTTGTCCAACACATTCAGTATAAACTACTGGAGTTTGTACTGACTTCGATGAAGCAATTGATAGTATTTATTCTATTAAGATTTAGATTCCAAGTATATAATAAAAGCATTCTATGATTCTTCAAATACTACTGAAACTGATGTACCCACTATTGTAGGAACAATGACAAATGGAGGAGCAGATTTTTAAACCTCTGATCACTTTCTAAGTACTACAGGTGATGTGTATTTTAGCTATTACATGGGAAAAAGAGTATTAGGAGGTCCAATTGTTTGGTACAAAGCTACATTTACGAGAACTTTCACTTTAAATCCACATTATAAATTTAGATTGAAATTTACATTGGTTTTAGGTGATAATTTTTCAGGAAATTTTTAATATACAGTAGGAGGATTTTCATAGACAATAGTATATACTGATTGTGCAAATACAGCTAAAAATGTTGGTAAGACTCAATAAGATAAATTCATTACTATTGATAGAACAGAAGTGCACACAACAAGCAGCTTTTCTGTTTAGCTTAAATGCGGTTCAACAGCAGCATCAGTAAAGGATAACTTTTGCATTGTTTATGATTATTTTATAATCGTCTTAGAAGTAAATAAAAATTAATAATTAGTGCACTCAATATTGTACTGCTTGCACTGGTCCCACTTGGGCATTATGCACAGGAAAATAAACATTACCAACAGGCATGTCATCACCATCCACCTGTGTTGACAATACTTATTATTTAGATAACACAGTTACGCCTCCTGTTTGTAGAACTTGTACGCCTTCTTACTGTTTAGAATGCTAAAATTCTTATATTTGTACTAAGTGTGCTTCTAATTTTTATTTGTAAAATGGAAATTGCTAATGCTACCCTTGGACCTATTTAACAGGTTCCAATACTTGTGCAAGCTGCCATGCTTTATGTGATTCATGTTATGGTCCAAGTAGCAATTAGTGTTTGTCTTGTAAAGGTTCTTAACATAGATATTTGAGTAATAATGTTTGTATTTGTTAAAGTAATTACTACGATGATGGTGCAAATAATATTTGTCAATCAGTTTGTGGGGATATGGTAGTCACTGATGGAGAAGACTGTGATGATGGCAATACAATTAGATTTGATGGTTGTAATATTTGCAAATTTGAATGCTAAAAGGAATGTTAAACTTGTGTCAATGGATAATGTTCTGTTTGTTCTTCTGGTTATACACTTTAAAAGACTATGAAAAGATGTTTTCCTACATGTGGAAATAGTTCTATTGTTAGTTAAGAATAATGTGAGGATAATAATCTGACTCCTTATGATGGATGTTATAATTGTTAATTTTAATGTTAACTTCAATGTACAAATTGCATCTATGGAAAATGTTATGATTGTGATAATTCTATTGGATATTATATTAATTTAGCTACTTTTAGATGTGTTACTTTTTGTGGTGATTAAATTGTAGGAGGCACAGAGCAGTGTGACGATGGAAATAATGACCCTTTTGATGGTTGCATCAATTGCGTTTTTTCATGTGATAATTTTTGTGACTTATGTATTTAAGGGGTTTGTACTAAGTGCAAATCAGGATTTTAATTGTTGAGTAAAAGTGGTGAATGTGCTCCAATTTGTGGAGATAAAATTGTTACATATTATGAGGGATGTGACGACGGCAACTTACTTAATTATGATGGTTGTGATTCATGCAATCTCACTTGCTAAGAATAATGCACATCTTGCTTAGTTGGAACCTGTTATGAATGCAATACTCCTGGATATTAATTAAATAAAAAATTATAGAGATGCATTCCCAGTTGTGGAGATAATATTTTTACTTCCATAACCGAGTCTTGTGATGATGGTAATTAAACAATAGAAGACGGCTGCTTTTAATGTAAATATGAATGTTAGGCTGAATGTCTGACATGTGCAGCAGGAATCTGTTATAGATGCAAATCTAACTTTTACCTTAGTTCTGACAATGTTTGTCTTCCTGTTTGTGGCGATGGAGTTATTTCTAAATTTGAATCATGTGATGATTACAACTTCGTTATTGAAGATGGATGTTCAAGTTGCTCTTACTAATGTGAATAACCTTGTGCTCAATGCTCTTTTGGAGTTTGTACATCATGTCAAACTGGATATTATTTGAATCAATCAAAGTAGAAATGCTTACCTATTTGTGGTGATAAAATGATCTATGGAGATGAATAATGTGATATTGGCATCATCTAATTTGATGAAACAATTAAAAATAATACAGGGTGTATTAGTTGTAAACTTCAATGTTCGCCTTAATGCGAAATTTGCACTTAAGGCTTATGTTTGAAGTGTAGAGAATCTTAGGGATGGTATTTAGACTCAGAAACTTCAATTTGTTACAGCAAATGTGGAGATTCAATCATAAGTGATTCTGAGTAATGTGAGGATTCTAATTCTCAGCTCAATGATGGATGCACTCAATGTCAATTTAATTGTTAATAAGAATGTTCAGTATGCATTTTTGGAATATGTTACCAATGTATTTCTGGATATAAATTAATTAACTCAAAATGCTAATCAGTATGTGGCGATGGGATTATAGCTGGAAATGAGGAATGTGAAATAGGATTGATAGACTTTAATGGATATGAATGTGTAAATTGTAGATATAAATGTTCAGAAGGTTGTAATAATTGTGTCTATGGTAAATGTGTAGAATGTAAAAATAGTTACGGGTGGTACTTGAATTTAAATAATTAATGTGAATCTAAATGTGGTGATTTAATTATCAGTGATGTTGAGAGTTGTGATGATAACTCGGAATCTTGCGATAGTTGTGATTTTGTTTGTGATGATAACTGCAATTCATGTCAATTTGGAATTTGTTAAAGTTGTATAACAGGATATTAATTATTGCTAAATTAATGTGTTAATGTTTGCGGAGATAAAATTTAAACACAGAATGAAGATTGTGAAAATGATGATATCCTCCCATTTGATGGATGTTCTTTCTGTTAATTTTAATGTCAAAGTTAATGCTTATAGTGCATAAATGGGGAATGTATATCATGTGATGAAAGTAGTGGATGGTATCTATAAAATAAAAGATGCGAGACTAAATGTGGTGATGGTATTATAGCCGAATTGGAAGAATGTGATGTCAATTTAAACATTGACAATGGAGACATCTCATCTAATCAATGTTTTAATTGTCGATTAACTTGTGTTTAAAATTGTGTGAATTGTGATAGGGGAATCTGTAAAAAATGCAAAAATGGTTATTATTTAAATGACTTAAACGAGTGTGAAAACATATGTGGTAATTAAACTCCTGAGGATTTTGAAGTATGTGATGATGATAACCTGGATGGTTTTGATGGTTGTTTCTAATGCTAGTATGACTGTTAACCTGAATGTTAAGTTTGTCTTTATGGATAATGTATGAATTGTTAAGACGGATTTGTGTTTGATAATGATTCTGCTACATGCAAATCTATTTGTGGAGATATGAAACTCACTTAATATGAAGAATGTGATGACGGTAATGATGTACCTAATGATGGATGTCATAATTGTATGTATTCATGCACAGAAAATTGCATTACTTGCCTCAAAGGTGTTTGTTATGATTGTATATAGGGATTTGTGCTTGAATTTCCAAAATGCATCCCGGATTGTAGAGATACTAGTCTTACCTAAGATTTAGATATATGTTATTAAAAAGAATGTTAAAGAGAATGCATAATTTGTATAAAAGGATCTTGTTATAATTGTTAAAATGGATGGTATTGGAATGAAGTAGAGTACACTTGTGAAAGCAAGTGTGGAGATAAAATAATAGTAGGTGAGGAATAATGTGATATGCCTGTAAGTTATGAAAGAAGCGACACCTATTGTAATGATGAATGTTAATTTGCATGTCCTGATAATTGTACTACTTGCTCATTTGGTATTTGCCAAAAATGTTAAAGAGGCTATTATTTGATAGAAAATAAATGCGATAGTTATTGTGGTGATAAGGTAATGACAGAATATGAAGGATGTGATGATGATAATATTTTACCATTTGATGGATGTTTTTCATGTCGATATGATTGCGAAGAATAATGCACATTGTGCATAAAAGGAAAATGCGAGGTTTGTCGAAGTGGATATGAATTAATTAATGATCGTTGTCTTTCTATATGTGGAGATGGTATAGTTACTGTTGATGAAGACTGTGATGATCAAAATTCTATTAAATAGGATGGTTGTAATTAATGCAAATTTGAATGCGATTAAAATTGTTAATTTTGTGAATTTGGGAAATGCGTATTTTGTTCAAACGGATTTTAATTAATAAGTTAGATTTGTACCTCAGTTTGTGGAGATGGTTTTATTGTTGGAAATGAGAAATGTGATGATGCCAATTTAATTGATGAAGATGGGTGTTTTGAATGTTAATATGCATGCCAATCATAATGTTAGACTTGTTTATATGGATCGTGTGTTTTATGTGATGAAGAAAAAGGATGGCATCTGACATCATAAGGAGATTGTTAAACTCTTTGTGGAGATACCATTGTATCTGGAATAGAATAGTGTGATGATGGAAATGAGTTGAATTATGATGGATGTTACGAATGCAATTATATTTGCTAAGAAGCTTGCACTAAATGTATCACTGGTTCATGTTATGAATGTAACACACCAGGATGGAGATTGGACAACTATTATTGTTGGGAAATTTGTGGAGATGCATTAAGGGTTGGAATTGAAGAATGCGACGATGGTAATGATATCCCTTATGATGGATGTTTTTAATGTAAAACACAATGCGAAGAGGCTTGTACAGTTTGTTCTGAAGGATAATGCCAGGAATGTACATTTGGTTGGGCATTAAATGATAAACATAGATGCGAAACCATATGTGGAGACAAGTATGTTGTACCTAGATATGAAGATTGTGATGATGGCAATCTATTACCTTATGATGGATGCTATGATTGTAGTTATTAATGTGTTTAATATTGTACTGATTGCAGAAAGGATGTATGCTATGAATGTAATACACCTGGATGGACTTATGATGATAAAACTCAGGTGTGTATTCCTATTTGTGGAGATGGGGAAGTCAATGGATATGAATAATGTGATGATGGAAATACAATTTAAAACGATGGTTGTAGTATCTCTTGTGAATATTAATGCCATATAGCATGTCTTAATTGTGATAAAGGTAAATGCTTAGAATGTGATCGCTATTTGGGATATTTTGAATCAAATAAATAATGTTCATCCAAATGTGGAGATGGACTTTGGGAATAAAATACAGAATAGTGCGATGATGGAAACTTAGTTAACTAGGACGGTTGTGATAGTGATTGTAAGATTGAAGTTGATTGGTATTGTGAAAGTTAAGCAATGCAAATAAGTATTTGTATTTTCAAAAGATAACCCACTATTCAATTGAAGCTTTTAGAGTAAAAGGAAGGCCAATCTAAAATTGAAGTGACCTTCTCAACTTAGATGATGCTTTAACCTAATTTTGTTTTGATTGAAAATGAAAATGATCCCATTGATACTGATCAAGCTCTCTTCTTTGTCAGTGTTGATGAATTAAACTAAGGGGATTTTGAATATAGCATTGAATCTGTTGTTAGTATTTAAAGTTTTCCTTAAGATATTAAATACATCCTCAATTTGAATCTCTTAAATAATGTTTAAAATGATTAAATCAATGTTTTGGTAATGGTTGATAAAAGACTAATTATTACTGAAGATTATGTCAATTTGGAAAAAAATTCAGATTAGATTAGAATACCTGTTCCATACATTGTTAGTTCCTATTCTTAAAAGGTAGTTGAACTTTTTTCGAATACAAATGAAATTTCTATTTACACAGCTATGGGTGTTTCTGTTTTAAGTATATTTTCAACAGGATATTCCAATCTCTTCATGACTCTTGATACAATCTAATATCTTTATTATGCCAGATATATCAATCTGGAATTTCCTGATAATTTGTAACAAACAATGGACAATCTAAAAAAGTCTTCCTTGACCTAAATGGTCAACAGTAGACTTGGGGATACTGGATTACCTAAAACAATCACTGCATAGCCTAATTAAACAGTTAAAGAAATGCCAAATAAATTCAAGAGAGACAATTTATAATATGAGTTTTCTTCAAATATAAAAGCAACAGCAGTCACCTTATCAGTAGGTCTGAGTGTCTTTTTGACAACTTTAACATTATCCAAATTACTCCATTTGATACCTCCTCATAAACTAAATGACCTTGGTTCAATAGTTGGAGGTGGAATCTTGAAAGTTCGATCAAAATGTACAAAGATATCTAATGATTTTGTTTACTCAGGAGCTATTAGATTAGTCACAATTAATTTCTTTGAAATGCAATTTGCATCATTACTATAATTAACACATGTTGATTTCACTTCTAATAGTGATATTGCAAATTCAAGTGGAGCCATAGCTACTCTAGCCTTCACCTTTGTATTTACCAGCATACTCACTCACAGAATAAGATAAATCTAAACTAAGTAATCTCTCAGAATGAAGCATTACATAAAAACACTTTTGCAATAGGATGACAAAAATCTTTAGAAATCAACATGGCAAATGTAGTATAATACAATATTGCTTGCAAAAAAGTCATTATTTATGTTTGCAATTGTTTGTTTTTAAAACTAAGGGTTATATTAAACAATTGTAGTTGCAACATAAGCAGCAGGGTTTGCTACTTATTTGGCTGTATCTTCACCATTTTCAAATAATGAAGATTAAATTAAATAAATGATTACAGAATTAGGAATGCTTGCAAATTCTCTAAGTTTTTCAACCTATTATACATACGAATACTTTTCGATATCAAAAGAAAGTTTAAATCAATTAGGATGGTTCAATATAGGCATATTTACTACCATTTTGACTTCAAATTTAGCAATTGATGCTACAACTTAAATCAGGGTAATGTACAAGAAAGCAAAGAGAGCCTTTGATAGGTTTTTAGAATCATAAATGCCATCTAAATCCAGAATTTAACCAATTTTTGTTTGATAAACTATTATAAATATCAAATATTTTAATTAATTAACTTTTAGATTGCTCTCTATTTTTAGGTTAAATTACCTCTAAAAATTTTCAACATTTTTCTGTCTTCTTTTTAATAAAATAATTTATAAAAATTTATAGTATGAAAATATTATTCTGGTTGATCTCATAGGGATATATGTGGCTACCTAGAAAAATACAGAAATCTGTCTAACAATCTTTACTTTTGTAACAGGGAATTGATTAAACACAAAAAGTATCTACTAAAATTTAAATTAGATTGAATTCTCGAATGGAGAAGTACAAAAGATCACCAATTTTGGAATTCCAACCAATAATATCAAATTAATCAGTGTATGGAAATGTTATATTTGTTTAGATTAATACTATAATTGGGGCATTTATAGAAAATATAATAAGCATTGAAAATATAATAATACTAGGAATTCTAATTATCCTACTTTCTGGTTAAACTTATCGTCACGATGAAAACGAAGAAATCATTGTATATTATACTCTTTTTTGTTACCTTCTCAATCTATTGTTATCTCTTGCCAACATACTATTAATTGCCTTTTAACGAATGATATAATAAAAAACCATCAATTCTTAAAAATGCACTATCATAGCTAAATTCCCAGATATTACAGCAAAGCAAATCTCAAATGAAAACAAAGAGTAAATTAACAATCATTATTTTATATAGGTTGAGTTCATATGAAACTATAACTTGGAGTTAATTAACAGTTGGTCACATTATATGCTTACAATAGAATGAGTAGAGTCCTGCTGATTTATTGATCTTGGATTCAAGTAAAGAGCAGGTTCTCATCAATTTTGATTAAAGAACTCCATGCTCATGCACTTTTGTTAATTTAAATTAAACAATTAAGGGAAATATTTTAGACTTCAAAACAAAGTTAAGTGGAACTATTTAATTCACTATTACTGATCTTTAAATATAAGGGACTATTAAAATGAAAAATGACCCAAAATTAACTCCTTTTACTAAAAAGAATATGATTTAGAGAGGAGAAATCTTGGATTCAGTTGATTGGATTTTTGGTATGGTAATTAGGGTTGGCAATGATTGCATTGCTTAAGCTAATTTTTCCAATTAGAACTTTACACAATCAAGCTGGATACACAATATTTATTAGTAGATTATACTAATATGTATAGTATTGCTTATAATATTATTTGTTCCAAATATCATTTATTATTCTTTTTAATCCTATGAGAAGTATTTCTATAGTAGTATTACTTATTGTTTATTATTAATACCCCAAAATTTATTATGGTTAAATTAATTGTGGCTTATGATTAACATGATAACAAATAATAGGAAGTTTAATAAGAAATAAGATAAAGTATGTGTGACTTAGAAATCAATGAATAGATTGTTAAGTGAGATCAATGAAAATCAGTTACTTATTATATCTGAAAATGAAAAGAAAGTGCTCTTACCAATTTAAAAGCAGTTTAAAATAAATTTCCCTAAAACTATACACGCTGAAAATGAACCCCATAAGTAGTAAAAGATCGAAAGAAATTTAAAAGGAATTTTGACCTTTTCCCCAAAGAGTATACTAGATATGATCAAAGGAGATATGATATTAATAAATAATCCTCAAGAAATATTTAAAAATAAGCATCAAATTATGTAGATAATAACCAACAACTAAAAATAATATATATTTAATTACTAAAAATTGTAAGAATTAATAATAAAAGCATCGCCAACATTAAAAAACAATTATGAAAAATTATTAATTGATACTAATAGACAATAGACCAATGATGAATAGAAGACATAAGATTTAGATTTTTTATTGGCAGAAAAAAAAGTTCCTAATTTAAGAAATTCAAATGAAGGCCATAATTAAATAAAGAAGCTTTAGTTGGCCTAAAGGGAAGAACTTGGAATCAAAAAGTTATCAAGTGCATAGAAACAATAATTACCTAAAAAGAAAAGTACAAGATATATTTTTGATTAATCTTTTGCAAAGAAATCATTAGAACGAATTGACTCAATGAAAGATCTTAGTAAAGTAAATACTAATTCTTCAAATGGTAATATTACGCCTCTTGTTTCAATGTCTAAATAAAGAAGTCAGTTTTTTGGCAAGGGGGGAAGCATGATAAAACAGTACCAAAATAATAACACTTCTCTTTAAATATCTCCAATGAAATAGAACGAAGATCAAGGCACAGACAGATTGGTTGGAGATTATTATAATGAATAAGATTTTATAGAATAGCTTTATAAAAAGGATGACACTCTTCATAATGAAATTTTATTGATGATTCTAATTACAAATAATATTTTAAGTGTTTTTGATGATTAAACTAGGTAGCTACAATTTAATTTTGGGAATAAATTTGATGAATCGTTATTAGAATTCGCAAAAGTCTTCAATTATTAATTATTATGCAGTACTGAAATCGAAAACTCAAGATTGGATTATTAATTAAAAACCTATATCAAAAAGGTCATTTCTATTGAAAATCAAGTGAAAGTTTTTGAAGTTCTAGCATTTTTGGAGCCTACTGAAAATAGAAAGAATACTCTATCTGTTTTAGTAAGAGATCCTGAATCTTTTCTATTGGAAGAAGGTTCGATACTATATACAAGAATTTAAACTAATCAATTAAAAAACATCATTAAAGGAAAAAATGATTCTAATAACAAACAGCCTGAATATTACAACACTTATAATGAATAATTATAAGAATTATTATGGGATGGCCAATCAACTTTCATATACAGTAAACGCTAGTTGAGCTAAGTGCAAACATAAGAGTTTTTATCAAAATTGTCTTAATTGCATGATGCTTATGGGAATAGATCATAAGAAATAGAAATTGAATATTAAAAATTAGAATCCCACAATGAAATTTTATTTTGTATAGGCATTAAATCTGGGTATCAGAATAATTAAATACAAATTTCACAAAATGAATTTAATGGAGATTCTTTGAAAGAGGATAGGCTTTTTCAAACTTTGTATATGCAAAACATCAAGACTTGCTTAACTACATCAGAGTCATACGAAGAATTGATCATTTTTCTTAGGTCACATTAAGTGGTTTAAAAAGAATAAATTGTTCATTTTAATGAAAGAGATGTGCAATAATTGTAATATAGGTTTAGATAGCATATATAATATATGTTAGAAGAATAGGATATCATGGGATGTGATGTATAAAAACATATGGAGAAATATATAATAATCAGCAAATAGTCATTCAATATAATATTGTAAGATGATTATCTAAAATATCATTTTGTATTTATAACATAATTTGCAAGTGGTTTGGGAGCCTATGAATTTACAGGTAAATGCAATGGATAATTAATAAAATTACTAAAATTAAACAATAAGAAAATAATTACTATTGGTAATTCACTACAAAACAACTATTTATTTAATAAGTCAGACATTAGTTTTACATTGTCTTAAAATAACCCTTTCTTTTGTATCACTTAGCCAAACTTCATAGTTAAAAATATTAAGTAAATATTTTCAGTCTTCTACTTTTATTGCACTCAGTATTTATAAAATTACATTTCTCTTTTAGAAATATAATTATACAGAAGTACTTTAATAGGATTATCAGTATTTGGAATAAGTTTTTCCTAAAACGATATCAACTTATTTACTTTGATCATATTTTATCTTATCCCAAGCAACTTACTAACATTCATTTTCTAACAATACTTGCTTATTAATTAAGTAGATTATGATTTGAAGAATTTTAATAATTTTGCAAAAAGATTAAACATATTAAAAAACGAAAATATCTTCAATTAGATAAGTAAAATTATTTTTATTGCATTGTTTGATTCCTCATTGGTAATTTTATTAGAAAAGGCAATTATCCATGTGTATTCTAGTGATGGAAAGATTAACTAAACAATTTAAGTTGTGTTGTTGTATTTGGGTATTGAACTTTTGGAGAAAAGTAAGTTATTATTTATTGTTTTTGATACCCTTAAGGATCTTTTATATAAGATTAAGCAGACATTTTTAATTATATCCATAATATTTGTTTTATCATTTAGCTATTTAATAGTGTAATCATTATAAGACAATTAGAAGATTTCATTGCAATTAAATAACATGGGATTGGTGGTTTTTATATTCATGGCTGTATTTTTAGTGGGAGTATCTTTTGTTCTGTATTAATCGCTTCAATTGGTTAATATTGAATTCTCATTTCCAGTTGATAATGCATAATTAGATATTCACATGAAGCAGATCAATGATATAAAACAAAACCTGAATTTGGAAAATAATGAAAAAGGACACTTTCAAAACATAAAGAAAATGATAGAAACATTATTTGAGAATATGGATGTTGTTGATGAATAGATAACTAAATTTATAAAAGTTGATTAGACAACTATAGATTACATGGATAAAACTCATGGATTTTATGATAGGAGAACCGAGAATGATTTTATGGATTTCTTTAGACAATAGAATTGGCAAAAGTTTAGCTTATTATATGTAGTTATATTTTATGAGGTAACAATATACATAATTCACTTATACGAGATTATGATATACACCTTTTCAACATCCATTCTGATAATAATCACCATCTAATTATTGTTATAATTGTTTATTGTGATTCTTTAATTCAAATTCGTTTACAACAGAACTTTGTAGTAATAATTGTAAATCCTATCATTTGCATTACGATTCGTTTTTAAAATCATAATAGATTTACTCTACTTGGATCAAAGCAAGGAATTCACTGCTTTCCTCTATCATACCTTATTTATTATATCTTTTGCACTTACAACCCAACCTAAGATCAACATGTGTTTATACGTTGCCTTGCAAGTGATTATGTATCTTTTTAATTTAGTATTTGATGGCTTCACTATTAATTTTGAGAATGTTAATCAAGCTATATTTTGTTCATTGAAATATTTCTTCATTATTATCGAGATCTCATACCCTATTTTTAATTACATACAGAAAATATAATTCTTATAAAGATCATAGTACGTTTATTAAAACAGATTAACAAAGGAATAGAAGAAAATTAATAGTGTGTTGGGTCTATTAATGCCTCGATTCATTCAGGAAAGAATGAACAAAGGGTAGATTTAAATCTCATAAGATCAAGGAGATGTCAGTGTCTTATTCTGCGACATATATTAGTTTGATAAAGTAATTAAAGATTAATAGGAAAAAATCATTGAGTTTTTGGATACCATCTATAGAGCATTTGATTAATTGTGTTAGAATTATGATTTGTAGAAAATTGAAACTGTTGGGAAAACCTATATGGCTGCAGGAGGTCTTAAAGATTATGATGTTGTGATAAGTAAGTTCAAATTTGATTTTTCTAGATTAAAAAAATGCCAATAGCACTTCCAGAGCCCTTGAAACTGCAATATAAATGATGGAAACAGTCAAAACCATGAAATATGGGGATAACTAAGATGTTCAATTGAAAATAGGAATCCATTATGGCAGAGTGATTGCTGGAGTTATTGGGGTTCATAAACCTTAATTCTCACTCATAGGAGACACAGTTAATACAACAAGTAGAGTATGTAGCACAGGAGAAGCTGGATTTATTACATTAAGTGAGGCCGCTTATTTAAATATCAAGGACAATACTAAATATTAATTTGAATAGAGATCAGTTGCTGCCAAAGGAAAAGGCATGCTTGAAACATTTAGATTAATAATGTAGTAAAAAGAATCTACAAAAAATTTGACTCCAAAGGTATCAACACAAGAATGTCAAGACAAAATTTCAATTCTAGGGTAGGAATCAAAAAAAAAAATATAGAACTTCAAGTCATCCACAGATAGAAAGAAAATTCTTAAAAGGACATCTGCTTAACCAGCTTAAGTTGGTGCCTTGATGCTTGGAGATCATGCGAAATCTCCAAAACTTGTTATTAGATAACTACATAGAGAAACACAATCTTCAATTATGCCAAATATGATTCTAAAATAGAAGCCATCAGCAGAAAATAATTAAGAAACCAAGCGTTTGAATTAGAACAAATCTAAATCATTTAATTAGGTACTCTTAATTTATTTATTGCAAGAATGATGACATCCAAATGAACCATTCAAGTAATGCTAAGACTCCTGGGTTCTAAAAGAATTGGATTCAAAAACGTCAAAGCATTTTAGATAATAATCAAGCAAATGCCTAAGCAATACAAAATAATTAATTGGGATCAATCACATAGCTCTAATTCCAGACTGATCCTAGGCTACTTAATTAAGTTGTATCTGCATCCTGCCAATAGCAAATACTTTAATCAGGTGTGAACTTATCTCATTAATCAAATCAATAGTAATTCTTAAACTCAGCTGATCAACTACTAAAGAATTCTGATTTGCAAGCTGATAACAACAAATAGGAGGCTTTACATTGTATTCCTAGGCCACATATAAAAAAGAAAGGAACCCTAATTTTGGGAGAGCTAATTTAAAGGAAGGGAGGAATTATGAAATCTAATACTAAAATAATACTCCCTGATGAAAGGGAAAAAAATCAAATTATTAAAATATCTGGTGTAGGTGGAGAGAGTGAATCATAAATGGAACAGAAAATATAAATCAGAAATTAACGATCTCTGAAATTACAATAACTTTAAGATTCTAGTTCAGCTTTAAAGAAAAGCCCAGAGTCTAATATTGAAAGATTAGAAGAATTAGAAATAGCAAAAAGAAAAATGATAATCACATCTGAATAAAAATTTGACTATTATACATTAGAGAAAATTAAAAAGTTTAAATTAGACTATGATGAGAAGTCTACCTTTGAAATAGATAGTAATTAATTCAAGAATGATGATTAATAATTGTACCATTCTATTTATGAAGAATATAAAGAATAGGAAAAGCCATAGATGAGAACTATTCTAATATTTCTAACTACCTTAAACATGTTTAAGGGTTTGCTTTTATTTATTTTAAGCTAAGAATTTTACAATTCCTATAAAGAACTAATAATTATTTAGGTTTGTAAATTTTTTATGTGTTCAATTTTGACCATTTGTTATTCGAAGATTTAGGATAAAATGAACCTTGAAACACTTAAGATAATAATTTGGATTTATTTTTTTTGCTCAAGTAGTCTTTCTATATTAATAATCTTTTTTGAAGAGCAGGAAGAGTTTGAAGTAATTTTATAAATAAGTACAATTACAGCTTTGTATATTAATATTTATCTTTCATAAATCTTAAACTATGAGGATAGATAGAGATTTGTTGCTATCTTTATGATTGCAATAACATTAATAATTGTTTATGAAGAATATATTTTAGAAATAATTATTTATTAGCTTGGAATTGCAGGATTAACCTTTTTTTGTTAAATGCAAGAGAAGGAATTATTATTTAAGAACTATTTAATCAGTTTATAGTTATCAACTTAAATTGCTAAATATGAGAACATGCTCCAATATCTGATGCCTCCTCATGCTTTGAGGAGATTGTTGAATCCTGTTCAAGAGAATACGGACACATTCATGGATGTATTAGAAAACACTACTGTTTTATTTGCAGATATTGCTGGTTTCACTAAATATTCAAGTTCTGTTGAACCAGAAACAGTGGTCGATATGCTTAGAAATTTATTCTCAAACTTTGATTAGTATTGTTAAAAAGCAGAAATTTACAAGTTATTTACCATTGGGGATTGTTATGTTTGCATGGGTGTGTTGGATTGTAAAAATCGAGATCCTGCAGGAGAAGTAAGTTTTGTTTTAAGACTAGGCTTAAAAAGTCTTGGCATTTGGGTTTAGTATGATTGAAATCATCAATCATTATAAAATGGATCCCTAGTATTAACATCTAAATATGAGAATTGGAATTCACACAGGCAGAGTATTGGGAGGCGTTGTTGGAACAGATGTTGTTAGATATGATATCTATGGAGAAGATGTTACAATTGCAAATCTCATGGAATCATCAGGATAAGTAATAATAAATAAGATTATCTTAGGAAGGAAAAATACTTGTTAGTGATGCCACTAAAAATTTAGTTGAAAGCGAATATGAGGGATTCTAATTCGATTATGCCAAAGATGTTTATCTACCCTCAAAAAATATGACCATATCTACTTACTTTGTTTAACCAAGTGAGATAGAGTACAGTTAAGATGATTGATATTTCTTCCTTAATTAATTTATATATCTAATAATTTAGTTTATGATTTCAACCACAAAGCCAACAATGTAAGTTAATTTTCCTTTGCTTAGAGAAATGTATAGAAAAAAGCTCTTATTGTAAAGCAATTCGATCTATTACCCTAAATTAAATTGTTTAAACAAGTAGGAAAATTCCCAACTTCCTTTAAAAATAGGATTTATTATTAGAGCATTTAACTTAACACTTGAAAGCTACTTATTACTGACATCAAATTGAAATTATAGGTCCTAGAATAATCTTAGAATGTAAACTTCTTTGAATGCTCACATTAATATTAAGTTGTATTTTATAGAATAAAGAGATATGTTATATTTTTTACTATAATTTATAACAAAGATCTTGTTAAATTATAATATGATTGCTAAGACAATCCATTTTCTATAAATTCAATTAATTTGATTATTATTTGCCATTTTATACTCATATTATAAATAATTTATTAAATTGTTATTTATAAATAATTAAAAATCCTTTAAAATTATTTAATTATAGATTTACCAGAAAATTATATACACAAAAAGGATTGCAAAATGAAAATGGGAGGTTTTTGTTAGATTGTTTGATATATTGTATGGTTGTTTGTCGCTTATTTGCTTCCATAAAAATATTATAATGAATTTGATAAATAATTATAATTATTTGGATAAGATTTTTTAAACATATTTCGATAAGATTGAAAACACCTTGAAATGATAAAATCTGTTGTTTTAGGATAAGATAAGCATAAACATAATCATGATAATTTGATTTCACAAAATATGGGTAAGGGTCGAGCATTTCTTTTAAAAAATTTGTTTCTAAACAATCCGAATTCCTTTTTATCACTCTCCTTATCATTTTTTGAATAAAAGTCTTCTTCCTTCTTTTTGGGGTCTGTACAAAATTGAATCTTTTGCTATCTTAGATAGGTCAGGATTGATTTTATTTTGTGATTTGGTTTATGATACAATTCCAATTCTAGTGAATCAAGACTTGAATTTAGGTCTTCTTGCATAAAATATTTTAATTTCAATTAAACAAGAATAAATATTTTTTTTTAATATCACTAAAACATAGTCGTTAATTCCAAACCTAATTTATATTTATTATTACCAATAAAGTATACTCAATCACTGTATATCAATAAATCTATTTTTAGTATTATTTAAATATATAAAATATAAAGATCAAAATTAAAATAACTAAATTCATAACATAGAATTAAATAAAAATGTATTGACATAAATAGTTTTACTGTTAGCTAGATTCGAAAGTTTTATTTGATAAAATCAATACCCCAAATTTTATGATTTAAATTTTGAAGTTTATGTAAAACAATCAAACTTTTAGAAGGGTAAAATAATGGTTTGAATTCAAATAGATCACTGTTTATAATTGATGCTCCAAACCAATATTATTACAATAATACTTAAAAACCTATTATAAATATTGATAATTGTATTTTAAGCAATAGTAGTATTTCATTTTGAAATTCAATTTTATATTGAAATTACAAATAGATTTCAAGTAAATATCTGAAACTAATTTACTCCAATTTTAGCAAGATTTTGCCTACATTTTTGTAATATTCATATTTTGAATTACTTATATGAGTATAATGAGATTAAATTATAAAATGTAATATTGATTTAAAATAAATCCAACTAAGTTACGATCAATGGATAAACTTTGAAGAACCTGATCAATATCTAATTTTCTCGATGAACTAAACATTTTATAGTTTACTATATTGATGTATTATAATTAAATTAATAAAAGCATTAAATTAAGAACTCAACTATTTAAATCGAATGTCATTGTAAAATTAACATAGATGATTACTTGTTACAGAATAAATGGAGATTCTAATTTAAACTTCTGTAAGCTGAAGAATGAATACAATGGAATTATAAAAAATGATTATAAAATCTTATAGGTTCGAATTATTAAGAATTTTTACTACAATATAGAATAAGTTTCAAATAATAGAGGTAATCAATATAGACACTTAATAATATATTGATTCCATTTCTTCTACAGATGAAATAGTTTGATACTTAATATCGTTTAAGTTATCAACGCTTTAAATTAGTTCTTGGTACAAGGTATTAAATATTTTTAATTACCCAACCAAATTTATTTTAATAAGTCTGTTAGATAACTCAACAATTTAATTTTACTTTTGCTTTTGAAATTGTTTTTCTTCTTTAACTTCACTTCTGATATCCTCATAATATGGAGAAGGTGTTATTAGCATCGGTGCTATTCTACTTTATCTATGATGATTTAAAATATCCTTAATCTTCACTCTTTTTTAGTATTTTCCACTCTTTTTATCATTCAAGATCTTTTTTTAGATATCTTTTTCAGCCTCTCTGACTTATGCGAAGTTTTATAACATTTATTTGCCCATTACCATACTGGTTCTTCTTGATTATATTTAAGCTTATTTTCTATGATCAATAATCTTCCTGACAGCCATTTTAAATATTGCTTAATATTTCCATTTTTTCTCTTGTTTTTATCCAAAAATGTATCTCATTAATTTCTTATGTAATTATTGATATGTATCTTTGACTATATTTCTTTTGAATTGTCTTTCCAAAACTTACTTTTTTGATACAAATTAATTCATCAATTCTCCATCCAATGCGCTTATTCTTTTTATTTATTTTGCATTTTCTATTGAAGAAATAAAGAATATAAATACTTTTTATTCTGGAGATGCTTTCTTGCAATAGCAATCTTCTTCGTAATCCTAACTACTCAATTTCAAATAGTAATTTTTCATCTTCTTACACTAATTGTAAGAATTGCAATACAGGACACATAATCACCACAGAGTCTTTACCAGCAATAGCAGATTGTTTACGATTACTATCTTCCAGGATTTCAATTTCACCAAATATATATCCTTCTTTGATGTTGAGAAGTGTGTTGCCATCATTGTCACAAAGACGAATTTCTCCAGCAACTAAGAAGAACACCTCAAGACTGGGAGATCCATTAAAATATATGGTTTCGTATTGTTTAAAACAGTAGATTGTAAAATAAGGTAAAATGGCTGCTGCAAAGTTAATATCAAATGCAAAGATGTTTACATTTTCAATCAGTTATTTTTGACAAAAAGCTATAGCATATACTTTAAGCTGAGAAGGCAAAGTTTCAATGATTCTGTTATCTTTGTTATATAAATGAAATACTTCTTGTAATTCCAAAATGGATTGTTTTCAATATTATAATAATAATACGAAAATAACTAAGCACTTAATTCTTCTGGAATTAGGATCTGAGACATGAGGGTCTCAAGAGCCTCTAGGTCTTCGTCAAATCCTTCAGTTGATGATTACTGTTCCAATATTGCAGCTAAGTTGCCTATAGTAAATGAATAGAATCCAACACCCACGAAAATCCATATAATTGTTAAATTGTATTGCATAGATGTTGTGATTGGTACATCACCATATCCAATGACGGTGACTGTTTGTATAGCCCAGTATAAGCCATGAATATAAATTGATATGGCATTATCTTCTGCCTATATTCCCTCATATTGTTATACAGAATAAAACAAACAACCAAATAAACTGATCAAAATGAGCATATTTTTGAATATTTTAAGTATGCTCCACAACTTGCCTTCTAATTAAAACAGTTTTTCAAAGTATTATGATTGGTCTTTGGATGTCTGTGTTTCTTAATATATTTATCTTTCATTGTAGCTAAAATACTTAACGAATCTTAGTAATTTTAAAAGATTTAAACACAATTATTCAGTAAAACTATTAACAAATAATTTATACGGGATGATACTAATGAGGTCAAACACTAGCCATCTCTATAAATTAAATATAAAAATAGCTTAGAATGTATTGATTAAGTTATAGTTTTTATCAATTTGGCATGTTATTAATTTAAGTATGATATCTATGAAATACATACTATCCAACATCAAAATAAGTATAGTCATCGCATCCTAAAAATAATGAATATGAATACTAAACTTCGATGATCTGATAAACTAATGTAGATTGGATACAACATTAAAGTAATAGATGTTTGAAATTACATAAAGTATTTCCAGACTTGCAATTAATTTGGATAAAATGGCAGCTTTTTTCTTTTCTTGTGAATTTATTTAAGTTATGAAGTTTTATCTGTCTCTTTTGTTTGATTAATGTGTCTAAAAAATGATAATAGAATCATCAATCTTCGTGATGCAATATCAAATTTGCTTTTTGTTACTCGGTCTCTAAAATAATCATCTTCTTCAACAATTTAATCTTGACTTGTAAACTAACTACGTTTCGGAGTTAAAAATGCTCTATTACTTATTCCACTTCAATAATATCAATTTATACTGTTTTGGTGATATAATGAGAGTGGTTTCCTTTGATGTATGTCTACTTTACCTAATTGTATTAAATAGTTTGAGTGAACTATTCAAGTAAAAAGATATTATACTCTAATCCTGTTTTATAATCCTTTGTATCAATTGGAGATGAGCAACTTGGATGAACCTATCCAACACTCATTTATATGTTAATTTTTCTAATATTTACAATTACTTAAAGTGTATAATGTAGATAATAACTAAGCCAAATATAATAAAATAGCTAGTGTATACAAGCATGAAAGTTAGCCTGGATTGCATGCAATCCAACGCATTAAGTATCCTATTTCAAACAAATGACTGTGCCAAAAATACTTAAGTTAAATTCCAAAATCCTATATATCGAATCCTATTTAGGTGGAGTAGGTATGTATATCAAGAAAAATAAAACAACATGAAATAAGGGATGCATACACTTTTAATTGGTGATTTAGTGTATCACTTAAGAGAATTATTAGCCAAAATGTAGAATATATGATACATTTTAATAAAATATTGAGGATATAGATTATTGGAAGACTGATATATTCAAATATCCTAAGGTAAAGAGGACTACAATTTGGATTGTTCAGGTTAATTTTAAAATTAAAATTATTTCTAATAATCTGTTGAATATTCTCATTCTTCTAATTTTATATTATTAAATGCTATTGATGATTAAATTTTCTTTACAATTTTAGATAATTATATTCAGTTTTGTGATAAGCTCTGAAAATTACTAAGTACTATATTTTCATTAGTAAAAACTTATATAACCTAAGGTACAAAAATAAGAAATATAAGTACTTCAATTATTTACTTATTAAATTTAAATATATTAGAGAAGTTAAATATTAAATATTTTGGCTTAATCATTAATTACAACGATTATCATTATATATATTGTAGAGTATATTAATAAAACTATCATTCATAATTAATAGGATTATTTCTTTGAACATTAATATCCATTTAAATTTTTCATTCTACCTGTAGTTGATTATTCAACGTTTTCCTTTGGAGGTTATTTTTAATTTTTTTGCTTTGATTAACAATTCTGCTTCAATACCTGATTATAAATAGATTCTGGAGGATGACTGCATAATTCCTTAAGAATTCTCTCCTTCAGAGTATCTTCACCTGCTGTATCTTAGTTAGGTTAGGAAGTGTATGATTAAATATTCATATTAGCAAGTATAAATTATCTTTTCCCTTCTATTTAATCTATAGAAGGCTATTTAGAATTGGCTCTCCGATTGAGATTGCTATTTTACTTGTGATTCAATTAATTATTGATTCTAGGTTAGGCATTCTAATGAAGAGGAGTCAAAGTTTTTTATTGTGGTTATGAATCATAATTCTTTTTTGAAAGTTCTGTTTAATTCTTTTATTCTAATACATTATTATTCACTAAAGGATATTGATATTAAGCTTAAATAGATTGAGATAATTACATTTTTAATTTACATGATTGCCTAATAACTTAAATGTTTGAGGAGTTGCATTTGTTAAGTTTTTTTGATGTTTAGGTGTCAATTATCGATCCTCAAAACTGTCTCTGTCTGACTGTTTTGTTATTCCTTATCTATATAACTAATTAATATTGCTAATTAATTATTAATTTGGCAGATCTTCTTATCCTACTTCGATTGTAATTTTCTACTTTTCATAAGATTTATCATTCAATTCAAATTAGTTATCGCTACATTAGATATTAATGTTATGCTTGACACTAACTCTCTCATTAGGAGTTATTTAAAGATTTTTTCTATCTAGACAACCCTTAAATTGCCAACTTTGTGGGGTTTTAGTATAAGTACTACTTTCTCTCTTAGAATTTTACAATGTTGACAGTGGATTAGAAAATGGATCCACCTTAGTATTTAACTATTGCTATAATATTTGAGTAGTGCTTTTTCCTGGAGATTATATATGATCTTTAACTGGATTAGAGCAAGTACTCTAGTAGATATCATCACCTTCCAATAATTCAAATACCTTCATATTTGCAGGTGAATTTGTATGTTTGTGTATTATTTTTGGAGTAGCTTCTAGTTTAGGTTACTAAGATACTTATTCAGAGGAATCCTCAGTTTTTAACAGTAAAGTATAACACATCTTATTCATTGCATCTAATATTTGATTATGTTCAAATTTAAATGATTTTTGTAAATATTCTTAATTAAACTCTTGAATTTACACTTTTATTAAAGATACTTTTTTCTCATATCGACACATTATATCTTCAAAAGGTTTCATTTCCATATTTTTAACTATGTTCTCATGATTATTGGCTATATCAATTTCAAATTGTGTTAATTAAGCATTAATTTATTAGATTAGGCTAATTTTATCTGTAAGTTATTTCAATTAATCAATGTGATCAGTTTCTAATTTAGATAAGTATGTTAGTTTTAACTAATTAGAAGTGTTTATTATAGTTTCAAAGAATAAAATGCAATTTTCTTTTTATTCCATCAATTATTTTGAAGCATTCATCATTAGATTGCTTAGTTAAGAGAACTTATTTGAACATTATGTTATCACCTCACTTAATTATTCTTAAAATCCATAGATTCTTTATTATCTATAAATTTCTGGTTATTTCTCTTGTGTTTCCTCTATTTTTAATCCTCTGAGAGCTAAGGCCAAAGCACATTTTGAACAAAATAAATTACTGTTATCCTATTGAAGATAATATTTTGCCTGATTTATTAACATTGTTATACTTTTTTATTTGGATGTTATACACAACTATTATTGCATTGTTCCTTCTATTTGTAAATATTAGACTTCTTGAGTATTCGTTGTTATTCATTTTAAATATAGGATTTGTCATCAGACTCAGAAGAAGAAAATTATCCACTCATTATCTGTTAAAATATTTATAAATAAATAAAAAGAAGAAAGAATAATTAGTTTACATAATATTTTTACCCATTTATATAACTTTTGTTATAATTAAGAATGAACTCTCTTTTTGAATTTTATTTCTTTATTAAAGCTTATTTTTTTTATAATAACCCTTACTGTTATTTGAATTTAAGACAATTATTTGATACAATACATAAATTTAAGTCTTTTTATTGGAATAAATGTAAGTTTTAATAGATAAAATATAATTTTCATTTAATTTTTTGAACATATTAGTAAAAATTCTAAAATAAATCTTTACCTTCCATTTTTTCTGATGAATTCTTAATATTATGACCAAAATAGTATTGTTGTTCACTTAATATCTCCTTTTCAAAATTTTCAAAATTTTTATAAATACAGAATTATATTTTTGTTTATTATAAACCTATAAATTAAGTTGAATGATATCTTTCAATGTCGAGACAAGTTTATTTGAAAGTGAACCTATTGTGAGGTCCTAAACTACTGGCAAAATATTAAGCTATGATATATCCCATGGTATTAAATTATAACTATTTTATATTTTGTGTCCCTTATTAATTTTAATCATTGATTTATGGGGTATTATCGATTTAAATTAATTGTATTGAAGATACTTCTTATTTATACATCTCCATCATTTGTTACAATGCTTCGTTAATACTTGTTATTTTGTCAAAATAATTTCTTTATTCCCAATTTCTTTTCTGATCATCAAGCTAAAAGGGTTAAATGTTTTATAATTGAGTGATTATAGAATTGGTTACATTTAAATTAGGATGAGTTAAGGAGATTTATAATGAGTTTTCAAATTTCTTGGATTATTTTATGGATAGTTTAATTGGCTTTTTTAATGGCTAAACTTGGTTTACAATAGTGTTATCTCTATGGATTATGGACAGCAGAATCTTGATAAAGTACACTAAATTCATAATAATCGAAATCAGTTTTTGTTTGTCAGTTGTCACAATTAAGTTTTTTAGATTTAGATGCTTATTCTATTTATTAAATTTGTATTCTATTTAAAGGTTAAGACACACATCAATAATAAATGAATCCAATTTCAATACATTGATATCACTCTTAATTTGTCTATGGCAAATTTAATATAAATTAAATAGATTGTTGTTTAAATTGTAAAGAAAATAATTTAATTGCAACTACTATTTTAAGTTATGCTAAATCTAGGTTAGACTTTCATGTTTAGATATTACTTAATAGAATTATTGTATAATTTCAAGTTGATGATTGATTTATTGTAAACTTAATTTCGCATTTAACTATAATTAATAAGAGATTTTTACATATAATTATTTGTCTCTTTATTCAATTGCATTTATATACTTATCATATTTATCCTCTTCAATTTCTTCGAATAAGAGTAATATTTGAGGTTAAAAGGAATTAAAATACACCTAAGTAACTCTGAATTTCCACAGTTTAGACTTATTTTGTTCTTCTAAGACGGCAAAATATTTTTGATCAGGATGTTCTTCATTCTTCAATTTGAGTTCTTAGATGATCTCATGTTCTATTTTGATATATTATTAGGTATTTTAATTCTCAATGTCAAAGAATACTAGTTTTCTTAAGAAATCTCTGAATGCTTCGCTGTTATTGATATTGAATTTATCCTTCAAATGTTTATTTATCTTTTCAACATCCAATAGGCCAGTTAATTTATTATACTTGACAATAACCACCCAAGAAGGCAGTAAGTCTTCTAAAATATTATCATATTGAACTTTGGATAAATTGACTAAAAAGTGTTTTCTTTTGATTATTTCATGCTAATATCTTAATACAACAAGCATTATTGATATTAAACATTAAGAGATAATGGATTATATGTCATAAGTTTGGAAATTATAAAAGTTTGCAATTTAAGTTAGGAGAAAGAAACATGTTTAGCTAATAAATGAGGATCCGGAGATGTAGATTACTATGAATAAATTTAATATTTCTTACAAAACTTTAAAACTGAAGAGTGATAACCATAATACCATAAGTCAGATTCTGATCCAAAGAGTCGTATACTTTCAATGATAGCGCTCATTAAGAGCATGTTAGTAGTTACCAAGATTTCTTTGTATTTTTAATATCTCCTAATTCCAACATAACAAATCAATATCAATGTTAAGCCAACTCCAGCGAATATTTGAGGTATTAAGTTTTGATATTAGTTATATTTTATCACAATCAGGATTAGATAAATAGTGATGGCTGCATATAAGTATTCACGTCTATGCTTGAACCCAATCGATGCTGATTAACGGTACATCTGCTCAATCTCTTGAGACCCGTATTGTAAGCTATATGTTTTAATCATAAATTTATAATATTTAGGAACAATCTTATTTATCACGAGATGAATGATTATATACATTAAATTGAAAAACAATTATACTTAATCAATTTATTTTATATATATAATTTAAACAACATTATATTTTAACTTGGATTAATTAAACAAACTAAATAAAATAATTAATAAAATATGAGTTATGAAACTAGAGTAATTATGAATTATTAGTTTAATTCTTGTGACATTATTGGAAGAGGGTTTAGTTCTATTGTGTATAAGGGGATCAACACCATCACAAAGGAGAATGTAGCCATTAAAGTAAAGCTTATTTATTATACTGGCTTAGGTTATCAAGAGGCAGTTTTCAGATCAGTTGCCACTTATTTAGAATGAGATCCAGATTCTCTCCAAGCTCCAGGGACGCAATATATTGAAGCTTTACGAACACTTCACTACTCAGAACAATATATACATCATCACTGAATACTGTAGGTAAGGAGATCTAGGGTAGAAATTAAAGCAGTTTGGATACTTGAGATAAGAATATGCTGTAGCTATTATTCGATAAATCATAGATGGTATTTATGTGATGGCTTAACAAAGTATTCTAAATTATCATATGAGATATTATACATAGAGACTTAAAGCCATAGAACATCCTAATTAATGAGGATGGTATTAAAATAGCAGATTTCGGATTCGCAAAGCCCTTAAATCAATTATAAAACGAAATGAATGTTGGCACTCCTCTCTACATGAGTCCAGAAACCATAATCAAATCCTAATATAATGCCAAAAGTGATATCTGGAGTCTAGGAGTCCTCTTTTATGAAGTTCTATTTGGATACCCTCCCTTTTAAGCATAGACTGAATAAGAATTGATTTTTAAGATTCTCAACCAACGCATTTCTTTTCCTGATGTTCCCCCTGTCTCTGAAACTGTGAAGGACTTTATCAAACAGTGTCTCATCGTCGATCCCTATTTGAGATTAGGAATCACAGAACTCCTAAAACATCCCTTAATTAAAAGAACGGCAAAAAAGGCTGAAAAATTTGTGAGACCAACAGACACTGAAAGCACTGAATAAACCATTAAATCTGAAATTCCCAACAGTTCAGAACCCTGGACTACTAATAGTTCCAATAAAAAATTAGTTTATGTGAATTGTAAGAACCCTTAGGTTAATGCGATCCTCAATAAGTATTTGAATACAAAAAGCAATTAAGGAACTAATAACAACACAGTTACTAAGAATTAGCCTTTGTTAGAGGAAATCTCATTGATTCTTCAAAGTCAGTTCTCATTGTGCATATTTCTTAATAATATTATATCAAAATTAAAGGATATCAAATTGATCACTCCTTTGTTAAATGAGAAGTGCAGAATAATTTTCTCAAAGCATCTTTAAAGTATCAAAGATACTATCTATAAACAATTGATTGAAAGTGATAATAAATTTAAATTTAAAGATTGGTAACTTTTTTGCAAAGAGAATGCATATAGTAGATTCAGTGCTAAATTCCTATTAGAAAATAACTAATTTACTAAGACATGTTAAGAATATAATCAAATGATTAAATCTAATAAATCATTAATAATTGAATATTAAAAATATGATTCAGAGTTCTATTAAATTTTGTTTGGATTAGAATGGAAGGTCATAAAAAAGATAATCAAAAATTTAATCATCGAATTTAATCACATTATTGCTTAAAATATAGATACAAGTAATTTATGTAATAAAATCAACAAATCCTAATAAATTGAGATTTCCTTCTTATAACAATTATATTATTATTATGAGATAGTCGATAAGTATTACCTAAAAGAATTTGACGAGAAGAAATTTGCTCAGGAGTCCAACATTCAATAGTATATGGTACTAAAGGAATTGAAAATCTCAGACTATTTAGAATTGAGATAACTAATAAAGAGACTAATGAAATCATGAAATATAAATATATTTCATAAATTTTGTATAAATCATATGAAAAACAAAGTAAACTTAATAGTACAGATTCATTTTTACAACCAATTAAGAATATTCTAAGCATTTATTAGAATTTCTAGATCTGTCTATAAAAAATGAATCTAATTGTTCTTTATTTTGTTTAAATTAACTTGAAAGTTGTGTAATTTTAATTGTTTAATTGATTTAGTGAGTAATACTATCAATTTTTCAATGTTTTCCACTTGGTTCTATAATCTCATCAAAGATTCCATTCACGCTTTCCTAACAATATATATTAAGCAATTACATTAATTTAATAAGTTTAGTTTTGTCTGGCTTATCGCTGGTAGATTAAGATTGAGGTTCAAGAACATTGTTTAATTTGATGGCCCCATGATAAATATCTTTTAAGCCTTGCGATTGTTGCATTTACAAATAATCAGATTTCTTGATTATTTCAATGTGTTTTGGGTTTTATTCAAAGAAATTATAAGATTGTTGAGGTTGTCTGAAATTCAAGTTATGTTTATTTTGATTTTTGTCTGCAATTGAATTCGTTCCATGACGTATGGATTGAACTTCTGTTGGTCTTACTTAATATTCACTAGATCGAAATCCATCACCTTTCATTGTGAGTTTCTGGCTAGACCTAAAATATTGTTTCTATCGAACACGGTCCATTATTCTTGATGCCATTTCAGCAGCTTCTCTCTCTATATTAATTTCTGAATGAAATTAATACGAAGACAAACGGCCATTCATTTTGATAATATTTTATTTATTAATGTTATTTAATATTTATTCAATACACTCTCTTTTTTGGAGGAACAGTATCAAATTCTTTTGGATCTTAGGTCTTAGTGATAACCTATAAAATATAGTATTAATTATTACATCTCTATAAGTTAGTTCAATATCACCATTCTTGGTGTCTTTGATTCTGGCCAATGTGTGTTTCATCCAGTTCTTGTCATCTCTATCTGGGAAGTCATCACGAGCATGAGCTCCTCTGGATTCCTTTCTATTTAAAGCCCCTTCGATGGTCATTTTGCCTTACACTGAAATAATAGTAAAGGATAGTAATACATAGTAAATTGTCTAATTCTAATCCTTCGATCAGATCAGAATTCCATACAAGTCCTTTGTCTTTGATTCTGATATCATCTTTTCTTGAATAGATTTCTTTGACTTTTTCAACACCCTCTTACAATGTTTTTTCAATTCTAAAGACAGCAGCATGTTTTTGCATAGTTCTTTGGAGATCCTTTCTGACTTAAGCAACAGTCTGAGATCCTTCATGATGTCTTAATCTGTCTATTCTGGCAATGGCAGCTTCTCCAGCATTTTTGGGTAAATCTGGTTGTTTCTATCCAGGTTTCCACTTTTCACCAACAAGATTGGCAGCTTGTCTTCCAAAAACAACGATATCTAATAAAGAATTTGCTCCCAATCTGTTGGCACCATGGACTGATGCACAAGCAGCCTCACCAGCTGCCAAAAGTCCAGGTACTACTTGATCTTTGCCTGCAACTTGATTAAGAACTTCAGTTTTGAAATTGGTAGGTATTCCACCCATATTGTAATGAACAGTAGGTAAGACTGGTGCAGGTTCTTTGGTAACATCAACACCTGCAAATATTTTAGCGGCTTCACTGATTCCTGGTAATCTTTCATGCAAGAGTTCAGCTGGCAAATGATTGAGATGCAAATAGATGTGATCCTTTTCTGGTCCAACTCTATAAATGATAATAATCTAAGAGGTACCCTCTTCCCTCTAAAATTTCCTTAGTCATAGCTCTAGACACAACATCTCTACTTGCCAAATCCTTAGCAGTAGGAGCATATCTCTCCATGAATCTTTCTCCCAATGAATTTCTAAGGATACCACCTTCTCCTCTGCAACCCTCAGTCATCAAACATCCAGAACCATAAATACCAGTAGGATGAAATTATACGAATTCCAAATCTTCCATTGGTAAACCTGCTCTGATAGTCATGCCTCCACCATCACCTGTGCAAGTATGGGCAGATGTGCATGACTAAAATGCTCTCCCATAACCACCAGTGGCTATTACTGTGTATCCTGCTCTAATCCTGTGAATTGACCCATCTGCCATCGACATGCACACTACTCCTCTGCAAGCTCTATGATAAATCAACAACATCAAATTACCCTTGATCGTCCATCATCAAATCAAGAGCGAAGTACTCCACAAAGAATATACAATCATATCCCAAGGCTCTCCCAAACAAAGTGTGTAACATAGCATGTCCTGTTCTGTCTGCTACAGCACAGCATCTATAAGCCTGTCCTCCTGTTCCGAATTTCAAACTCTGTCCTCCAAATGCTCTTTGATAGATCTTGCCTTCTGGAGTTCTTGAAAATGGTAAACCATAACTTTCCAATTCATAAACAGCCTTTGGTGCTTCTTTGCACATATAAGTGATAGCATCCTAGTCTCCCAACCAATCAGATCCCTTTATAGTATCGTATGCATGCCTAGATATGTCTCAATCAGTACCATCTCCAATCATCTTCTGTCATGTTCCCCAATGCAGCATTTATACCTCCTTGAGCTGCCACTGTATGTGATCTTGTTGGAAACAACTTTGAAATACAAGCAGTCTTGAACCCAAGCTCAACCAAACCAAATGCAGCTCTTAAACCAGCACCGCCTGCTCCAACAACAACTGCATCATATGTGTGATCTATCACTGTATATTTGTCTGTCAAATGGCCCTATCAATTTTAAGCTTCTGAATTACTTAAGAAGGACCAGCTTCTGGTTTATTTTTTGACACCACACAGAATCGATTAACTAACTTTGTCGCTTATAGATTGTACAAAGCCTAAGTTGTAATTCTGAACATTGGATTAAAAATATATAAATAAGATATTATTAATTATGATCAAGAAATTCCTGCTCATGCCTATAATTAGCTACGTAGTTTATTTGTCAATTCAAATTCACAGAAATGAAACTCATGTCATTTCCATCTTGAACATTGTTGCCAACATGACTGGATTTTAATCGATCGATAATACAGCTTGGATCATCATCTTTAATGTCATTGCATTTTCAATTTTATTTGGCATTTCCTACATAAATTATGCATTAGCCATCCTACAATTCATTGTCCTCTTTTTACACGTATAGACTTTGGATGACTTTGAAATCACAGAATTAAGTCAAGCATTTAAAATTGTTGCTGCTGATATTGCCATCCTTGGTATATTACTCGCATCAATTAATTAAAAAAATCAGCAAAAAGTTGAAGATGAAACACAACCCAAAGAAAAACAAGAATGATCAATTTAATTAATATTTATCTGTATTATAATATATTGTATATACACTCATATTAATATACTTTCATTCACTCTAAGTACTCTTACTGGAGTAAGTGTCAATGACAGGATTACATCACATTTATAAATAAATCCTGTAAAATTATTATTGATATAAAATGAATATCTCAATCTTACTAATCTTAATGATCATCATCTTTTTTTTATTAATCATCATCCTAATTTTGTTCTGTCTCCAAGTTCTGAGTTTCAACCATCTCCTTATCAGGGGTAGGTAACCATCTGGGTACTTCAGCACTCTTATTGGTTTTAAGATGTCTATTTTGTTCTTCTTCTTCTTTGATCATGTGATTGAACTCATCAAGGGGTAGATTTTTGGCTTTTTCCAATCTTTATGTCAATTTCTTCTAAACTTCCTGTGATCTCATCAATTTTTGCATCATATATGATTCTTCCATTTCCAGCCTTTCCTATTAAGCCCTATTGTATTCGCTAGCTCTCTTATTTTCCAATTTAGCCCTATAGCAGATCTTTATGCAATTTACTTTAAATTTTCCTTCTGAATATGAGATAGTTTCTCATTCCAAAACAGTGATATATTAGATTTGGATTTTGATAAATTTCCCTTAATCAATTCTCTTCTCTCTCTGTTCTTTACCATAAAGTCTTACTTTTATTTACTAATGACTTCAGAGTTTTTGATAGATATTTCTCTAGATTAGATGATATTTAGTAAGAGTACTTAATTCTTTTGTATTCTTCAAATTTTATTTATTCCATTGCTTTCTTAATTAGCTCCAATTAGTCTTCTTGTTATTTTTTGAGACTATAATTTAATTTCTATTTATCTTTCAACATTTCTTCGTCATTCTTCTAACTTAGTTTTTTCTATTTATTTTCCAATACATAATATTAATTACTTATTCAATTTATGTATGATGATTCATTTTCAGTTCAATCATGGATTTTGTTTTCTTTTTAGTTTCATCAATTCTCTTAGATAACTGAGCATCCCCCCTCTTTAATAATTTAAGTCTATTCTTCATCAATAAGATATCTTTCTCAGTCTCTTAACGTTATTTCCGAGTATGCCAGACAGTTTCTTCATTTTCCCTTTAGAAAGATCGAGGGGAAGTCTTCATTTTTATATTTATTTAATGAAATCAGATTTTATTTGCCTTAGAAAACATTTATTTAGAGATTCGATATATCATATTGAAATCCAAAACGATAAATTACTGTTACTTAATGTAAATAGAGAATTTTATCAATTAGACTGAAGGACTGACAAAATATTCAATAAGTTTAAATTGGTCTGCAGAAATTAGTTGGAATAACTTGAACTCAGATCCTGCCTTTGGAATAGTGATCAACTAAAAAATAAAATGGTTCCACGCTAAGCCCAAAATAATTGAAACCCTGAGAGCTGCACTTAAAAAACGCATTACTTCTACTGATTTTTAAGTATTTTATAATCTAGGGTCACACATATCTAAAGGGCAAAATAGTTATTGCTATGAATTCATTTCAAATAGTGATTATTAATTGAATTATGTTGCTAAACTTATAAAACGAGAACAAATTAGAGACATAAACTAATTGTACAATGAACTAAACATACTTAAAATATTGAATCATTAAGGACTTCCCAAATTTGTTGAATTCTTTAGAACAGATAACACTTATTATATTGTAATGGAAAAAATAGAGGGATAAAAATTGAGTAGATTGAATTCAACAAAAAAATAATAATTAAGCTTAATTTAAATATAGTCAATTATCATCCAGTGCTTAAAGATTTTATAATACCTAGAATAAATATAAGTAATCCATAGAGACATTCAGCCAGACAACATTATCTATCATCAAAATATGCAAACTTCATCAGTGAAATTAATTGACTTCGCCAAAGCTTCCATTTCTGGAACTGATCAAAAAATATTAGGTACTCCTGGATTCATAGCTCCTGAAATTTTAAGGGAAAACAAATATTCTACAGAATCAGACATGTTCTCATTGGGTTGTGTATTTTATAAATTGTAAATTAGTTAGTTTAATAATTTTAGATTGGTTAAATAGGATTTATTTTAAGGAATCAGTAGAGATGATACTTTGAAAGAAAACCAAAAGTGCTTATTCAATCTAAGAAATCTATAATTAATACGAATTCCATAAAGTGCTTAACATTTACTTTCTTAAATGTTGTAAATAGATCCTAAATAAAGAATAAAGCCAATCGAAGCATTAAATCATCATTTCTTCAAAGAACCTATAGAAAATCTTTCATCTCCTAAGATGAGCACAAGAAATTTACCATTAAAACAATCTATTCATAACTTGGATTCCATTTTGACAAACCCTTCATAAAATTAATTGAATTTGCTAGATTAATAAATCCTAATTGATTACTTTTAAAATGAACTACCTCCAATCAACTCAGTCCCAGTTATGAAATAAGTCAAAGGAGGATACCGTTTTACTCCTCAAGCTGAAACTGATATAATCAAAAACTGTGAAGCTACTTCTACTTCAAAGAAAAGCCAAACTGAAAATATATCAAATTGATATTATTCTCATAAAATAGATAATCTTAAAATTTTAATCTAAAAATAACCAATAATCTTCATAACTTTTTTGTTTTATTTTTTAATATTTGAAATGATTATGAAAAATAAAGCTTACAAATTTTTTTATTGAAAAAATGTATAATTTGATCTTTAAATTGAAATTGTTTAAAAGTAAACATTTTGTCTATAAAGATCAAGGAATAGTTTTGAAGAAGATAATAAGATTAAAAACTGAAATGATTACTATTTATAGCATCTATTAATTATTCCTCATTTGATAATTAATCTAATATAATATATCCTCTAATGAACTTTAACAATATATGAAACCAATTTGTCAAATTTTAGTGTTTATGAAATTTAAATTATATTATATAAATATTCAGGGTTTGTAATATAAATTACAATATTTTGATAAAGAAAGTGTTTAAAATAATTGATTCCACCATCTGAATAAAATTCAAAGTGCTTTAGGAATTAGAGAGATAGGCTCAAAAAAAAAGAAATAAGAGTACATCTGTCATGAGTTTTATTATTATTTATTTGAATTAACAATTATAAAATAATTAATGATTAAATTGCGGTAACTATTTCGTTTCTCAAAGATTCAAAATAAAAGTTCAATTGATGGAATCATTGAATAAAGAAGATCAGTTAATCGATAATTATCGAAGGAAGAATTACAAAGCAGAGATTTATAAATATTTTGGCATAGTCCCTAAACTGATATTGTTATTTAACTTGCACTCTATATGAGGTAATATTATTATTAAATTAGACATGATTGTCATCTTTGTTAAAAAGCCTTCTCTATTTTGAACTATTACAATATCAGCTTTGATAAAGTCGAAAATATATTGTTTTTAGATTTCGCAAAGAAAGCCAAGGTTATTACTCTTGAGAAATGGGAATGGCCAGTCTTGAAAGTAAATGTCTCTCTAGATTCAACATAATTCGTAACAGGCCCAGAAAACATAGTTTCATTTCTGATAAACAAAGAATTAATCCTGAATCCTAGTCACATGACCAATACAATATCTGCCCAATAAGGAATTGAATGCGTCATGCAGAAAATTAAAAAACCATTAGACTTAATCTTCTTAAATCCCATCCTAACATGGCAAAACCTCTTCAAATCAAGTCCAGATTCCTACGCTAAAGATTCTAAGAATTATTTACTCATTAATTATATGTTAAAGGTTGGATATAGAGCATTTACCTAAAGTTCAAGAAATATTTACTAAATGATAAGATAAAAAGAAGCCTATTTCAAGGCTTAAACAGAACTTCTTGAAGGTTTGAATGAATGGGTTTAAAGATTAAATGGATAACAGTTTCATGGAGGATAGAAACCAGATGAAGCAGATTTTGAAGTATTGAAATTAATTTATCTAGTTATTTGGTGTAATAATGAGCAGATACAATAGTAATTCCTTTAAGAAATTTATAGAAAACAAAGCACCATTTAAATTCTATTAATGGGTTTTAAGAATGTAGCAATTATGTAGATATGATTAAAACCGCTTTTATGCAAACACTGATACAAATGCTATGGAATGAAATTTAGTAAAGATTTTTATCAAATATTTATAAATATTTTACTATAATTATTTATACATTACCTGAATAATTATTAAGTTGCAGGATTGAAATAAATCTAATGTCTTGTATTGTTAAATTTTCAATACAACATATTGATCAAAAACACATTCGAAGATTCAGATTAATAGAGAATTTATAAAAAATTAATGATAAGTGTAGCAATAAACATAAAATTTAAGGATAACAATTTTGAATGATCAACTTCATTAATTAATTATAATAGGTTTTGATTAGAGTCTTGTAATAGTATAATTATTTTCTATTAAATAATTTAGAAATATAATAATTTAATGTAATGTATGAATGAAGCTCCTTAGCTTTAACAAAGGACATTTAATGAAAAATTAGGACCTTCAAATCAAGAATAAATGAATTTAAACTCTTAAAAATAGGTAAAAGGCTTGAATTGCTATAAATCAAATATTTTAATTGATAAAAGTGAACCTTTTATTGAATAAAAACATTTCGGCACTAATTAAACTTTTAACTATTAAGCTCAATCACTATAATAAGGAAAAGCTATAAACTTGCTTAATTAAATCTAAAATAAGCAATAATAAAGTGAAATTGAACAATCTAGAAAAGAAAAAGAAAGTCGCATTTAAGATCTAATGAATATTGCATAAAAGGCAGTTTAAAGAAGAAAGGAAAGAATTTTTGAGAAATATTTGTAGCCCAATTAAAATATAATTGATGACTAACTATGATGAATATATATATATATTAAACTTGTTATATAGCCAAGTATTCTCTAATTGTATTAGTATAGAAGAAGAATAGGATTAGTATGTAATAGTCGAGGAAGAAACATTAGTTTCCAACTAAATAGCTTGGTTAATCAGAAAATAAATTAAATTTTGATACATGCTAATTCGTATTACGGCCTAAGAATTACTAGTTTGTTTAGTTTTGCCTAATTTAAAAATTTAGATTCTTGCAAAGAAAAGCTATATTTGAGACTAAGTAAATAAAACATAAAAATCGCTTGAATACTTAAGACTCTATAGTTAATATTGATGTAGGAGTATTGAATTAATATTTGTATTTATAAAATATTTAACTACAATGTTCTATCACTTATGAAAGTTTTTGAGATCCAATAGTAATTTATTTGAGAGACATATATAATTTATTATTTTTATAAAAAAGAACTATAAACATAATAGAATTATTGATATCAAATTATACAATTGATATATATTAAGCATAAAGATTATATTTGATAATATTTAATGTAATAATATATCTCTTAATCGTAAGAAACTAAATTGAATATAGAAAACCTTATTTTAATAAGGTCAATAATATAGATGTTAATATTATGTATAATAAGAATTATTCAATTATCTTGTGCCTGTTTCTGCTGCATAATAATTTAATAAATTTAATCTGCATCGATGGCTGAATATATTGGATTGTCTTGACTATCTTCATAATCATCTTCATCCTCTTTGTCAAAAAATTTAGTGTAACATCCTGGAAATACTTCTTTATCTATTTTAATTTTGCCTCTCACAGTTTTGATTTTATCATCCTTATCCTGTTTCATAAGTTCATTTTTCTTTTTTTCAATCAACTTCATTTATTTCTTAGCTAATAAAGCTGTTCTTTTTTGGACAGGTTTGCTTTTCTCAGATTTCTGCTTGTCTTTAGTAGTCATAATATCCATGACATCAACCAATAAGTCAGTTTTTAAAGTTGCCTTCTGAATTTTAGCTTCATTGTACCAATCATAAAATGTTTGATTTTAATCTGTATTGCAAACACAATAAATTGGACTCTATTTAATTTCTTCAATATCTGCTTTTGTGAAATTGGTTCCACCAGTAACTTTGTTGATCTCCTATTCAGTTCTTAGTACATCTTCATCTTCAGTGTTTTCTGGACTTGAACTTAGTAAAAGTGCTTCATCCCATCTTTTAACTTTAGTTGGCTTTTTATATTTGATTTTCTTTCTCTCATCCATTTTAATGAAATCTGGAGTTTCATCAGATGGTTTCAATTCATTACAAGCTATCAACACAATTAAATCAATAATGAATATGTTTTGAAGGACTCTTGCAAACTTCTCTGGAGTGATCATCTTCTTTAATTCTTCTGTAATCACTTTATAATCTTCTTTGTGATTATCAACAACATAAGTCAGTAATTTGATTAGCATTTAACAACTTTATATGATTTCTCTTGCAGATTGATCTTTAACACTGGATGGTTCTCTGGCATTGATTTCCAAGATTCTTTTTTTTGTTGTATCTCTCATATTTTCAATTTTAGGTTGATTATAGGCTACCATCTTGCCCATCATTCTATTTAAATCGACTAATTTGAATTAAAAATGAGCATAGAATTTTTGACTCAAAAAACATTTGTCTCTAATTTAACCAATTGCTTCATATTCAGCCTTGACTGCATCCCAATGACACTTATATTTGACACAAATATGCCAATGAGTAACTGTTTCTTCTGCTGAAAATATTTGTCTATTAATTTTTGGATCTATAGCTCTCCATCTAGCTTACACCATTGGTTTATGGGGGATAGAAAGTCCATAAATCGTTTTCATTTGTCTAGTAATTTCTGCCCATTTGGCTTCTCCAAGAGTACCAACTAATTCAGTCAATACCTCATCAAACTAATGTTAATATTAATCTATACCCTGGGTGTATATATTGGATTATGTTTTGGCATATAATAAAAACAATTTTATTATACTAAACTGGCTTTTGATTATGTTACTCAATTATCCCAAATTAATGCAATGATAATGTAAAATGCCTTATAATATTTTTCTCTAATTTTAATATTTATATATCGATATTAATCATTTCTTTCCATAAGAAGTTTAATTAGCCATTTCCAATACTTATTATTTGAAAATATGAATAACCTCATCAATTATAGCATTTTCCTCTTAAATGTCAATTTCAATCTCTTACCATTTCTTCTATTCAACTCAGTCTCATATAAGTCTCTCAACTCTTACAAGGATGCTGTTGCTGCATTAATAGCATTTTGAGAATCCTTCAACACACTGTTGGCCTTGGCTTACACAGCAAGAGCTGCTTGTTCTTATTATTAAACAATTATAACTAGTCTTACATACCACCACCAATTTGTCTTATAATTGAGTCTTTCTCTAGATTTCATCATTGAGATGAGCTACTTCAGATTCTATATCAGCCAACCAATCAGCTAATTGATAATAGGCTGCAATCTAATTGGCTTCTAAGTTGGCTAATGATTCTTTCAATTAATGCTCGAGATCTCAAAAAGCATTATAAACCAATTGACCAATGTTGTCTCCTGGTTATCTGTCTGATGACCTTCATCTTGACCAAGTGCATTAAATAATAATGGTAAAATGCATTCATATAGATATCTAAACTCTTACACAGATACAATTATCTACATAAAACTACCTTCTTAATGTGACCAAATTTCTTTGCCCAAATTCTTGTCATTTTCAATTTCATTTTATAAGTATTTATTCTGAAACCATTCTAAAATCTATCTGGTTACAAATAAAATTTGGAGTATACACTTAATTTCGAAATTCTCTTTATTGATTAATCATTAATTATTATGCTATTGTCTTAGAAGTTAAACATAAAAATTGCATTGATTTACATTTCTATAAATTTTGATAATCCAAAATTACAATTAAATGTCACCTATCGATTGATGATTATGAGTCCCTGTATAAAATAGTTATTTTTATCACTTTGTTGACATTTCTTAAATAATTTAATCAATCCTAATGATAATTTGCAAACAAAAAATTCTCCTTAAGATCAGGTGACACCATTATATTTTTATACTAAAAGTGATTTCTAAAAAGGAGATATTGCCTTAATTAATTAGTCTGTAATAAAATCAAAAAAATAAATATATTAATTTTATTAAAATAGCTTACTAAACTTCCAACTTCATCAATAGAATCTAAAGAGCACTAAATAATGTTATTATTATTTAGGAACATTACTACATGACATAATTACTATGCCCAATTTACAAACAGAAAATATCTTGTAGTGTTTGNCTGGCTTTTGATTATGTTACTCAATTATCCCAAATTAATGCAATGATAATGTAAAATGCCTTATAATATTTTTCTCTAATTTTAATATTTATATATCGATATTAATCATTTCTTTCCATAAGAAGTTTAATTAGCCATTTCCAATACTTATTATTTGAAAATATGAATAACCTCATCAATTATAGCATTTTCCTCTTAAATGTCAATTTCAATCTCTTACCATTTCTTCTATTCAACTCAGTCTCATATAAGTCTCTCAACTCTTACAAGGATGCTGTTGCTGCATTAATAGCATTTTGAGAATCCTTCAACACACTGTTGGCCTTGGCTTACACAGCAAGAGCTGCTTGTTCTTATTATTAAACAATTATAACTAGTCTTACATACCACCACCAATTTGTCTTATAATTGAGTCTTTCTCTAGATTTCATCATTGAGATGAGCTACTTCAGATTCTATATCAGCCAACCAATCAGCTAATTGATAATAGGCTGCAATCTAATTGGCTTCTAAGTTGGCTAATGATTCTTTCAATTAATGCTCGAGATCTCAAAAAGCATTATAAACCAATTGACCAATGTTGTCTCCTGGTTATCTGTCTGATGACCTTCATCTTGACCAAGTGCATTAAATAATAATGGTAAAATGCATTCATATAGATATCTAAACTCTTACACAGATACAATTATCTACATAAAACTACCTTCTTAATGTGACCAAATTTCTTTGCCCAAATTCTTGTCATTTTCAATTTCATTTTATAAGTATTTATTCTGAAACCATTCTAAAATCTATCTGGTTACAAATAAAATTTGGAGTATACACTTAATTTCGAAATTCTCTTTATTGATTAATCATTAATTATTATGCTATTGTCTTAGAAGTTAAACATAAAAATTGCATTGATTTACATTTCTATAAATTTTGATAATCCAAAATTACAATTAAATGTCACCTATCGATTGATGATTATGAGTCCCTGTATAAAATAGTTATTTTTATCACTTTGTTGACATTTCTTAAATAATTTAATCAATCCTAATGATAATTTGCAAACAAAAAATTCTCCTTAAGATCAGGTGACACCATTATATTTTTATACTAAAAGTGATTTCTAAAAAGGAGATATTGCCTTAATTAATTAGTCTGTAATAAAATCAAAAAAATAAATATATTAATTTTATTAAAATAGCTTACTAAACTTCCAACTTCATCAATAGAATCTAAAGAGCACTAAATAATGTTATTATTATTTAGGAACATTACTACATGACATAATTACTATGCCCAATTTACAAACAGAAAATATCTTGTAGTGTTTGAATCTAATGTTTTGATGAATTGCTTACTTAAACTCCTCAAAAATTGATTCATTTAGATTATTTAAACATAATTCATGCGAATAAAAATTATTATTATGATACTTGAATAAAATAGAAATCCTAAATTATCATAATCATTTCATAAAGTAAATTAAAAGATCGAAGTAGACGAATATGAGTTTAAATTAAAGATAGGATCTATTTGAAATTAATTTACTGAAAAAGAAAATTTGAGGCAATTTCACATTGAATAAAAAAAATGGAAAAATAGAAAAAAATGCTAAAAACGGTACTTAGTTGGAGTAAGGCGGAATGGACTTTTAATAAGAATTAACTTAATTCTAAAACAATTTGATATGAAAGGAACTCAAAGTTTATGATTTAGAAAGACTATGACAAAAAATTAAAAGTACTGGGTATCTAATTAAATATATCTAAGAAATTAAGGCATTTTAAAATTTGAATAGACATAAAGAGCACTAAAAGATCGAAAAAATACTAACTTTCATTTGGTGATAAAACCAAAAATAAATTTTATTTTGTTTTGGTTTTGGTATATTATATATGACAATATTTTATTTTTAAACTTTTATATTATAAATTATTTAATATGTTCTAGAACAAGATACTTTTACACAATAAATTAAATTATAGCAAATTAACATTATCATTTTGCTCTTTCAAATTATAAATTTATTATGATCTACAAGGTATTTTGGGAGACTGGAATAGAGATAAATAATTACATAAATATTATTGTAAGTGAAAAATCAATGAAACTCTTTATGAATAATAATTAATTTTCATCAAATATTTTTCATTTAATATAAATGAACACAAATAGGACAGAGAATTGTCTCTTACAGGATTTTTATTTTGGACCATGTGTAGAGTAATGTGAAGTAAATTTATATAAGAAAGATTCACCTTCAAAAATTTCTATTTATTCTGAATCAAGTTAAAAGCCTTAAGAAATTCCATAAAATGATGGATAACCACCAATAAACTATTAAATTTAGAAGTTAAAATACTAAATGGCCAGGCAAAATTCATCCAATTAGCAAGTCTAAAACAATTTTATCAAGTTAAGTAGAAGAAACTTAATGGAAGGAAGGAATTAATAAATTGATAAAAATGAAAAGATTAGTAAGCTAGAGACACCTAATATTATTAAGGCTATAATCAAGTCAAGCTTGATTAATAAGTTTAAACATAATTTGCTTTCTTCATCTTATGTGATACCTTAGAGGCTGAAAAAAATACTGGAAAACGAAGAATATTTGTAAGAGTAAAAAGATAAAGCAAAATCAACAAATTAAGTGTTTGCGTTGTATTCATTTATTTTATTATGCAAGGTAATAAATACATAATTTGCACCAAAAAAAGTTAATTTACTTATTAATGCCTGATAGAAATTTTACTTTAATTTGGGATTTGATTTCATTACTTCTATTATTTATCTCACTATTTTTATCTTCTTTCATAGCTTCCTTTGGCTAGCATATTAATACATTTCAGTCTATAGAAATTATGATATTTTGTTATAATATTTTGGAATTTTTGTTTTCAATACATCGCCCAATTATAATCAATACTGAAGTTGTAGTTGAAATTACATAAATATGGAAAAATTATTTAAAAACCTAATTGTTAGAAGATCTAATCAGTTTTACTATTTGGTTTTTAATTTATTTTGATTTTGATTAAAAACTTATTGTAAATGAAACCATGGCAATTTTTTAATTTTTAATTCTTATTAGAAAGATAAATAGGAAATATAACATTTTAATAGAGCAACTATTCTTAAAAGGATTTAATAGTAATATACTGAATATAGTCACTTTAATAATTACTATTTATTTCTTTGCACATACAATGGCATGTTTGTGGCATTATGTAGGAGAACTAACTTAAAAACAAGGTTCTTGGCTAAGTTATTACAATATTCTTGATGATAATATATGGATTAGATATAATTATTCATTTTATTGGGCAACAATGACTATGGTAACTGTAGGATACGGTGACATTACACCTAAGAATCAATCTGAAGTAACATTTGCTACTATTATTATGTTATCTTCTAGTTGCATGTTTGCTTATAATATGAATTCTATTGGAGTAATTGTCAAAGCAATATATGATTAATAAACAAAGTTTAAGTAATCAAGTATATATATTTTTAGACGAACTTTAATATTAATGAATTAATTCATGTCCAAAAACCAAGTAGATTAACAAATACAAAGAAGAGTGAAAAATTACATCAAGTATAATATTGGCAATAATGTGTTTGAAAATTAGGAGGAAACCACTAAAATAATTAATGAATTACCACTAAATCTAGTAAAATAAATAGAATAAAATATTCAATATAAAGTAATCTAAAAAATTAAAGCAATTACTGATAATTTCTAAATTTCAACTTAAAATAAATTAAACAATATCTTAGTTGAAATGAAGTTTACACCTAATGATTATATTTATCATAGGAATGATTATAAAGATAAATATTTGTACAATATCATTATTTATGCATTTAGATATTTTATTAAAGAAGGCGAAGTGTAAATTGTTGAAGAACAGAGTTAGAAAATCGTAAAAATATTAAAATCTGGAGAAACGTTTGGAGAATTTCAATTTTTTACGGGACAAAATACGAGAGAATCTATAAAAAGTGTTGGATTTACTCAATTATACAAAATAGATAGAGAACAATTTATAAATATCATCAAAAATAATCAAAAAGATTTTGAAAGATTTTTCAAGATTAAAGATAGCATTCTTTATTCAAAATAATATTCCGCTATTTCAATAAAGTGCCATCTTTGTGGCTAATATAATCATATTTAAATTGAATGTCCTTTTATGACTTATTAACCTAATTTATATATTAATATTTTGAAAATGAATCAATCACATATAAATTAGAGGATTTCCTAAAGTAGATAAAATAAAAAATTTAAATCTTTAATAATTATCTAATAAAATCAATAAGTGGTTAAATAAATCTAAGAAGACTATTTAGATTCCATAAATACAGATAATATGGTCAAATATTAAGTATCAGACTCATTAAGTTTTGTGTAAGAGTCTGAATTAATATCGGAGAATAAATTTGTATCAAACAAGTCACTTCCAAAACAAGATTCTCATAAAAATACATTTGTGGAAATTAAATACTGTGATAAATTAAATTCGAGAAAAATTGAGAGTGAGAAACACAACTAATCTCAGATAATTTACAACAATAAACCTTCCTTAATTGTTAATGAAAAAAGAAAAATTATGACAAAAGAAACGCTTATTTTTCGTTAATTAGATTAATTCCAAAGATAATTTCATTAATATGAATTAGGAGGATTTGATAAAATTCAAAATTTCTCAGAGTATCTACCTCATAACAATTTCAATTATATAATAAAATAGTTTTACAAAGAGAAATATAAATTTAAAAACAAAAAATCAAGTAGAGGAGGAAGTAGTAAAAAAGAGCAATGATAATTTAAATTTGTATAATTCTGTAATCTATTATTTAAATTTTGATAAAGATAAATAAATTACAATAAAATATTAAAAGCAACTCATTATTTTTATTATTGTTATTATTGTTATTGTTATTGTTATTATTCTAATACTGCTTTAGCTGCTGCTTAAACGTAAATTTTATCAAATGCAAGAACATTTCCTGCTGCTTCAAATCCTTCTTTGCTTAACTCACTAGCCTTATCTCCATATTTATTTTTAATAACCTAAAAAGATTACTATTTTAATTACTTCAGTGGTGGCTTAACCAGTACAATCCAATAATACACTTAATGCTTCTGTTAATCCATCATAGATACTAACAACTGCTACGACAGCAGCTCCTCCAACATTCTTAGCATCATCATAATATTTGTGCTCTTGCATTTTCTTTCCAGTTTCACTATTCTCAAATTACTTCTCAGCTTCTTCAGCTATCATCTTTCCTAAATTGATTAAGGCATCAACTTAAGCTTTTGTAAATTGAAGTATAGCTTTAGATCCCTTATTCACTAATTTAACTTTATTTAATGTATCTTCAGAGACTTCTTTCTATTCTTTATCAGTAATCTTTTCAGAAATCAATTCTCCTCCTTTCTTAATTCCCTCTCCAATAAATCCAGCTACAGAAATTAAACCTTATCTAATAGCATTTCCTCCTTATTTAATGTAATCACTAACTCCAGGAGGTTTCTCACCTTCCCCAACATGATCCCATAAATTGACTTACATTATTCCTGTTCTTAACATTAAGTCCTGTTAAGACAATTTTTATTACTCATTTAATTATTTCATATTACTTCTACCTTAATATATAGACTTAGACATAACATTTTAGTGTTGTTTTTGTGAAGAAATTACAAGTCTTACATTAATTGAGAGAAGATGTTCAAAAGTATCAGATACCTAATCTTATTTTTCTACAATGATTCCATAAAAAATCTCATTAAGACCAGGAAAAATGTACATCTTGCTACCATTAACTAGTTAAGCCACCATAACTGGGATATTTTTTTGTAATGTATATTAGAATTGGCTGAATTTTATGAAAGACAATTTAAGTTACTCAGATTAATAAATCTATCAATATTTATGATCAAACTTACATGTAGAGTGCCAGCATCAACTTATTTTGGCTATTGATTTTTAATTTCAAATAATTTGCATTGAGGAACTTCTAATAATAATTGTAATTGATAATCCATTATTCTTTCTTTAATTAAAATAATTAATTAAGAATGAAAAATATATTCATTTCAGGTGGATGTAATTCTGTCTATAATGGTCTTGATGTTTGCTAATTTGAAGAAAACTAACATTTGATAGCATTTCCTTGTAGCAATCAAGTAAAATTATTAATATCTTAGATATTAGTGTATGACATTAAGAAATTAAAGATTATCTATTCATATTCAATTTTTAATAAGAGAGTCAATTACGTTAGGTTTTTAAATGCAACCACCTTGGTCGCTGCAGATGGTGAAGGGAAAATAGCAATATTTAATGATTCATAAGTTCTGCATGAGGCAAAATTGAATGAATCAATATAATTATTCAAAGTCGTAGGTCATTATATCATAGCCTTATCAATTGATGGTCTTGTTACAGTACTGGATATGGAATTGAAAGAACTATCAAAACTTGAGTTTGGTAATAACGTTATGGAGAATGTTGATGCAATAGAATTTGACAAACACACTTTTGTAGCCCTTAGTGGTGTGGATACTCAAATTCATTTGTACATTATAGAAAACAATGAATTGCAGTATAAGACATCAGTGAAGGGTCATTAGAGAAGTCTAAATCATTTGCAATTTCGCATAAAAAATTAGGAATATTTACAATTAGCAAGTGCATCCAAGGATACATACACTAGAATTTGGAGCATCTATAAAATTAATGAAATAGAAGCCAAGACCAAATCTTTTAGAATTGAATAATAATTGTATAGTTTCAAATTGGAGACTATCCTCTAAGGACATATTGAAGAGGTTTCAACAGTGAATTGGTTGGATGAGAACACAATCCTGAGTGGTTCATTCGATTATAATGTGATCATTTGGAAGTAAGACAAGGAAACAGGATTATGGTTAAGTGTTTCAAGATTAGGATAGACAAGTGGGAATAAGAATCAAATATTTGGATTATAGACATCATATGATAAATAACACATTATATGTTACACTTTGACTGGTGCAATTTACATATGGAAACAAGAATAGGATAACTGGGTTGAATAGCCTGTAATTACAGGTCATTTTGCAGAAGTGACAGATTTGGATTTTAAGGATTATGTACTGACTTGCAGTATTGATCAAACTAGTAGAATATTTACTAAATGGATTCAAAATGATACATATCATGAAATATCTAGACCATAAATACATGGTTATGATTTAAATGCTATAAAACAGATTGGAAATCAAATTATAAGCGGAGGAGATGAGAAAATATTAAGAATGTTCAATCCATCTCCTTTTACCATTAATTAACTCAATTATTTGAATGAATAGAATATCAATTCATCTGTTTTTTTGAATTAGAATGTCCCTTCACAATTAGTAACCTATAACAATAGGTAATTCAATGAATTTAAATTGGCAACTGAAGGAATACAATAGGCACTTGGATTGATGAATGTGCAAATGTAATTTGAAGATGAGGAAGAAGAGAAGTAAATTTAATTTTAAATATAATAGTACAAAAAATAATGAAGTAGAAGTCAATCTTGAAATCAAATATGGATAACCTCCAAATGACGCCTTACTTGCAAAGAAATCATTGTGGCCTGAGACTAATAAATTATATGGACATGGATATGCAATCTAGGCAATAGCCATACATTAAAACATAGCTGCCTCATCTTCCGTTGCCATAACTTCTAAAGCAGCCGAAATTATCATTTGGGATACAAACACTTTCAAAATTAAATAATTATTGCCTTGTCATAATTACACTGTTGTCTAACTAGTCTTCTCTAAGAGTGGCAAATATTTGATTAGTGTTAGTAAAGACAGATGTTTAGGAGTATTTGTGAAATAAGAAGATGACTCTTATTAATTACTATCTAAATCATAGCCTTGTTCAAGAATTGTATACACTTGTGCCTTCAATAATGATGAATCTCTTATATTTACTGGAAGCAGAGATAAAAAATTTAGAATTTATAACACCACAGAGGCTTCAGTGCCAATTAAAGAAATAGAATTTCCAGATGAAATAACTGCCATTGATTATGTCTTACTTAATAACAAATAAATAGTTGCAGTAGCATATGGTTAAGGATAACTTGAAACATTTGAGTTGACATAAACTCTAGAATTGAATTAGCTTTCTAGTGTAGACAAATATCATAAGCATTCAAAAACAATTAATAGAGTTAAATTTAATAATGATTTACTTGCCTCATGTAGCGATGATCACACAGTAAGAATATATCAAATATGAAAATATAATATAATAAATTAAATATTATCAATAGAAAAATTTTAATCTCAGATTTTGGTTATCAACATTTTGAGACTTTTGTCGTAATTATGATGTATAATTTAATGAAAATTCACTAAATCAGAAGAACCAGAATGGTTTGAAATAAAAAGTATTAAGAATTTACAGAATGAATCAAAAATTAATAAACAATGGTAAATAAATATCATTACACGATAGAATAATAATTTATATCTATCTAATAAGTTAGTTCAACTAGAGCTTTTGTATGATTTCTAATGTGTTTATGGTTTTAAATCTAGCTAACTTATTAAACCCTGATGGAGCTATTATATATATATTAAATAAAATTAATCTATATAGTATTACATATATTAATGAAATTTGGAAGTGTATTTAATCCGAGAGGTGTTCTAGAGATAAACTACAAGATATCATCCATAGATGCTTATTAAAATGTCTTATACACTGGAGATGAGAAAGGCACATTATACAGGTAAAGGATTAATTGATTTAGATATCAATTGTAGCCTGATTAAGCCATGATTATTCAAGCCAATTAAGCATAATCTAAACCTTTGACCAAATCAAGGATTGATTAAATCAAAGTTTTCCCTTAAGCAAATGCTAATCTTTTGGTTTTATCAGATTAGACATTATTTTTTGTGGAAGAAAAAACTCTAAAGGGCGAGTAAATCTCAAAAGAGAAGGTGTCGTTATTTGCCTTAAACGAATTTTCGAAAATAAATCAATTTGAGATAGTGATAGTGACAAAGAAGAAAGAGGGCTTCATATTATAGTACAATTAGAAAGCAGGGAAGTTTGAATGTATGAGAGAGAGATTCTTGTTGCCAGACATTCCTGTAACAATTGCATTCATAGGAAACTTATTTTATTTTGGAATATCGAAGAAAAATTATTCTGTGATAAATCTTGATGACAAGTAACTACAAGTAGCCAATTTAATTGTGGACATTGGTAATAATCCATATCTCAAGGCTACTGATAGTGATGAAATTTTAATAATAACAACTAACAATGTGGGTATTTTTATTGGCAAAGATGGCTAAATGAAATAGAAGAGTACTATCCAAATACAAAACAAATCAATATAAATAATAACTATATTTAAGTAATATCTTATAGTGCTATTCGATACATTAATACAAGTGTTCAATTTGTTGGATTCTAAACCAATGAGTGATATCTAATTGTCATCCTCAGCTAAATGTATTACTTAAACATCAAACCATTTATTTTACGGAAGTTCTAGTGAAGTATGAATTATTGTATCAACATTTTTAGATCATATACTTATATTAAACACCTCCTGAACAATAGATATAAGATTTACTAAAGTAGGGTAAGGTGGAAGATGCACTCCAAGTATTTTAACAATACAATTAAAACTAAGATGCATCAAAGAATTAGTAATTGGAATAGTTGAAATTGGATTGTGGTTGGGCTTTGATTAGATAGATGTAGTTTTAGAACTCCTTGAATTACATATTATAGACAAACTTTGAACCAAGAGATTTCATTTGTTTATTCCCAGATTATTACTATGCTGTAGAGAAATTAGAATCAGTTAATCCAAATCCATCTTAGAATACTATTTCATTAATTATTGCCAAATATGTACAAGAAAACAATAAAGGAGATCCAAAGAAGAGTTAAGAATTGAAATTGTAAGCAAGAGAATTCTTGATTGAAATTTTAGAAAAGAAAAGAGCCATTCTAACTTCGACTTAATATGCATATTCAATGAAGGATAAATTGACTTTGTTGACTAGTACTTAAATTTACAATCAAAATTAATGGCATGCTATACCATGTGAATAACTTTTGGAACTCATAGATTTTGCATTAATAAAGGCTTATTTAGAAGCTTTATAATTACCAAAATTGAAAAACTTTTTATCTTGTAATCAAATTTATTGTTTATCTATGTATGCTGAATTGTAGGCCATATTTTAGAATAATAAATAAATTGAATAATAATAAGGTATTTTAGCCAGGTTTTATGAATCATTTAATAAAATCGATTTGTCTCTAGAAGTTTGGAGGACAATAGGAGGTGATTCTTTGAATTAATAAGTTCAATAAGAGGCTTGTGAAGAAACAACAAGAATACTCAAGTAGAATCCAGATAAGAATAGAATATTCAAGTTCATATTGTGGGTTTTCAAGAAGCAATTTAAAACTGGAATTTAAATCTTTTATGTGAGTGAAAGTATTGTATCTCCTGACTAAATGTTAAAATTTTTGGAAGAGTAAGAAATGGAGGCAGATTTGAAGAGAAAACTAAAAGAAAAATACTTAGAAGTTTTAGTATTAGAGAAGTAGACAGAAGAAGAAAGATTCCATACTTTATTAGCATATTCATACATAGATTCCTTATTTAATATATTCCCTAAGGATATGTAACCATCTTAGATTGATATGAAGAAGAATCAAATAGCTGGGGAAATATATTCTTCTTTGAAAAAGTACTTGAAAAATCCGAATGCCAAATACAATTCTTCTAGTATTTTGGAGAAGAAAGTAAAGGATTCTTGGATGATTGGAGAGGTAATCCTATTGTATGGTCGAGAGAAAAGACATGAGGAGGCATTGAGTTAATTATTAAATTTGGGATATTATGATTGGGCTGAGAAATATTGCTGTGACTATACTGACAATTTACTAACAAAACTATTCAAAAAGGTATGAAATATTGTTTAATCTAAAGTATAAAGAACTGTATTTCTTTTTGGAGAGCAAATATAAGGAAAGACCAACAGATCAGTAAACTCAATATGCATTTACTTAAGTTAAAGTAATATAATTAAATATTTGAGTTTAGATAACAATTAACAATTTCTTGAAAAAATATGCAACACATTCTCAATTAAATGCTTTAGAAGTATTAGAAATGATACCAGAGAATTGGATATTAGCTGATTAAGGCGAAGATGATGGATTATTTTAATTTTTGAATAGTGTGATAAGTAATTACAAATTTTATTGCAAGGTCATACATTACATTAGAAAAGATCAACAAAGGCAGCATTTCACTTATCAGACATGGATTTATTGAATGTTGAATGCCTGAATGCCAGTACAAAGTAAGCCAGTGTAAGGATTACATCTGAGAAGAAATGTGCTGTTTGTAGTAGATCAATAGGCGAAAAAGTAGGATTATTTTAAACTTATCTTAGGTATTTGTCGTTTATCCAAATGCTGTCATTGCACATCATACATGTATTAAAAGTAATACTGTGTGTCCATTGACTGATAAAGATTTCGAAAAGTATTTTAAAATGTGAATGTGAGTTTATCAGATAAAATAAAAATTATATTTTATAACTAATTTTTGTACATAAAGTTAAAAATAATTTGTTAATTCGATATTAATTCTTAATAAATTCTTTTCTCCAGAATCCAAATCGACGTTCTATGCGATATAAAACTATTAAAATTTTCTTATCGCACCATTTCTGAAATCTATCTCAACACATTAATTTAATTGGCTGATATTCAAATCATTCTGAAACATAAGTTTTATTCTCACTAGGATTTTAATGTGAAACAAAAAATTGAAAAAACAATAATTATTTAATGTACCAGAACATATTTCAGAACTACATGGCCACTCCCTAAAGACAATACTATCCATAATGTCTTCCTTAGTACTATTATCCTGTTTAAAACCCATTTTATCCATAATACCAAATAATGTAGGCTCAGCCTGTTCTCATTATAAAGAAGAAAGATGATCAAATAAAACAAGAGGAAAATATTGTTTAAACAAGACCTTAAAAGTCTGTTTCTATTGTTGATTTTGAGAAAACCTCCGAATAGATATAAACACCTCCAGTTTAAATCTAATCCGATGATAAAGGGAATAATTTAAAACCTAATTTACTCGTGGACTCAACAAATATATAAAAAAATTTCTCTAAAGCAATAGTCCAATATGCTTTGAGATAAAAAAAAACTGTTTACCAAATTCTTGGAGAAGAAAAAGGAAATCAATTTCTCTTGTTCATGAGCGAACTTGTAAATCAGCTCAGAAATCTATTTCATCTAGTCAAATACACCCAGGATGAAGAATATCTTAAAGCCATTAGAATTTTAGGGTATTTTTTTTGAATAATAATAGTAATAACTTTTTAAGGAAAGAAAGTACATGTTATATTTATAATTCAAAAATAAGATAAAAAACCAGTCACATCAAGCACAAAGCAATAGTAAAAAAAGTCCTATTAAAACTTTGAAATTTACAATATTTTTTTTTTATGTATGAATCCAGTATCTTGATTTGTCAGAAATTAAAAATAAAAATTTAATACAAATTCTTTTGTTTTATAACTTATTATCTAATTAATCTAATTTATACGCATTTTATTAGAAGTAGAGAATATATTTTAACCTAACTCAATGATACCATTAGATCAAACGATTTGGCATCCTTTTATTTTCATTCATTTTTTCTTAAATCTACCATCTATTTGTTAACACTTTGCTTTTTAATTTTGATCAATAATACTCAGGTTTTCTTAGTAACCTTAAAATTTATGACTACATTTCAAAATAAAATTCTCAAGTAAATAATTGAAATTCTTGTATTATTAAGCTTTATTAAACATATACCATTGGGGTCAATTAAAATGTAGTAAGGCCGCCCTCTCATTTGTATATTAATTAAAGCTATTTAAAAGGTTTTGTATAATTTTATTATTTGATAAATGAAACCTGTTTCAAGATTGATAGTGATCCTATTTTAAATAAATGGATTGGGGTTTTCAATTTATTACTGTTTAACATCTTGGGAAAATACGAATTTAGCATATCTGACGATCTAAGCTCTATTGGCTCTATTATTGTTTTTTTTTTAGACCAAAAATAAACCAACACAATTCATTGGAAGCATAATATTGATACAATTAAGCTTATGTTTGTTTCTGATTCAAAATGAAAGAAATTCATAGAATGAAAGTACAGCATATGTTATCATTGTTCATTTTATCACAACACAACTATTTGATGATTTTAAAAGATTTCAAACATAGTATTTTTTTGTTAGATGTAGATTATTTTGGCTCGTTTTATTGCTTTAATCAAGTTTTTTGTAGATTGTTTACATATCTTAAACTTCTTAAATTGATATATCCTTTTATTAGTGCACATTTAGTTTGTTCTTGTCATTGTTGATTAATTTCACAAACGGAATGTAAAAGGTGGTCACACCAAGAAACAAATTAAGTGATTCATAACGAAATTAGAATACAGACTAATTAATAAACAGGAAAGAACGGGCATCTTCACAGTCAGATTCAGATAAGCTGTCTCCAAAAAGTAAAGAATACCCAATCTCTCATTTTCTTATGCCTGATTACTCCTTTCCAAATCAAATTTTAAACCAAAACATACTAGATGTAATGATGTAATTTACTCATGAAGGCTTAGTGGTTTTAAGATTAAACTAATTGAATTAAGAAATGGAGATAGTATTTTCAAATATAGCATCAAAAACATTATTTTCAGTTAATTCTGCCAAAGAAATAATTGATATTTTAAATACTTTAAACAGCCTTAAATATTAATAACATGATTCATATGATGAAAATTTCTTAATGATGAATCAACAAAAATAATTGTGTAAGAGTATGGCATTTTTGAAGAGCGATCAGATAAATTAATCCATTAATCCGCACTATTAAATTTTATATGAATTGAGTTAAGAAAAAAACATTGTAAATTAATTCAAAGAAATATTTAGTAAGTTTAAATAAAATAGCTTTTAGAATGAATTTTTTACATTACATACAATATTTCCTAATAATGGAGTGACTATGTCTTAGAGTGATAGGAAGACAGAGAAAATGTTGGAATTGACGATTTCAAAAAAGGAGAACAACTTATTCTTCCTATTGATTCGAGATATAACACACAAATAAAAAATCAAATATTTGAGAGAATATGATCTATAAAAATCGAAGATGTTATCCTATGTGAGTCACGAATACAGGTCTCCCCTGAATTGCATTATTTAGATGATAGAGAACGTGTTGCACTCTAATTAGTTGACTATGGATAATTCTGAAATGCTTCAAGCTGCCTTGGACAATTCATATTATATATTAAATTTATCAAATGATCTACTGGATTTGGCTCAAATCAAAAACGGTAGATTTGCATTGCAATAAACAAGATTCAATTTGGAATAATTAATAAAAGAATGCTTAAAATTGTTTGCATTGAAAGCAAAGATATTGAAATTAAACTTATCTTACATCTATGATAGCAAAGCTCCTTTTATAGTTGTGAGTGACAGAAATAGAATTAAATAAATTTTGGTGAATTTATTGAGCAATAGCTTTAAATTTGCATCCAATTAAATTACAATTCTAGTATCTTATATAGATAACACAACAATTAGAATTGGAGTTCAAGATGATGGCATTGGCATATCTGATGACGATTAGAAGAAACTGTTTAAACAATTCTCAAAAGTCAATTCTGAAGAGAGTAGAAAGAGAAATGAAAATGGAGTTGGATTAGGATTGGTCATCAGTAATCAGATTGCTAGTTCTATTGGTTGTGGAGGCTTATAGATTGATTCAAAGTTAAATTAAGGTACCTATTTCTTCTTTAACTTGTAAATCTAATAAACTAGACTGAAGAAGGTGTCAAGCTATAGGGTAAAGGAAAATCCAGGATAGTCTCAAGAAGTTGATGAGGGCTAGGCATTTCTGTTGGAACCTAAAAAGTCGATTGATTTGGAACCACCCTCTATTAGATGTTCTCATGTTTTGATTGTTGATGACGAGATCTTTAATGTTTTTACCTTCACTAAATTACTGAATAAAAAGTAAGTATTGACATTGATTAATTAGAAACATTTTAGATATAGATTCAGCTTCGAATGGCAGTGAATGCATTGAAAAATTAAAAAACAAAAAATGTTGCTAGACTTGTAGTGGCTATAGAATGATCTTTATGGACTTAGAAATGCCTATATTGAATGGTTTTAATGCAGCAAAGGAAGTGCTAAAGATTAATCCCAATTAAATTATTATTGCTTGTTCTGGATACACAGATCATAAGGAGAAAGAACAGTGTTCTAAAATTGGTATTCTGAATTACCTGGTGAAACCAATCAGAGACCAAGAACTAACAGATATTTTAACAGCATATTATTTTTGATTTGTAGTATAAATAATTTAACAATTATAAATAAATCCCTGAAAAGATTGATTTAATGAGATTGAGATTTAATATAAGGAACAAAACAATAAAATGAATTCAGAATAATTTAATCCCCAATCTTACGAATTATAGAAACTGTATTAAATACGAGAGACTTTGCATTAATAGTAAAGATTATAATAACTCAATGCCTTGTTGTAATAATAAAGGATGCAAATGATGAATTCTCCCACTTAGTAATAGCCTTCTGGATTAATTAAATAAATCGATTAGACTTTTGAAACTAATACAACCAATTCTTCAAAATTAACATCTAGTAAAAATGCCTTTTTGTTTGCTTAAAGATTGAAAAACAAAGATTCAATATAGGAACTAACTAAGATGGTCAGAATATGTCCTTTGAATACTGAACAGACCTAGGAGTTGACATCACTAATTACTGAAAAATTGCTATTGAAATAATAGAAGATTGATTATGCTTAACAACATAATCTAATCATTTTGCATTTGCAAATAACCAATAAGTTGTCTATTGATGTTCTACAATTCTATGTCTTTTTATTTGTTAGATTTCCTAATTTGTTGACTATTGTTGGAATAATAGAGAGTTGGTTATCAAATTCAGATAATGCCGTTGCCTATTTGGAAGAAGTGTGTTCTCATTTCATTAAAGAGATTTCAGGGACTCTCGTCTAATTTGTGTGCAATAAGGATAACAAAAGTTATTATAAGGTAAAAGTTTTGATTATAAGAAAGGGCAGATTGGAAATGTTAAGACTATTGATCAAATACATAGGGAATGAGGAATTATTGTCAGCTTTTATCATGTTGGATGTTACTGAGATGTTGGAGAATTGTATTGAACACCAATTTTATAAGGATACTTTTAAGGTGATTGTCACATTTTTTGAGAATCCCAATTTCAGTCATTATGTAATAAATTGAGGTTTATTGTAGAAATCGATTGAGAAAGCAATTAAAAAGCTATATGAAAAATTAACACCCGAATACAAGTTGTAATTGGATACACTAATAAAAGAGTATAAAAGAACTTGTGATAAGAACAAGGAGAAAACACTTCAGAATTAGAAATCAGATGAGATTTGAGATTATATAATAATGTATTTATGTATTATTATAATGAAAATCAAGACTTTATAAAAATAAACATATAAATTAAAATTAATTTATAAGATGGATAATGACATATTTGCTAATAACTCGATTGTGATTGACATGGTAAGCAACACTTAAATATCAATTAATAGGGTTCAAGTCAGATGAAGGCTGGATTTGGTGGAGATGACAAACCGAAATTGATTTTCAATTCATAGTAAATAAATTGAAAAATAATTAAGTATTGGACGTCCCAAATATAAAGCCTTACCTGTAGCAAATAGTCAAGAATTTTATGTAGGAAATTAAATTACAGATAGTACAAGAGGAATGATGAAAATCAAATACCCTTATCAAAGAGGTGTGATCAAGGACATGAATGAAATGGATTAATTATGGAAATATACCTTCTAAGAATTGCATGGGAATCCAAAAGAAGTAATTATTAAATTTATTTTAGTGTCCAATTTTATTGACTGAACCTCCATATGCATCATAATCTCAAAAAGTGGAAATTGCAAAACAATTTTTTGAAAGCTATAATTGTCCAGCTTTGTTCTTTGCAGTATCCGGAGTCATCAGTTTATTTGCAAGTGGTAAGACAACGGGAGTCATTCTGGATGTTGGAGACACAGTATCTTAAAGTATTCCAATTTATGATGGATTCTACATTTAACACAGTGCATAGAGAGTAGATTTGGCAGGCAGAGATGTTACAGAAAATCTGAATAATCTATTGAGAAGAGCAGGATACACATTCACTACTACAGTAAGGAGTGTTCATTATCATAAAAGGCTGAATATGAAATAATTAAGAAGGTTAAGGAAAAAAGATGTTTCTTAAGTCCAGCCATGATTGGAGAAGATAAGTTTTAGGAGGAGAGGAAGATCAAAGACCAATATATGTTACCAGATAACAGTACCATTGAATTGAGTTTTGAAAAATAAAGAGCACCTGAGATTTTGATGTGTCCAGAAAAATATGGTCTAGAATTGAATTGTAATTTACAAAGAAGTAAGTTTAGCTATTCCTGAGATTTTGGCAAACTCAATATAGAAAGTTGATTTAGATTTGAGGAAACCATTGTATAGTGAAATTGTTTTGACAGGAGGCACTTCCATGATGTAAGGATTTCCAGAGAGATTAATAGGAGAAGTAAAAAGATTAGTACCAAAAGAGGCTAAGGTATTAATATTATGAATATCAAAGGTGAAAATTTGGGCTCCACCTGAAAGAATTACTTTGAGTTGGTAAGGTGGATCAATTTTGTCTCATTTGGCATCATTCAAAAGTATGTGGATATTGAAGAAGGAGTTTGAAGATGAAGGAGAACGCATTTTAATAAAAAAATAATTGTGAGGTTTAGATAAATATATTTAATGGATTGTTATTGTACTGTCATTTTTCGACCTTGCCTAACCACAAAGCAAGTAATGATTTGCCTTTAACAGCGATGATCTTGAATCTGACCCCTGGAATATCTCCGACTGCATGACCCTTTCTTCCGAATCCAGCTACTGTGACTTCATCATTCTCATTTAAAAAGTTCAAACAACCATCCTTTGGAACGAAGGCTGATATTTTTTTACCATTTTTCTTGAGCAATACTCTAACACACTTTCTGACGGCAGAGTTTGGTTATTTGGATTCACTAAAATATTATCATTTAATTATTACACTCCGATTTTTTCAACAACCAATCCCTTAGCATGTGATGCACCCATAAATGGATTTTTATATCTTGACCCAATCATAGCCTTATTGTATTCCTTATCAGCCCATCTATTAACTCTTCTGTGATCTTTGAGCTTTCTTCCTGCTCGCATACCTCTCGGTTTTCCAACACCCATGATTATAAATAAAAAGATTTTATTTATTTTTTCAAAATATTCTTAAAACAAATCAATCTAACTAATTTATCACAAAATATGAACTTATATTCTAAGTAAAAATAATGTTAATTAATTTACTATATAATATTATCTAATATTATTAGTAAAGAATACTTAATAAGGAGTCTATATTGTTAATATAAAAGATAAGAACTAAAACACTGTAGAATTAATTAAATATTCTTAAATATATAAACATGAAATAATATACACAGCAAAAGATAAGAGGATGGATTTCAGCTACTACTTGAGCTTACTGTAAATGTTATGACTCTTCCTTATTTAAAGTGGCTCGTAGATCTATTATTCTTAGCACTGTTTAGATTATTCAAAGAAGTAGTGTTCTCAAATCCTAATCTTCTTTTTCCTTAAAGGAATATGTTTTGTTCCTCTTCTGGTTCTTACTTTTGAATGAGCAATCCAATTCTATCAATCAGTTTTTTTATTACAGCATATTCGTGAATTAAAAAATTCATATGCTACTTTACATCGATAATCAATTAAAACAATATAAGGGAGGATGTTGAGGCTATTACACACCATCCTAAATTAAGTTTTCCATTCTCCTCCAATTGATTTGTTTATTCATTAATTGCAAATCCCAATATGAACATTTCAGCCAACCAAATTATCCATTCAGAACCTATTTGTTTAATCAATTCATCCTTATCTTCCAAAGGTTTCACTTTGATCAAGTAAACAGCCATCACCATATTCAACAGAGATACCAATCCAATCTAAATGCATGGAATTGAATAAAATAACACTAGAAACATCATAAATAGCATTTTCTTAATCAATATGATGATGTTGAAATAATACGTAAATGGATTCTTCTCCAATTTAACACCTTCATAAATTGCTCCAAAATTATTTTGAATCACTTTCTATTTGAAAACATAATCTGGTTTCGACATGAAAAGTATTGATGAATATATGAATGCCACTTCCAGGAGCAGAGCAATTATGCAAAATACAAAACTCGAAAATAAAATTGGATCTCTCAAATACACATCCTTTAATTAGAGAAACAAAGCAAGATTATAATCAAAAGCCACAGCCATGAATGTTCTAATCACACCAGACATAAATTCCTAATTGATTTTTAATAGAGATTGCTATAAATTCCTTGTGATTCTATAGATAAAGAATGTACAAACACTTTGTTCCTATGAGTCAATGGGAGCATAAATAAAAGAGTGTGAGATCTTAGTTAAAGTTGAAAACAGCATCCTACAGGCAATAAAGGTGATCAAGGTTGTTATGAATACAGTCATGACAGTAATGATGTTCACATAAAAGACAGTGGAGTACCCTTCGTTTCTAAACTTAGGATCTGCATCTGGTGTATTCACATATTAACTAATGTATTATTCCAAGTCAATATATTGTTTTAAAAAATCGAATTGAGCAAAACCAAATATAGTAAAGTAATTGTTAACATTATATGGGTATTCAACATTCAAAAATTATAAGTAAGATACTAATTGTAAGACATCCAGAAGATTCCAAAATATATTAAGTCCACCAAATAAGAATGCTAAAATAGCGAATCCAAAGAGCAAGTATAAAATGTACTTACTCAATTTCATCAAACCGTCAGTTGCACTCTCCGTTGAATTAGAGGGAGCTTGAAATTCCAATAGTGATGTAACATAATTTTTCTGTTCAAATGCATTACCTTATTAATTTTTGATGGCATCTTGATTAATTATCTGACATATTAATTATGGATTGGAAACTACTGATTGCAATTAAATATTTAATTCAAGAAATAAATAACTATACTGATCAGAGTATTAGGTTAAATCTACAAATGTGATTTCGTATTAATTTAAATTATTGATTTTGAATTTCATAATGGAATTGATACTTCCAGATATTGATACTAATTGATCAGTCTTAATTCTCACAGTTCTTTATGAATTGTATTTTACATCATAAGGATTTAATTCAAATAGAATTGATGGATAGATGATCTTCTCACATAAGGTCTAACATTAATAGCCGTCTTCGACTTGACAAGTTTGATTACATCCATCATTATCCTCTAAATTTCCATCATCACATTGTTCATTTTTGACTTTGATTCCATCTCCACAAATATTTACACACTGATCTCCCTAAACTTGAAATCCTTATTCTTGATTGCACATTACACATCCAGATCCATCAGATTAATATACCATGCAATCTGTACAATTGTCTGATCTATTAATGCAAGTCTTACAACTTGGATCACAAGGTAAACAAATAAACTCTTGAGTTAAATAGAATCCATCAATGCAGCCTGAGCATCTCCCAGCATCACAAGAAGTGCATGTATAATCTAAACAAAAGGAGTTACCATGTAAACACTTATAACAACTATCTCTGTAATTATCATTGCCATCATCGCAATCCTCATTCCATTGTAGAATGCCATCTCCACACTTTGAGTAACAATAATGAGTGACTGGAGGATTGATATAATCCTGACAACTTAGACATTACTTATCATTAGATTCATAATATCCTCTTCTACATTTGCAACTAAACTAAAGAGTATTATTTGTGATTTAAGGTTCTCTTGTACTAGGACATCTAGTACAGGATTGAGTCGTATTATTAGAACATTCTAGACATGATATATGACACTCTAAGATTTATAAATATAAGTGTACATCCACAAATATCAGAGGATTGTTGAAAATATCCAGATTTACATGTACATGCTGAATTGTTAATACTCATGATTCTATATTGATCATCATAACATGATGTACAAGTGTGAGCATCGAGACAAGTTTTGCAAGTAGAAGGACACTCTAATTAGTTAAGGAGTTATAAATACTTTGACAGATCAATTAACCAACATCATAATACCCATCCATACAAATACAAGTGTCATTTGTAGGTATTCTATAATGGGCTGGGTAACATTAACTACATTGATCTTTTGTAAAATTGCATTTCTGACATAGATCTGAACATTTAGAACATACTAAATCATTATCCTCTTGAAAATAGCCTGTTTGACATTCACAAGACGATGATTCCAATACTCTATTTTATCCTGGGATACAAGCTAAACAATCTCTAGCTCTGTCTTAACACTTTCTACATGTCGGATAACATATATAACAACTGAAATTCTCCATATAATATCCATCTAGACATGAACATTAATTAACATTCAACCATAAGTTTTTGGATTCATCACAAGATAAACAATTCTTTGGATGTTTTGGACGTATTACACCGACATCTACTCTATCATTTAAGCAGGTTTGACAATTATGAAAACAATTGCTTTGTGAACAATACTCAATCACATCCTTTAGAATAGAACAATAACATATTTTATTTCTCAATTCATACCCAGCCTTACATGTTATGCAATCTGAGTATCCATTACAACTACTGCATCCAATATCACAAGCACTGCACTCCCCATTATTATCCATATAATATCCAGACTTGCAACCATTGATGTCAGTACTTTGTGTATTAATTGAATTCAAACAATTTCCATTATCATCGCATTCTAAACAATAATCCTAACAAGTCCAGATGATGATTCTGTAATCATAGATTCCACAATATGCTTCGCTGTCAATATTCCTAATGCAATGTAACTGTACTGATAATTCATCAGTTGATTAAAATGATTTCGTATAACTAACACTCTAAATCACCTCAATCTCATTTTACCCAACTTAATTGCCCACTGAAATTCCACTACCAAACATAGAATATATTGATGTTTCAGTATTAACACTAGTTCTGAATTGTATTTGATTGTTCTTGGAATCAATGAATACTAACATGAACTCTACTTTTACTCTATAGAATGGCTTCTTATATTTTAAACGATGAATAACTTATTCATTACTCCATATATTAAGTCCTCCTAAAATGATCTTGTTCATAAAAAAAGAGAGCGATTTCATACTTAATTTGTTTGTGTAACTCTCCAAATAGTAGGGATTCAAATCATGAAACATATTGACCAAATACTCCTAATTTAAATTAACCATTTATGAATCCACACAAACATTACTAACTGCACTAGTATAATCTGGACATTAATCTATGCACATCCCTTTAAATAAGTTCTTACTACTCCCACATGACAAACAGATATCTGGCATTTTGAATTCACAAGTTAAGCAATTATTTAAACAACTCATTGGATTACTAGATATTGAATATTTATTCACTACGAAATCTCTGATTCCCCATTTTCGTGAAGGTTTGTTTAAAGCAAATTTAGAGCTGAATTCTATTTCACTGACTGTTTCTTAAAGTTCAAACATTATGGAAATTGAGTATGACTTACATGGCTAATATTAAGCAGAATTACAAATTTCCTTAGGTAAAGCTCTATAGCCCTGTTTGAAATAGGAGTATAAAAACACTGTTTGAAAATCATCAATCTTGGCAACTACAAACTAATTGAATCTAATTATTATTTCCTCTGGAAACAAAGTAGAGATTCTGCCTGCCATAAACAATGTAAATTTCATCTCATATTTTTCATTAGCAGGCAATAGAATATCATTATACACAATTTTGTCTGTGTTCCCAAACATACCAGCCACACTTTTGGTCCCAATTGTTTGTACCATCAATTACACAGTGCTATAATACTTATCAGGAATATATTAGAATTTGTAAATACTAAAATTATCTTATTCCAGATCCACGTAAATATTTGTTATTGTTGCCAATTAGCAAATACCATTCACATCAGGCACATGATTTATAGGACATTCATCTAAACATTATAGGTTTGGATTGAAATATGAAAATTTTGAAGTTGGATTGCATCTGCATTATGATTTTACTAATTCGTATCCCAATTTACATGTCAAACATTAATATTCATCACATTCTTCACATAAATCATCACAATAAAAAACCTATAATACAAAGTTTGTTATTCCATAATCACTGGTCGAACCACTCGTAACTTACTCATGAACAATTTCAATATTTAATTGAGGGTCATTAAATGATATTATTTGATCTATTCTTGAGATTTTCTCAGAAGTTGATTTTCCAAATGGTCTTTAGAGACAATATCTCATCGGAAAGTCTTCTAATTAATTTGTATTTGGAGTTTCATAATGCACCAATAAACTGTTAGCATATACTGTAATAGCCTCTGCGATATTCCATTAGCCCAAATAGTAGATATCAAAACTGATTCGTATTTTACTAAATCCCCTGGTTGCAGACATTGAGATAATTCGAGTTAAGGACAGATCTCCTTGGAGTATTTTTGAATTCAGGGCCGGTTATAGATCGCAAACTAGTAACAAATTGGATGAAGGAATGTTATTGGAGTTCTTCCATAAATAAAATGTTGAACTATCCATCAATTCCGATATGTAAAGTTCCCAACCTAAAGATTGGATGATAACTAATACCACAATGTATTTTCATAATAAAGACTGATAAAACTAGGAATTACATCTATTTGATTATGTTTTATATTTATAAATAAATCCATATTACATCAATGTGCAGAGATATACTAATATTATTTTGATAAATTCTGTTGCCAATATAATAATCAATGTCATCATCATACACCACTCATGGAGTTTGTCTTGTCACTTTGCATCACTTATATAATTAATTATTTTATTTTTTTATTTAAAAATACTTCTTGAAATAATAATTTTAATGATATTACCTCCATCAGATTAAATACTTCATTCAGTCCAATCGAAACAATGGTTCAATTCTCGATGTCAACCAAAAGCTAAAATGCAGTATTTGAAGTCATAGCGTGAAATTATGAACGACAATGTAGTCACTCATACATTTCGTTTAATTGACAAGGATTAATCAAGTAACACTACCTACATTTATATAAAGAAACACTTGAAATTGAGGAGTTGTACTCCATGTTTCTCAAGAATGGATATCCAATAAACATCAATTTGCTAAGGGGCTTTTTTGAGAAAGCAGACAAAGATAATAACAGTACCTACATCACTATTTTAATATAGAATCGATTGAATTGGAAGAATTTAAACATGTTATGTATGATGAATAAGCCACGCAATGTAATCAGTCTTACTTATATAGCATTTAGAGAAATGATGAGAAAAATGAGAGAATAAGCCAAAGAATCCAATTATTATTCTACTGACTTTGTTAGATTATTGAGATATCTCTCCTATTGTCAAGATAGAAATGCTCTCCAATTCTAAATTAATGTAAGTCTTCTTCCCTACCTAGAATCACAGACTGACAGTGGAAAAGAGATCAAAATTATTGTCTTAATTAATTTAGCTCAATCATCAATATAATTAAGATTAACAAATTACTGATGAGTAGTTATAAGTCAAACCCTACAAGAAATAGACAACTGAAAAGAAAACATTACCACCTATTAATTAACATTATGTTGCCAATTCAAATCCATCATCCCTCATTCAATCCTAACTTAAATTGAATTTAAGTGATGTTCATAAGAATTCATCCTTATTCCTACCTCCTTATGTATCCCCTCAAAATACAGATAGAAATATCAAGTAGCCTGGTCACAAATATCAAAGTTATCTTAGAATCAATAATAAAATATTTAGTAACAATAAAAAATGAATGTCTTACTTATTTTATATACTTCTAAAGATATATACAAAATTACAAGCAGTTTTAAATTAAATAATTAAATATTACCAAATTCAAATGTAAGGCAAACAATAAAACTCTCCATCCTTATCTTCCTTGCATTTTAGGCACTTGTTATAAGATTCGCAAATCAGACAACCAACAGAACATTTTTGACATCCATAATCATCTAAGTAGTAACCATCAAGACACTTTAATTTCTAATAGTCAAATTTATCAATGCTCTTTTGATACGCTTTGCAATCCTATTCAAATGGGCCCACACATTGAAGACAAAGAGGAGAACACTAATTTATTTTAGATTCTTACTTTCATAGTCATAAAGTAATAATTAGAGATTACACATCTACCATTACTCGAGATTTTACATCCTAAGTTCATATTAAGGATGTTCTTGTTATGATAAAGATTATGATCAATGTAAGAAGCATTCTTATGTACAAGAGTAGTTTTTCCATCTATTGTGAATGTAAAGCAATCTGAATCTGAAGTAGAATTCTCGATTGTTAAATTAAACATCAATCTAATCTAGTAATGTTTTCCAAGATTTAATTATTTCGTAAAAGTAGTCCTTCGCCAACCATCCTTTAATCCTCCTCCAATGAATGTAGTTCCATTTTCATACCGAAAACTTATTTATTCCCTCATATCGAAAGTCTTCTAACCGAAAATAGATAATAGGTCCTAAAATGGTGAATCTAATTTTATGAGAAAACTAACGTCTAAAAATCACAACATAGAGTACCTTGCTAGTGCTCATCTATCTTTATACATTTGCTACCATTTCTAATTGTAAAATATGGACATTATTTAACACATTCATTTTCATATAAATATAAATCCTGACCGCATTAACTACATACTTAATTAAAAGAACACGATTCACATCCAATAATTGAGCAATCATAGAATTTTATTTCTTTATCATATAGTTTAACCTCATCAACATTCCAAAATCCGGAATTTTCAACATTTTTTGAATAACTATATATAGTAATTTTATTTTATTCTTAGAATTCCATCTTAACTAAAACTTTCACTTATATGCAATCTAATTCAGACCTTCTCTCACACTGTTTATAAGACTATGTATTATAATAGATGGGTAAAAACGGATAAATTGTTTCAGGCTAAACATTTTCTTTTGATATCCTTAGAATTGATTGATGTTAATCCTACTATTTCCCATAACAATTAAACTTAATCTCCATCCAACCTTCAAATTGTTATTCAAAATCAAAATACAATTCTTGACTATCCCCAAATCTCTTATTTGATCCAATATCATTGTTTAAAGGCTTGTAATTTAAATCCAACTAATTTAAACCTTAAATATTTTAAATAATTTACTTTTCTTTATACATTCTCTGAACTCAGCTAAGTATCCTATGGGACATTCATCGACACATTCATTTTTATATCTTAATTTCTCACATTAATCAAATATTTCAAGATCACAATATCCAGATAAGCAGTATCTGCAATTCTTAGGGCATTCCTAAATAAATATATTGAAGTTCCTTATTGTAAATTGAATCTCTGCATCAAAAATAAACTATATTTTAATATCTGGAGCCTAATGATCAAATTCCATATGAAATTCCTTAAAATCTCTTTCTACAATAAGAAAGTTTCTTCTAATTCCGTTTACCTTAATCAATATTTCAGCTTAACTCAAATTTACCTTAGCATCAAATATCATATGTAATTTCCTATATCCCTACACACCTTCATATTTAAATGAGTAGCTTTCATTTGACACAATCATATAATCATCCTCTATGATCAAATTATTATTATTAATTGGCTCAATTATTTTTTTCAATGTTATAACATTCCAACAGTTAATCCATTGAATCATAAAGAATAGAAATATCAATAACATTTTTCAAAATATTATTTATTTAATGAAAATATCTTTTTTTCAAGAAAGGACTTAAATACATCTCATTTATTAAAACCAATCTTAATTATACATATTATGCTCACATAAATAAAAATGAAGAAAGAATTACATAATAAGAAATGGTAGCATCACAAATTCTGTTCTCCTGATATCAATAACACTTATAATCTTTTCCTACTCTACTTTATCTAATTTTCATTTACTACTTTTTACTTAAGTGTATATACTTATATATAATATTAATCTCGTCTATATTTCTATATAATGTTCTTTACAAATTATTTGTAAATATCCAAATGGTTTATTAAAACATATATATAAATTAATATAAGCACAATATAGAATATGATAATTATTAATTATATATTTCAAGTTAATTATTTTAACAGAATACAAATAATAATTGTTTTATCTTGATTATAAATCAAAAAACATAGTCTATTATAGACTAAATAATGAACTCTCTATGTTAAGTAAGATTCTAATCGAGTTTGATTTTAAGGAAAATTATAATTTTGATTTATTAATTATTTTAATTTTTGATAATATTCTCACTATTTTTGATATTAAATTTTAGAATAAGAAGAATTTATAAACAGAGGATCATGAAATAAAATTTGAAACAAATAAATAAAAATAGTAATTCAGAAAAATCTTTGTTTATGATTATCTTCATTTATAAGAGACTTTAAATTTTTCATTTCCGAATCAAGTCTTACAATTACTTTATCTGACTAATTAGTATTTTATTATTAGTAGAAATCATTATTTAATCTACCAAAAGACGAATTGAGTTATTTATCTTGCAGTATATTCTATTATAAAATTATAATTTGTACTTGAAGAGTACTTAATCTCATTTCTCCACTTTAAATTTAATTATGAATTTGCAACTTCAATTAAGATATTATTTCTTAGTAGTGCTCATCCTTTTAATTAAGTTCTTGCCTTTTTAATTTTTCACAATCTCTTAATTTTGAACTTAAAATGAATATTTCCTCTAAACTAAATGATTACAGTACCTTGATATTTTTTAATTTCTTATTCCCTTAGATTTATTGCATTTTAATCCATTAACTTCAGCTATTTCAATTTTTCAGATGCTAAATTTTGTTCTAATTAATTAATCTGCAATTTTTATTAATCTATAATTTTTTATTAATTGTCTAAATTATGCTAGTAGAACTATATTTATTCTTATAGACTCTAATTTTCTTACTCAATATTTTTTAATTCTAATTCAAGTCTCATATTTTATTGAATATACTATTAATTTAAGGAAGAAGAATTAGCAAACATATTTTAAGATTGGTAATTGCTGTTATTGGTTGTAGTAATTATGTCACGTTTTGTATGCTATTTTGATTATTACTTTAATTCTTCTATCTAAATTTATAATTATCTTATCTCATTCTGCTATTGATCGATCTTATTTTGTAATTCATTTTATTTTGGTTGTTCAGACCGCTTAGATGGACTAAATGTAATGTTCGAATTGTAATTATTGCCATTACATTATTAATTCAATTCTTATATCCTACTTTGATATTCCTAGATAATTAACTCTGAACCTTTTGCTACTCTTGCCTTTAAAATATTTAATATTTACTCTGAGAGTTAATTGTTAATATTTAGATTTCCAGATTTACAACTCATTTTCTAATTTTTCATAAGATTATTTTCCCTAACAGAATTGTTCTAGCTCCAGATATTTAAACTTCCAATACTCAACTTCCTTATTTACAAGTGTCTTCTCAACGTAATTATGGGTTACTTTTTTTTATACTTGGTTAGGTGAAACAGATGTTTGTTATTTAACAGTTTTTGTTGGGGATTTACTAGAAAATTTCATTTATAAATAATAAATTTATTGAAGTTTTATTGTTGGAATATTGCAATTCACAATGAATAATTGTTTATTATAGCTAATAAGAAAAATTCAATTAATTTATCCTTTCCTTAGTGTTGAATTTTCTACTTTGTTCATGTATGAAACATTTCTAATTTCATTTAACCTAATAATATAGACTTAAATATTTACTTTAAAGTTAATTGATGATTCATGCTCTTTAAGTTATTAATTGTAGTTTCTAATTCCAAGATTCTAGTGTTATATTCAACCTTAAGCTTTTCTTCAATTTTATCATAGTCTTATAAGAGTTTAACTGATTTTTCTCTGCTTTATCGTTCTCTATTAATAGCATCTTCCATCTATAATTGAAGATTCTTTATTTTGTAAGTGTAGTCATCTTAAATTTATTCTAATCTTGACTCATAATGTCTTTTTGTTTTTGCAAGTTCTTCTAATTAATTTTAGCATTATCTAGTTAGTGAATTTATTTTCCCTTTCTATGTCGATAATTCTTATGTTCGACTAGTTAATTCAGATCTAGTATGCTCTAGATTTTATTTGAGATCTGCATTATTATTTGTTAATGTCTTCACATAGGAATCATGAGATTGCTTTGCTAAATTAATTTCTGCTTCTTGATCAGTTAATTTTTATTCTAATAACGTATTCTTTTCTGTTAATTCACTAATTTATCGTTATAAATCATCAGTTTATTAGTAATTGGTTTCAATATCTTACTTTAATCCATTCTCCATACGAGTAATTTCTATCTTTAGACTCTTTATTTCTTTTGTTAATCTATCATTTAATGTTGTAATTTAATTTGCTTCTTCATTCAATCTATGTATTTCATCCTCTCTTTATTCTATAATTATTTTATATCTATTTTTTAAACTATCTGATTATTTATCAAAGGTTTCTTTTAGATTAGTAATTTCCTCCCTATGTTTTGACATTTAATTCTATAAAGTCTAATCAAATTATTGTTCTTTTAATTGATATCTGTCTTTTTCCATAACAGCATTTTCCCGCTCTTCTTTTAATTACTTAGTTAAAATCTTATAATTTTCTTCTTTTTTTAATAAAATAGAGATTTTATTTTCATAGTTATCCATCATTTTAATTGTTTATTCCAAATTGCTCTTACTCTAATCTAGTTCTCTCTTTATTGCTCTGTTTTCATCCCTTAATTAATCAATTTCTCTCTCATTATGCACTTATTTATCAAATAACTCTCTTTCTTTTTTGTGCATCTCTTCCAACTCCTTTGATAATTCTGTTTGACTTAATTAACCCTTATTTTAAAGATTAACTATTTCTTATTTTAAGTTCTAATTCTAATGTTTCAACACTTTATTTTCATTTTCACTTTTACTGAACCTTTGAATATATTCTGTCTTTTCCTCCTCAGTAATAGCTACTAATTGGGTTTAATTCTAGAATTTATTCTCTAGTATGTCTAATTTAATCCTTAAATCATCTGATCCAATTTCTAAATTTTAGTTCAATTATTTTAAGTCTTATAATTAATTTAAATATTATTATTCGTTTCTAATCATCTAGTCATTTCTTAATTATAGATCCTATATCTGACTTTCATATTATTTTAATTTATTGACATAGATGCTATTTTCCTCATTCAATAATCGAATTCTCTCTTCTAAGTCCTCCTTTTCTAATTCATTAAAAACATTCTTGATATTATTTGCACTACCTCCTCCTTGTTAATACAACCTAAGAAATTGTTCATTCTTGTCCTATAACTATTTTCTGAGAAATGTGTTATCATCATTGACCATTTATATTCTGGCATCCATAGCAGCTAGATCATCCATTAATTTTTGAAGTATGACATCATAATTTTTAATGTGATCTTCATAAACAATAAATAATGGTGCCAAATAAGATAAATCCGTTTGATGATTGATGTCTTAATGAATTACGTCAACTCGAGTAATTCCCAATCGCTTTAAACATTCATTAAGTTCCTTAGATAATCTTCCATCTATAAAATGTTAAAAATTATAATTTACTTGCATTAACTTAGAAGGAAAGTTCTGATTTTAATGAGTTTATTTAATTTAACAGTTCTGCTTCTGTTTATTTTGGTTAAACCATTGACATTGGATGTCGTTACATTTTGAAACTATTTGTTCTGTTATAAATTAAATTAAATTTATATATTAAATTGTGTATATATAGTGTGATAAATTGTTTAAATTTTAATTATTTATAAATCATTATCAATTAGACAAATCCCTTTTTTGATCTTCATATTACTTTCTAGTTATTTATTATTAACCCAACATCCCATATTTTAAGCAGTAATAAAATTACATCTCCTCTGGGGTATAAGTTAAGGTTTTGTCAAAATTATTATATAAATTTCCGATTTCACTTAATGGAGTCCTTTCTAAAATAAAGTCCTCAAAGCACTTTATGGATTAAGGACTTAAAGTGTTTTTATGGATTTTTCTTGAATAGATAAAATATTTACAAAATCTTTTTTAGATAATTGCAGATTTCTTCTTTTGTATTAAGAAGTAGTTGAGGTGTAATTATGCCTTAACCAGGAGGTTGATTTGTAATTAAGCCTTAACCAGAAGGTTGATTTGTAATTATGCCTAAACCAGAAGGTTGATTTGTAATTATGCCTTAACTAGAAGGTTGAATTGTAATTATGCCTTAACCAGAAGGTTGATTTACAAATAAAATTTAATTAGGTAGAATTTATTAACTATTTATTTGTGGAGGTTTTGGTAAAAAAGGTTAAGGATTTATTGCACTATTTGGATTGGTCATTATTGGTTTAAAAACTGGCCTGGCAACTGGCAATCTCATCATTGTAAATCTATTACACTCTTCATATAGAGTATCAAATGTCATTCTTTCTTATGGATTATAAACAATCATTCTTTCAATGAGATCTGCTAATTTTGGATTAATTCTTGCATTCAGTTTAAATTTATCAACTTTAATCTTGTTCATAAATTATCTAATTCCTGTTGGAGTTGTTTCACATGGATAACCTCCCATCACCAATTAATGTAATAGTATACCAAGCTAAATAAAAATTAGATAAATACAGAATAAACATCAGAAACACTTTTCTATTTGTCTTATTTCATTAGTCCAAATTTATTATCTAACTCAGAATCTTAAATCAACGAATTTAATTCTGGTGATGCATAAAATGGTGTTCCTGCTTTTGTTAATTTAAAGTCATTTATTTTGCAAATTCTTCCAATTCCAAAGTCAGCCAATCTATAGAACTTTTAACCATCAATATTTTAGATTAGAATGTTTTCTGGTTTAATATCTCTGTGAATCACATTTGATTCGTACAAAGCTTTATAACCATTTAAGAATTAGCTTAGAAAATCTATAACCATAGCTTCTTAGTAAACATTTATCTCTTTCCATTCCTTATCAAGATTAGATGCACATTTTTCCATTATCACAATAAGTTTTGAGGTGTCTTTATCATATTTTACATATTAAACTTAGACCAGATTTTGATTATCTTTATTTCTTTAAACAATTTCTGTTATTTATTTTTCCCTGCGAATATTCTTCTCTTATTACTCTTTATTAGAATTATTATCGCTATATATTTAAGTGATCTTATAATAATATGAATATATACTTTGGCACATAATTAGACTTAGCTATTATTTTTACAGTAGCAACCATATACAATGCCGTAATTACCCTTTCCGACCACGCTATTTGTATTGATTACATATTCATTATTCTCTCCAACGGTATGCATTTCTTTCTTATTTTATTTAATAGAATTTGATAATCAATAAATTTGCCTTTTGATTTTCAAAATTGAGGTAAACTCATAGTTAGATTACGCCATGTGCATATATATATATTAATTTTTTTTCATTTCCATCATCGTGTTAATGGAATTTTCAAATCCTTATTTATACTATCACAACTGATTCTATTAGCCCTTTCATTGTCATAAAATAATCTGCTCTTTATATCCAACCTATTATCGACCTTTAATATAATTTTAACTAGCAATAAGTATAAAACATGAAAACATAGTACTGAAAATAAAATTCTATAATTTAAGACTTGATTCATTGAAGTTTAATAGAAAAGAATTAAAATCATAGTGAAAAAATATAAGAATTTAATTGCCTGGTTTAACTTATTTGAGAAGTTGCTATATTAGATCAAATATTTCAATTTGATTGATTGATTAATCTTTGGATATTAATCCAATAGGAATTCTTGTTCTATTTTATATATTTAATATGAGAATCTTTTACTACTTTAACCATTTCCTTAATCTAAAATTTATTGCTTGGTTTTATAATAGATTTCCAATAATTACTTCATTATAGTGATGAATTGCAGATATAGATAAGGGATATATTTATAAGTAAACATTATAATTTGAAAATCTAGAATGATAATTTCCATATTTAAAAAATGTGAGCTCTTTCTAAAGATTGTTATTCTGGGGATATAAATAATAAGGAATATTATTTTAGTCAGTTTAAGATAAATTTTATTGATTATATTTATAAAAATTTGTCAGTTAATCAATACAAATGTAGAGAAAAATAGAGTGCTATAACAAAGGACTATTTAATTCAATGTCATAATTTGAACCTAAATATAGACCCAACGGTAAGACTAGTTTAGGTACTGGATCTTTCGGAACAGTTAATTTGGTGCAGAATATCAAATCAAAACAACTTTATGCTATAAAATCCATATAATAAAGCAACATACAAACCCCATATGAATAGGAAGGAGTTGAAAGAGAAATTAAAGTCCATTTAAAGTGTCGACATCCAAATATTGTTAACCTATATGATAGTTTTATCGAACAAGGGAATGTGTATATGGTATTGGAGTATGCTGAAAATGGGAATCTATATAATTATGTACAAAGAAGAAAGAGATTGGAAGAAAAGGAAGCCTGCAAATACTTCATATAGACTTGTAAAGCATTGTAATATTTACATGAAATGAATGTTTTCCATAGAGATATAAAAGTATAATATCAAATTTATTGATTAAAGCCTGAAAATTTGTTGCTTGATAATAATAATGACATCAAATTATGTGATTTTGGGTGGTGTGCTGAGAATATCCACCTAAAAAGAAAGACGTTTTGTGGAACATATGAATACATGGCTCCAGAAATAGTATCTGATTTACCATATGACTATAAAATAGACATCTGGTCAGTTGGAGTACTATTGTATGAATTATTGCATGGTTATGCTCCATTTAAAGGAAAGGAATATAAGGAAATAGCATAAAATATTAAGAATGGTTTGATTCGATATTCTAGTACAATTAGTTAGGATGCATAAGAATTGATCAAAAATATTTTACAAAAAGATCCCTAATCAAGACTAACTTTTAAGGATATTTACTAATCTGCTTTTGTCTAGAGATGTTTTCCTTAATAATAAGGATGTAAAATTAATTAAATTATATCATAGAATTGAAAATATCAATGTCTCCAAAATCTAGTACTTCGATTGATCAAAATTCAATACAAAAATATCAATCTCCTTTAATTAGTCATAAATAACAACCTTTTGGTAGACTAAATTAAACTAATACAAATAACAACCTAAACAATTCTTCTTCCTTGAGTATTAAATCTCCTAACATTTCTAAAACCAGAGTTGATTCTAAAAAGTCATAAAATATCTTTGATGATATAAAAAAGAAAATTATCTATGAATAAACTAGTCCTCTAAGAGATGCTACAAATATGCATAAAAGAAATTAAGCTAGTCTGACAAATTTAATAAAAAGTTCAAACACTAAACTCAATACCATAAAAAGTCCATAGCCAAAAAAAATATAACTTAGTAAATACTGTACTAAATCCAAAAACTTTGATGAGAATGGAACTGTTAAATTGTTAGATTAGTTTAAATCAATGCCATCCTTCACAATTGAAGATTAAAAGCCAACATATGAGGAAGAACATAAATTAAATATAAAAACTGATAGAGTCAAAGGGTAATTGATAATTATATTATTGTAAGGTTTAAAAAGGACCCTTAGTAGTCGTAAGATCTGGACAAGATCTTAAAAATGTATCTCAGCATGTGTAGCAGCAGATCCTGATTACTTATATATAAAATAATACTACTTATCAATCATTCCGATACTAAGAAAATGTTGTTGTAATTTCTTAAAATAATCTAAAGAAATTACATCTCAAAAGAAATTATACTTCTATCTACTTGTTGTAAATGGTTAATTATATTATTTCTATTGTAATTGAATTATTTCTTTAATAAATTAGATACTAGAATTTACAAAATCCTAATATGGCATTCAATATCTTTGAAATTAATGTCTGCTCTTTTAATTATAATTATTTTAATGTATTAATTGAATTTAGAAGAAGATTACCAATAATTAAATATTATTGATAACTAAATTTATCAATTATTTAAAAATAATTAATGCTGGTTGAAAATGTTTATATGTAATCAAATCTAGTATTTGTGTCCTAAATTCCGAGAAATATACTAATTCTTGAATTCTCATTAGCTGAATAAGAGGAGGAACAAAAGAAATCTATCTAAATTTTATTTATATAAATAGCTGATTTTCTTTACAAATAAGGATATTAGTAAAATGTTACTTATTTGAACTGGAATTATGTACTATTTGCTATAGCGCTATTTTAGATTGATTCTGACTCTAAATATAATAATTTGTGTGTTGATATTGAGAAATCATTTAAAGAATGAAAGTTTCATATTTACAGCTGTCCTCATCATCAGATTATCAACATTAAATGAAAATGTATTTTGATCGAGCATGACAAGTAAGTAATCTAATTATTTACAAACATTTATTTGATTTCAAGATTAATATCAGTATATAATTAGCTTTATAAATTAGGATTTGTAAATGTACTATTTGAAGAAACTTATGTTGATACTTTTAAATCGGAATAATTCCATTAAAATTATAATATAAAATATAAATCTTAATGAATAGCAGTGAAAGTGTGATTGGAGTGAAAACCAGGTCCATGAATGTATGTGAAAGGGTGCTTCAACCAAGAATAAAAAGGGACTATTGTCACATTTCTAAGGAAAAGAAAGCATAATTGATTTAGACTGTACTGAAACAAAAATGTAAAATAAAGAAAGTAAGATAATTTCAATATGAAAGATAGCAAGAGATTTAAATATTAACTATGCAACTGCTAAAACTATACTTCATTGTTTTAAGAAAAAATAAATAGCCTTTGATGCAGATCCTGAAGTCAAAAGGGTGTCAGTTGGCTCAATTAAGGAAGGCTCTAAACTTTGGGTCTAAATTAAAGTGGCCGATTAGATAATTAACCATTTTGAATATTTCAATGAAATCAAGAGAATCTAATGATATATTTTTAAACCTTCTTCACAATCATTAATCTACACACTATTATTGCTGTCTCAATTCTCATGTCTAAAATTTGTTACGTCAATATCAAATTAATGGAAATCATATTACAAAGACCACGATAGAAGAAGAATTGATTATCTTAATTTATAAATAAATGAAGTTGGAAGTCATGAAGGATTGATTATTTATAGAGAAATGTACATTGNTTGAATTATTTCTTTAATAAATTAGATACTAGAATTTACAAAATCCTAATATGGCATTCAATATCTTTGAAATTAATGTCTGCTCTTTTAATTATAATTATTTTAATGTATTAATTGAATTTAGAAGAAGATTACCAATAATTAAATATTATTGATAACTAAATTTATCAATTATTTAAAAATAATTAATGCTGGTTGAAAATGTTTATATGTAATCAAATCTAGTATTTGTGTCCTAAATTCCGAGAAATATACTAATTCTTGAATTCTCATTAGCTGAATAAGAGGAGGAACAAAAGAAATCTATCTAAATTTTATTTATATAAATAGCTGATTTTCTTTACAAATAAGGATATTAGTAAAATGTTACTTATTTGAACTGGAATTATGTACTATTTGCTATAGCGCTATTTTAGATTGATTCTGACTCTAAATATAATAATTTGTGTGTTGATATTGAGAAATCATTTAAAGAATGAAAGTTTCATATTTACAGCTGTCCTCATCATCAGATTATCAACATTAAATGAAAATGTATTTTGATCGAGCATGACAAGTAAGTAATCTAATTATTTACAAACATTTATTTGATTTCAAGATTAATATCAGTATATAATTAGCTTTATAAATTAGGATTTGTAAATGTACTATTTGAAGAAACTTATGTTGATACTTTTAAATCGGAATAATTCCATTAAAATTATAATATAAAATATAAATCTTAATGAATAGCAGTGAAAGTGTGATTGGAGTGAAAACCAGGTCCATGAATGTATGTGAAAGGGTGCTTCAACCAAGAATAAAAAGGGACTATTGTCACATTTCTAAGGAAAAGAAAGCATAATTGATTTAGACTGTACTGAAACAAAAATGTAAAATAAAGAAAGTAAGATAATTTCAATATGAAAGATAGCAAGAGATTTAAATATTAACTATGCAACTGCTAAAACTATACTTCATTGTTTTAAGAAAAAATAAATAGCCTTTGATGCAGATCCTGAAGTCAAAAGGGTGTCAGTTGGCTCAATTAAGGAAGGCTCTAAACTTTGGGTCTAAATTAAAGTGGCCGATTAGATAATTAACCATTTTGAATATTTCAATGAAATCAAGAGAATCTAATGATATATTTTTAAACCTTCTTCACAATCATTAATCTACACACTATTATTGCTGTCTCAATTCTCATGTCTAAAATTTGTTACGTCAATATCAAATTAATGGAAATCATATTACAAAGACCACGATAGAAGAAGAATTGATTATCTTAATTTATAAATAAATGAAGTTGGAAGTCATGAAGGATTGATTATTTATAGAGAAATGTACATTGCTTACTACCTTATACTTTTAAAAAAGAAGTCAATTTAAGCATAAATTTGTTTCTTTAGTTCAGTGATTTCAGCAATATTATAGAATATAAAATATATTTGTATTATTTCAACCCACCTTTGACATTATTAATAAATATACTTTAATATTCCAGCATCTCTCAAATAACAATTAGTCAAACCATTTATCATCAAACTATTCATATTGATTATTTCATAATAAAATAAATTTTTAGTTTCATAAATTGAATTGTATTTATTTAGCATAACAAAAAATTAATACGTCAACATTGTATAAAACATAATATTTTTAGGAATTGATTTAATCTGCTCCTATTTATATCACTTTTCAAAATATTGTATAGTGATTTTACAATTAGTAGCATTTTAATTCACTATTCATTCGCCGATAAGACAAAAATATTACATTTTTTATTTCAGTTTACAATTTTTATATTCAATTTTCAAAAATTTTTATATTACATTAAATATAAATAAGACTAAGGATTTGATATCCAAGAATCTATAGTCATATTTCTATTTTATGAATGTGCTAAATTTATCTTGTGATTCGAAATAATTTAATTTATATCCTTTTCTAAAGATATTTGTCTTCCATCAATAATATAGTTTACATATAACAAAACATGATTCTATCTATTAAACTGATTAATTATAAAATAATTTAATACTAAACTATGGAAATAATAATATGAAATTTTAATAATAAATGAAAAATAACAATTAAAAACATAATCCATAATGGAAAATGTTAGAGTGCGATCTTATTAGTGAAGAGTTCGAAGAACAACATCGCATCATAGTACCATAATTTCCAAAATTCAAAAAGCCAACATATAATTCAATACAAATAACAACTAATGTCTAATACAGAATTAACGTTTGTTCCCCTGCTAAATTAGATGATACTGTTTCAATCAGTACAAAGAAATCAACTACAAATGTACAATTTTTAATATAATCAAGTAGAGTTAAGCTGGCAGCTGCAATTATATAGTTAACCATTACATTTAATAAATTAAAGATCATTTTAATAAAAATACAAGGTAAACTTAAAGATTATCAATTATAGATAAGAAACAGAAGCCTAGATTATAAGAAATTTAATATCCTAAAAAGCAAAAGCCATCTATATGTTAGATATAAAATGGGCAGCCAACTATACTGCATTTCTATAGAATCAACATTCGACCATTCCCCTTGAAATATCAAATACTAATCTATTTGTTGAAGGTGATAGTCGAAATCCCTATAGATAAAACCTAAAACAAGATTTGGATTTTGTGTTAATGAATCGTAACACCTGGCAATTTTTAATAGCAATTTACGGAGGAGGACCTGAAATTACTTATAACGATTATTTAGGCATCAATAATGAATCTTAAGTCAACTCAAGGGAAGGATCATTATAGAATATAGATATTAGCACTTATAATAGTTAAACATTCTAAAAATAAAAATTTATATTACCAGCAATAGGTTTATATAATGAAAACAATTACTGCTTTCTCCATGCAGCAATACAGAGCTTGATGTCAATAGAATAGTTGACTTGCTGGGTCTCCATTGAAGGAAAAACAAAAAAGCAAGAAGATTATAAATGGATTTTATCATATTATGAGATCATAGATCAAATATAAAATTGCAAAAAGGGTCAACATGTGAAAATTGATACATTGAAGAAACTAATTAAAAATCAATTCGCTCCTAATCTATAACATGATTGTTAAGAATTTTTATGTTATTTAACTGAACAATTAAACAAAGAGCTGAAGTAGAATAAATATGATTAGGCCATTACTGAGATCCTATTTTAAGGCTAAATGATGTAATAAATTTAGTGCAATTAATGTAAATAAACTTCTTCAAAATTTGAATCATTTTTTGAATTGTCTTTATCTATGAATAATATGAAAGGATTAAAATAATGTTTAAGTTAGTTTTTTGCTTAAGAAGTTCTGGATGACGACTATATGTGTAATCAATGTAATCGAACAACTAAAGCAATAAAAAAGTATATGATAGGAACAGCTCCTTAATTTTTAATTATTCATCTCAAAAGATTCTAAGAAAAGAAGTTACATAACTATATAGAATTTCAGAATAATTTAGATATAACTGAGTTTTGCTCTGTCAAAGCACAATACAAATTAAAATCTGTAATTGTACATTATGGAACCTAAGAAAAAGGCCACTATGTGAATTTCTCTTTAAGAGGAAATTAAGTAAAATTTAAGTTTAATTAAAGTGGTATTATTTCGACGACCATAGAGTCTAATTTGCTAGAGAGTAAGATGTTCTAAGATAATAAGCTTACATCCTATTTTTTGAAAGATCAGATGATTAGTTACTATGAATTAATTATTTTCCATATCAATTTTTATAATAATTATTTTATTTAATCGTTTAATCAAACTTTGCTAATGCTAATTTACTCTTCATCAAGGCTTCTTCAATTCTATTTTCTAACAAACTTCTTTAACTTTTATTAAAACTCAAGAGAGATTATTATGAAAAATAACTAGTATCCAATACTTTTTCTTTGTTTAACTGCAACTAACTTTACATATTAGGTTTAGAAGTGCTGTTTAATTAATTTTTAGATCCTTATATACAAGGAGGTTTTCTGTTGGTCTGAATTGGGGATGAATCGGGAGTTTAATATTCTACATAGGATTTTGATTATTATTGTTAGATATTGTTATTATCTTATTGTAGAGATTCCTTATTGGCAAAAAATTGATTATTCTTATAGATTTCTTGACTTTCAGATTTTAAAGTAATGGAACCTATTAAGGATATTTATTTTTGAAATTATTGTATTTTATTCTATTATACATTTGGTTTTTGTTTTTGACTTGATTAATTATATGAGGATTATGATTAATACTCATACTCATCGAATTGATGATTAGTTGGAATCGAATCTAGTTTCTAAATTTTAAGAAGATCTTCATTTTTTTCAAATTTACTTATAGAAAGCATTAAAGATTCTAAAGTGCCTCTTTCCTAGGGATTTATTTAAAGCATTCTAATTAGGAAAGTCTTAAAGTTATCAGTGTATTACAATTCAGAAATTCTTTAATATAGATCTTGCTCATTTAATTTCCATTCAATTTTATTAAAGAGTGTGGAAGGGTCATTTAGTGATGCTGCCCATAAAATTGTTAAGCCAGACTAAAAGATTTAGCATTATTCTGGATTAAGATTATTGAAATTTGATTAATTTTTGAAAAGTGCCAATTCTTCAGGAGATATATGATAATCTTCAGTAATTTGATTCATTAATTATTAGAATGATGTCATATGGTTATCAAAAAGGGAATTGAATTTCAGATTGCCTTAATTTGAAACATATAAATTTCGGATTTCCATAGGATAAATACCATTTCTTTTTAAATAATGTAGCACATCTAGAATTTGATAAGCAAGTGACCAAAGTTAGGGTTCAGTAAAATATTGAGTTTTCTTATATCGATTAGTTATAATTGTTTTTAGATCGTTATTTATGTATTCATACACTATATATAATTTTGTAAACGTAGAACATACTTCCTTGTAATAAATTAATAATTTACTTTGTATGTAGAAGCAGAATAGTAATGAACTTTTAATAAATTAGGATGGTCAAGTTTTTTAAAGGGTTTTGTTGATTAAGTTTGTATTTTTTCAATTACACAAATCAATTCTCCAGTCTCATTTTTTTAATACAATTTAACTTCTCCAAATCGAGGATCTATAATTTCTTGTAAATATTGGTATTAAGAGAAGTTAAATTGATATGTAGAACTGCTTGTTCCCATATTATATTGTTAATTTTTATATGATAAATTTCAAAATGTAATTTATGTTAGAACAATTACATTTGCCAAACACTCTTCATTTTTAGAGAAAGTGTGTCTTTCTCCTTCATAATTTGGATGATCATAGATTGTGAGAGTTGTTCCATAAGGAATCTTCAAAGACTTAATTTCGTATGGGAAATCTCTATAAGACAATAATATTGAATTGAATTACTTCATTTATCCAAGGTCATTGCAAGCTTTCATGGTCTCTCCTTTGTAATAGCATTAACTATATAATTCAATACATTAAGATGTTTATCTAAGTATATTAGAGAACATTACTCTACATTAACGTCGCCTATATTATTTGGATCTTCTGAAGTAACTTCTTATTAGATGTTAACTTATTAGGGACCTGAATTATTTGATTGTATTTGTGATTGATCTTCAACAACTATAATTTTAGGTTGTACTTAGTTTTCTTCTTTTTCTAGTTGATTATCAATAATGATAGTTTGATCTTATTGATTAGTCTGTTCAATTTGGTTTGGTTGAACTTCGTATTCAGGTTATGTGAATTATTGTGTAACTTGATCTTCGTCCATATTAGCAAGATCTGGTACTTCACTTGATTGAGCAATCAATTGTTAAGAGACAGACTCGCTGACTTATAATGTATCATTGTTGTCAATTGAATCATCATAAAAATTATCTTCATTACTAACAGTATCTTAAACATTTTATTGATCTGAAATTTCCTGTTGGATTTCATCATTAACATTCATAGTGTCTGATGCATAGTTTTCACTTTAATCAGGAATGTTTTATTAAGTGTCAATGACTTGATGATTTTCATCAATAATATTATTATTATCTACTTAGCCTATTAATTTCAAATCCTCCACTATGTTTTAACTAGCATCCTCAATGATTTCATTATTATTCTAATCATCTTCGAACTTTCATTATTATCAATCAAATACATAAGCACTATTTAATGGGGTTTCATCATCTAACGACTATGATGACTCTGATTTCTCAGACGACTCTAATTAATTAATCATCAAATCACTATCTTATGCTGCCAAAATCTGAACATCTTTATTTTGACTCTTCTACTCGATAACCTATAAATTCTCAGATGTATATTAAACTTCATTCTCTTAACTACTATTCACTTAATCAAATACCCATCTAGTTACAAAAATTTCTTATGTACTGGAATACCTTAACAAAATACTAAACAAATGAGTAAAACAACCGCGATTCTCATTTATATTAAAACGGATTTAAATAAATATTGATATTATATAAAACCTTAACTTATGATATATACATGTTCTTCTTGGTATAAATTTATAATGATTTCCTGAATCCTATTTTTATTCTTATAAATTAAATTTACAAATAATTTGCACAATTTTAATTAGAGTAGTAGTTAATATCAAAATTCAACCAAGTACAATTAAAAAGAAATTATAAGAAATAATATCAGAAAGCAATAGTAAACTATAAATTATTAGATTTGCTTTGTTTATAAAAATAATAATTTTATATCATAATCTTTATAAATTAGAGATTGAATCTTTGACAGCTTCTATTTCCTGATCATTTAGCCATTGTTATCTTTACCCATCTTACCATACTCCAATTTTATAATGTCTCTCATCCTAATAATATATTCCTAAACCATTCTATTTGCCATCATTCCAAGTCCCAATATATTTTCTACCATCCCCAAAATAAAATATTCCATTACCTTACTTTTTGTCATTTTCATAACTCTAGAATAGATAATTATGGTTAGCATTACTCCTTTGAAACACCTTCCATCTGGCCATCTTAGAGTTCCTTCTCCATGCATTTTATTATCTTGCCATTATCCTGTATAAATTCGTCCATCTTCCCATTTATAAATTCCATATCCTGAAATTTCATTATCTACAAAATTTCCTAAAATATCATACAAATAAATTCACCTTCATAATTAGCACCATCAGTAAATGTTAGGATACCTTTTCCATTTTTTTTCCCAAATTTATATTCTCCTTGATATCTAGCCCCATCTGGCCATGCTTCAAATCCATTGCCATGTTGATTATCATTAAGCCAATCACCTTCATATTTAGCTCCATTTATGTGAATATAGATTCCTTTTCCACATGCTGTATCATCTATCCATTCACCATCATAGAGATCACCATCAAAATGTATCAATCTACCCTATAGTAATTTCTTGATTGGATACATGCCCATTAGATTTATCTTGTTTCCATTCCCCTTCATATATTGATCCATCTGGCCATATCTATTTTCCAAATCCATCCCTCATTCCATTCAACCATTACCCTTCGTATTTCGTGCCATTAGGCAATTACAATAACTCGTTTAGAATATTCAGCTTACAGGTAGAGTTTTTCTCTCTGATGATTGCATAGAATCTATCACTTAATCTGGCATTCTAGCTTAAGTTTGTATCAAATTTTTGGATAATTCTTAAATTGAAATCTTGCTAGTGATTGAATTTTTGAGTATTCCAGATTCTAAATCTTTTTGATTGGGAGGCTCAATTTTATCGAAAGTCTTGTCCTAATAGTTTTTATTCTATTTGATAGATATTTGTATCGAATGAGATGAGATCTTTAAAGAAGTGATTTCTTCTTTCTGATAACAAGCCGTTGTACATTTGCATTAACCCATTAATTTGAAGTTATTAATATATTTATGATAATCATCTATTTCTGGCATCAATTATTTTATTTCCTTTTCTTCTTATTTGTTTTTTTATTGCCCTCTTCTTTTTCTTGCTTAAGCAATCCAGCACAACAATTTATTGTTAACACAGCACTTGTAATTCACAAGTATAGGACATTTGTTGGATGATCTAATTTTATGGAATTTAATATCTATTCATCCAAAGAGGTTAGGCATAGATAGAAGTCTAATAGATTGCTAAATTATTGAATGTTTTAGGAACATTGCTCATAATTCTACATATTTATGTAGACAATCTTGACATTGTTTATATATTAATAATATTAAATAAAGAATGAAGAGCAGTATAATGTTTGGAGGTATTTCTTTTAATTGTGGTGATCGTTACAAATTGATAAAATTAGTTGGAACAGGTGCCTATGGTTCAGTAGTCCTGGCATATGACTTGCAAAACAAAAATCATAAAGTTTGACTTATATTGTTATATTAAATTAGGTAGCAATAAAAAAATTAAATTTAATAGAAGATGCTATTGATGCAAAGAGAATCTTAAGAGAAATCAAAATCTAAAGATCAATGAATCATCATAATATTCTCAAAATTTATGATATAATATATGATTAGAAATCTGAATTCTTTGGAGACATTTATATTGTGAGCCCATACTTTCCAGCAGATTTACATAAAATAATAAAAAGCAATTAAGATTTATCAGTGGAGCATGTTTAATTCATAATGTATCAATTGTGCAAAGGACTTTACTATTTACATTCATCAGGTTCTATTCATCGAGACATAAAACCTGGGAATATACTGGCAAATGAGAATTGTGAAGTTTGTTATTGTGATTTTGGATTTGCTCGAAAAAAGGATGAAATACAAGATCAAATAGAAGAAAATATGACTGAATATGTTGTAACTCGACATTATAGGGCTCCTGAAATCATGTTATCCAGTTAACAATACTCTCAACCAGTTGACATATGGTCATTGGGATGTACATTTGCAGAATTAATGACAAGAAAGATACTATTCAATGCTCCCAATTATATTTAAATGATAAAGATGTTTTTCGATATTTTAGGGCGACCCTCAGATGAAGAACTAAATTAATTAGTAACTAATGAGAATGCATTGTCTTTCATAGAGACTCTGCCTCGTAAACCAAAACAACCAGCCTCAAAGAGTGTGCCTTTTCCTGATGCCAAAGCAAGAGATTTATTGGATTAGATGTTAGAAATGAATCCAAAGAATAGAATTACTGCATAAAAAGTTTACATTATCTTACATAAGTGTTTAGAACATCCCTTCTTTGAGTCTATTAGAAATTAAGTCGAAGAGATAACATTCACAGGCAATCTTGAGTGCGATTTTGAGAATGATGACACCATCACATTAGAAACCTTGAAGCATCTGATCTTGGTTGAGATCAATCACATTAAAGCCAAAAATAAGGAAGAATTGATTGATATCGAAGAAGAAATGAAAAGAATAGGAATCATTTAATAATAACATTAATGATATATAAATAAATAATAATATAATTAATGATGAAACTAATCGAAATAGTTGTATAGTTTGAATAATCTTAATAGGAAGAAATCAATTAAAATATTGTACACCTCATATCTTAAAGGTACTCTCTAATGTATTTGATTCAATAGTTGGATGAAAAAATTTAGAGAATCTGTCAAATTGGATGGCAAAGAAAATCTCCCCATGAAACCAATAAATCATGATATTGTTGATGAAACAAAAGCTAACATACTTTAGTATTGCTCATAAAATTAACTAGATATTAAAATGAAGTATACAACTCCTTTTTAAAAGATAATCTAAGATATAATGTCGATTACATTTACGTAAACGAATAAATATGGTCATAATTGAATGTAATCTTGTTATTATAATATAAGACACTTTATGGAGGTTACTGCATCAAAAGATAAATTATAAATTAAAATTAAATTAACGAAATGATACATTTTCACCTTATTCCAGTTCATCAATCCCAAAATTACTACATAGAAGGAATTTAATAATTTGATTACTCTTGGAATCTTTAATAGGTAATATAGCATCTAGAAACTGCATTATAAAATTAATTATCATTCTAAATCCCAAAAAGAAATTTCATAAAATTGTACACTCTCAAGAATAAGAAATAAGTTAGTTTTGTTTAAATTGTTTAAGAACTCAAAGCGAAAACACTTGAAGTGGAAAAAATAGAAGACATAATTTAAATGCGTGATCAAAAATATATCATCATGGATATTAAATTGTTTAATAAGGAATTCTTCTTCTAGTCCGATTAATAAATGAATGATGCTAAAAGTGAAGAATTTATAAATTAAGAATATATTGAAAGTTGCAGAAAAGGATTGTCTGTATTCGAGGATCAATAAACATTATTAAGTTGCATGCTTAAATGTTATGAAAACATCGATGTTATCAGAAATGAAATTCTATACAATTAGAACTAGAAATATAAGAATTTAAAAGAAATACTAACAGAATCATATTATGGATTCACTGAATATGTATATTATTAATTACTGGATTATGAGTTCTTTTAAGAGAAATAAGTTATGATCACAAAATCTAGATATGATGCAGTGTACATTTACAATAATGAAAACAGAATCATCGTAAATAACCAGAAGAATATAAGATAATTGGTTGAATCTCTATTGGGCCATCCTTAATTGCAATGTGACTTTAATTCAGTTTTGTTTGAGAGCAGCAATGAATATTATACTGAAGATATAGACTTTACAAAGCCCGCATATGGTTTAAAGGAGGGTTATAAGTATTAATTGAGAAAGTTGATGTGGCAAGAGCATAATATTAACAATGAAGATAGAATAGAAATCAGAGTTCATCAATGCACATATGAAAACATTGGCTATCAACAATATAAACCGTTTGCCCCCATATTAAAATGTTATATAAGTTAATGGCATAAGTTCTAAGATTTGCATCTACTAATAGCTAACTTATTCGAAGAAATAAATTATGAGAATTACAAAGAATCTAGATTGAATAAGAAATATAAACTATATTTCTAAACAGACTAATAGGGTCAAAAGAAATGTACTTATTGTTAGCAAAAGCTATGTAATAATTGTTAAGTTCCATTTAATGAGAAAGCTTTGAATTTGGGTAGAAGAGTGATTAACATCTATGTAATATATGAAGAAATACAACCTATCATTCCGCGTTATTAACCATAAATATTTGATAATTATTTTCTTAGAGACTATTTTGAAGTGGATTGGGCTCAAGATAAGATCATAATTTTGAACATCAATTAAGATCAAATAAAACCATATAATCTGAAATATTATTTTGATTCACGTATGCACTAATTAAATATTTCAGATCTTTATTAGTTAAAAGGGATCATAGAGAAAGTAACATAAAATGAATATTAATGTTATTGTCAGAAACAGTAGCAATGGTATCAATTCACACAGAATAAGTTCTAGATAGTCGATCATCTGAATGATGATTTGAATGTAGTTAAATTGTTTTATATAAGAAAATGATATGATTAATTTTATAATATTTATTTAGAAATAATGTAAACAACAATTAGAAATAGATAGCAATTTGGACAATCATTCAAAATGAACGCCTAGATCCCAAAAATAGATAAGACTCCAGTCAAAAGAAGGAGTTGTGAATGTTAAGAATGTGGTTTAGTGAACAAAAAAATGAAATATATTGGATATATTATCTAATAGTTTTAACCCTATTTCAACGTCGCTCATAAATTGTTTGAAAATGAAAGGAAGAATGATGAAAAGTAAACTAAAATCCAACAACAGAAATAGTTGAGATTGAGAAATAAAAGACATAATCATAATAAAGATATGCTCAAAAGAGCAGTCAATGTTATTACATTTTAAGAGTCTTTTGCAAATAATAGAAAAAAAAATGTAGAACTACCTCCTATCAATATGTGTTCTTTAAAAGAAATTAAAAATAATTAATCCAGTAATTTGCTATAAATTGTACCTCAAAGAAAAATGTGGGATAAACGATAAACAACAATAAAGTTTCAATACTAATCAAACACTACTCACAATCAGAAATGCTAATTGCCTGCTACTCCATTAGATTCTCATCTCGTTTGTAAAATTAACAAAGTCATCTACTAATCATTTAATTTAAGACATCAGTAAGGAACTCTTGATGATTTTCAGTTTAAACTAAGAATCAATATATTTGATGAAAAGACAGATCCTTAGCCAATTAAGCATCAAATCCTTATTCCACCTATTAGACAAGAAGAAGACTACGATGAAGAAGAGTCTATGATAGAATCTGTTCAATAGATGCCTATAAAACAAAAGCCTAATAGAGAAGAATAATATAAGCAAATCTTGAAATATAATAAAAGAAGTTTTGCTAATTTAGTTGAATAGGCCTAACTTACTGAAAGGAAAGCTATTCAAAATTTAATTAAAACTAGTATAGATATACATTTTAAATAGATAATAGTCATAAAATATTACCATTAATGCTTGATTAATAACCTTTACCCATCTATATGATCCATAGTAACTATTTGGATGCTCAAAAGACATTCAGGAGTATTAGACATATTAAACTAGATAAATTATAGCCACCAACTGTAAAGTAATAAAATTGCTAAATTTTAGATCATAAAGTCAGCATGTTCAGATAATAAATAAACACAAAAAGAACCTAACAGCTGGGTCTGTATTGTTAAGATTATGAATCACTTTTTAATTGTTTCGTAAATAGTTGATTATATAAATTAATAATATCTTGATATTTTGTTTAATCAAAAAGGAATAGAATTATTGTAATAATTTGAAAAGTTAATAATAAATTCATTAATCAAAAACATTAATTGCAGAACGAGAAAATTTCATTTTTTCATCTTTAAATTTAGCGTCAAATCCTGATAAATTTAAGTATTTTTATTCTAGAGTTGGATGGTTGCTCATATTTTCTTCAATATCTTCAAAATCAACGGTTTCACTATGTAAATTAAAATCCATATGAGGTTGACTTGCAGCAATTTTAATTGGCGCTTATGATGATTATTTTAATTACACAGCATCCTGAAAAGATGGCACATATTTAACAACATTGGAAGATGAAGATCCTTAAATTAAATAAACAAGAAAATACCAAGATTTGATATATTGGATTGCTTTTTAGTATTAGATCTTTAAGCACCATCATTTCCAGGAACAGCTAAGAACGAACCCTAAACTTTGACTTCCAAAACAGACTCTTTATTTTGTTATTTATCTGACCATTCAAATTGATTATCGTATGTATTAGGATTACTACATTGCTTCATTAATGCCTTAAGCATATCGTAATCAGGTTGATCTTCAAATCCTAAGTTTTTTAAATATCTAATTAATTAATAAGATTAGTATACTTAAGATAGTCTACAAATTGAATTGGTAATTCTTTGCATAAGGTCTCAATGGTTGTACTCATTTTAACTTCTCCAACTGCAACAGTTCTATCTTTATCACCAATATTTTATAAATTCTACCATGGTAACTTACTTAAAATTATAATAAAAAGTTACCCTAAAATTAAGTAGATAATGACATACATCATAGATTCCAAATCGTCTTTTCTACTAATTTCAAATCCTTTATGAGCAGCTATTGAAGCATATCTGGTAGTTCCAATAAATGATTTTCTATCTTTAAACGGGCTCTTATTATATCATAAACTTACATATGTTTCCCCTTGTCTAGAATTAATTTTGAAACACCAAAATCAACTAAATAAGCAATAGACGTATTTTATTTGCCCATCATTATGTTTTCTGGTTTTAAATCTCTATGCACTATTCCTCTTGAATGCACTGATTTAAAGGTTGTCAATAATTAATCCAATAATTGCAATCCCGTTTTTAGAGACAATTATTTATATGTTCGACTATAATATCCTAGGTCTTTTCCCAATAATTCAACAACCATTACATTATAATTTTATTCTGCTCCAAACCAATAAAGTTTGGTTATTCCTTGTATTCCTTATAATTTCGTCAGTAAATAAACTTCTCTATCCAAAGTTTCATGTTCTCCTTTTTCTAATTTGACTGCTACTTCTTCTCTTGTTATTTTATGAATTGCTAAATATACAACCCCGAAAGATCCTGAACTAAGTTGATTCTTTATAATATATTTGTTATCGAAAATTTTAGGTTCTAGATAAGTGCTGGGTAATTTTTTCATATTTAATAATTATATTCAAGAATCAAATAAACAAGAATATGATTTTCTGATCATTTAATTCAAATTAGAAATGCTCGGTATATTTGCAATAATAATTATGCACACTTTGTAAGTTGCTCAAAACATATACAATACCCTCCATATTTTGTGATTTTTTCTTATTTTTTATAAATATTTATATTTTTATATTACCTCCAACTGTTTATGCTTATATAATACAGATTCACTATTTTGCTCTTGATTCTGTCTTTATTAGATAAGTTTATTAAATATGATCGTGATCATATTCTAATTATAAATATATATTAATTTCAACTTCAATTCCTTTCTACTTTTATTTTGTAAGTTTATTTTATTTAATGCCCTTTTGTAAATCTTCACCTTTCAATCAAGTAATATCCTATTAAAATAAATAAAAATTTAATTCATTTTTATAATAAGTATTTTTTATATATGCATCCTAAAAATGATATTAGTGAAATTGGCACTTAAGTCTTTGCGCAATATAAAAAAATGTATGAAGATATCTGTTAAAGGTTAAAATCAGAAAAAGTAGCTTTTTTTAATGAACTTCAAATATGGAAGGGTAAATACAACACTCTCTAAAAAACATTTGAATCTCTGAATTAATCAAAAGAAAAATCAGATGTAAAGATTAAATAAGATTTAAATGATCCTAAAACTTTGAATTAAATACCAAAAATATCTGGGCATCAATCATTAAACTTATAACCAAATGCAAAACAACAATATTTTTAGATATAAATTCAATAACTTAATGAGCCTATAGTCAAATAAAAAATGATTTAAGATTTAAATGATAATAATGAAAACCATTCGATTGATAATAAAAACCTACAAATTGAAAATATAAAATATTCTGATTAACTAAGTTAACTTAGACAAACATCTCAACATAAAATAAGTATTAATAAATGCTTCAATATGAATATAAGATATAGGAGTTTAGTTAAAACATTGATGAGATGAAAAAGGAGAAAAATAACTAGAGAAATTAACTAAAGAAAACTAAGTTTTAAATTAAACTAATGATGAATTAAGAAAGAGTATTCAAGATTATGAAAAGGGACAACAATAAAAAAAGTAGTATAAATTGAAATTAAGTGAATTAGGATTAAAAAACAGTCAGCTGTAGAAGTTAGTCAAAGATTTAGAAAAATAAGAATAGCAACAATAGGATATATCTTAATAAACTGCTAAATAAATAGAAGATAAAAAAAAAGAAACGAATCACTCTAAATAAAGATTTAGGAATACTAAATAGAACTATCAAATCTAAATCAACTCTAAATGGCTATGATGAATAATAAAATATTAAGAGAATGAATAATTACGTTATAAAATTGAAGAAGTCCAAAAATAAAATAAAATTTTGATTAGAAAATCGAAATGCTAAGTGATGACACTAAATTATCATTTAGTTAATTACAAGATTAAGTGATTTCATATCAACAAATTGTCACTGATAAGAATGAAGAAATTAATTACTTAATATTAGAAGTAACAAAATGAAGATTATAAGGAAAAGATAAGGTAGCTTCATACTTAATATGAAAAGTAAGAGTCAGAATCAAAGATGAAATTAGAATGGATGGAAAATAAAAATGCAGAACTTGAAAAACTATCAATGAATATGAAAAGAAAATATCAAATTTAGTAGAATAACTATCTCAATAAAACCAAAGCGATACAGGAGGAAGCAATAATCAATAGATTACTCACTCTTAGGCACATCAAATTAAAAATGAAGTCATAGATAGCATAAAATAGATGAATGAAGTAAATTATTGAAGAAGATCATAGTTTTTAACATCAATTATACGGGAATTTGCTTTCAGCCTCACTTAAGTTTAATGAATAGAAAGACTTACTTTAAAGTGGATTAAAGGAAACCATAAAGGAGATTGTATATTATATTGTTATGTGTAGATTATTACAATAAATATGAATAATTTTTAGATTTGGCTTAAAAAAAGGATTAAACAATTGAGGAATAAGATAAAATATTAACAGAAAAAAAATAAGAGATATCAAAACTTTAAGCTCAATTGTCATAATGAANGTCAAATAAAAAATGATTTAAGATTTAAATGATAATAATGAAAACCATTCGATTGATAATAAAAACCTACAAATTGAAAATATAAAATATTCTGATTAACTAAGTTAACTTAGACAAACATCTCAACATAAAATAAGTATTAATAAATGCTTCAATATGAATATAAGATATAGGAGTTTAGTTAAAACATTGATGAGATGAAAAAGGAGAAAAATAACTAGAGAAATTAACTAAAGAAAACTAAGTTTTAAATTAAACTAATGATGAATTAAGAAAGAGTATTCAAGATTATGAAAAGGGACAACAATAAAAAAAGTAGTATAAATTGAAATTAAGTGAATTAGGATTAAAAAACAGTCAGCTGTAGAAGTTAGTCAAAGATTTAGAAAAATAAGAATAGCAACAATAGGATATATCTTAATAAACTGCTAAATAAATAGAAGATAAAAAAAAAGAAACGAATCACTCTAAATAAAGATTTAGGAATACTAAATAGAACTATCAAATCTAAATCAACTCTAAATGGCTATGATGAATAATAAAATATTAAGAGAATGAATAATTACGTTATAAAATTGAAGAAGTCCAAAAATAAAATAAAATTTTGATTAGAAAATCGAAATGCTAAGTGATGACACTAAATTATCATTTAGTTAATTACAAGATTAAGTGATTTCATATCAACAAATTGTCACTGATAAGAATGAAGAAATTAATTACTTAATATTAGAAGTAACAAAATGAAGATTATAAGGAAAAGATAAGGTAGCTTCATACTTAATATGAAAAGTAAGAGTCAGAATCAAAGATGAAATTAGAATGGATGGAAAATAAAAATGCAGAACTTGAAAAACTATCAATGAATATGAAAAGAAAATATCAAATTTAGTAGAATAACTATCTCAATAAAACCAAAGCGATACAGGAGGAAGCAATAATCAATAGATTACTCACTCTTAGGCACATCAAATTAAAAATGAAGTCATAGATAGCATAAAATAGATGAATGAAGTAAATTATTGAAGAAGATCATAGTTTTTAACATCAATTATACGGGAATTTGCTTTCAGCCTCACTTAAGTTTAATGAATAGAAAGACTTACTTTAAAGTGGATTAAAGGAAACCATAAAGGAGATTGTATATTATATTGTTATGTGTAGATTATTACAATAAATATGAATAATTTTTAGATTTGGCTTAAAAAAAGGATTAAACAATTGAGGAATAAGATAAAATATTAACAGAAAAAAAATAAGAGATATCAAAACTTTAAGCTCAATTGTCATAATGAATAAAACTAACAAAGATTTAAATGAGACGAAGGCTTTTTACGAGTAAAAGATTCTAGAATAGGATACTATAAATTAAAATATATAATTCCAACTAAAATAAGCATCAGATTAAGAGTTTTATGAAAAAATGAATTAAATATTGTAGGAGAACGAGGAACTAAGATAGTTGAGAAGCGAAAATTAAGAAGAATTGACTTAAAAGGATTTAATGATAGAGGAATTAAAAATGTAAATGTTATCATAATCATGAGTAACAGGAAGTTCAGGTATTAAAATATATGTACGTTTGTATAGACTTATAAGAAAGAAAAAGAAGACAAGAATTGTTGGATAAAGTAAAGAAGATAATCTGAGAAGTAAGGATCCTCAAATGATTAATTGATAAATAAAATAGAGAAATAGATAGCAGATGCAAATGAAAAATAATCTCCAGATTTAGATTAAACTTAAGATTAATCTAAATCTTCAAAACCTAAAAGCGCTGAAAGTTTAGATTTTTAAGAGTGACTTTTTTGATATTTTGTAAAATAAATGTATGATCATGCCTTCTTAGGTTTGAATGTAATTGCTGCTAATTTTAATACTCCAAATAAAATGGCTGCTTTGAACACTTCTTTCAATTGCTTGCTTCTGAATTCTCTAGTTGCTTACTATTTCTCTTATTAAGGTTGAAGGAAAAACATGATAGTTGTAAATTTTAATTTTATTTATGATAAGTAATTAATATGATGAGTTATTAATAATGGATTCGAGATGAGAGAGTAATATTTAAATATTGTATATAACCTAATTAAACAAGATAGAAAAAACTTTTAGTTTGAATATAATAAAAATGCTGCTTGTTCTGTTAATTATCACTAAGAAAATGATATTGACATAGCTCTTCATAAACATTCTAGCAATATTAATTTGATAATCTAACACTCTAATTAAAAAACATATTTGACATCGCCATTTTGACTTAGGACATTTATCATAACAAAGGAGGATTCTATAGTATAATTTCATTCTTGAAAGCGAAGCAATTGATGTTTAATTAAAAAAAAAATAACAAAATTCTAATTTATTCATTTTTATACTTTTATCATATTATTTTCTTTGGAATAAGAAGATTGTTCTATTGTATAAATTTACATTTAGGAGATGCTACTAAATTTATGGTACTATTTCTTGTAGTTACTCTTTGAGTGTTTAGAGATGGAATTGATCCTCTGTCATGAATCTCTGCTTTGCTTTTGAATGTAGTTGACTCTTAGGCAGAATCATTATTAATTCTATTTAATCCTAAGAAAAACGAAGATTCAGTTTTTCTAAATGAATTCTGCTTTACTATAGGTACCTTATTTATTTTAACAGGACTTAGAGAAGTCTATGTGGATTCTGATAACGCAGGAAGAAGAACCTTGTTGGGTTGAACAACTTTAAGATTTTTTTTTGGAGATTCTGGATCAATTGGAATGATAATTTGCTCATTATCTATGCTTAGTTGTTAATTAAGTTTCAACAACTTTAATTCTTGATTAGATTCATTTGTTTGGTTAAGAATTGCATTTAAGCGATAATGCTTTTCTTTTTGAGGGATACTGTTGAGAGTTCTATAAGATTTGAATATTTTATTAGGTCTAGTTATTGATAATTTATTTAAGAATTATTAATTTCTGGGACTTATAGTATCTAGATTTTGTTGATCATAGTTATCTTCATCAGATTCAGCAATTGAAATCTAAAATTCTGTTAGATCTTTTCTGGATTATATAGGAGATTGCTTGATTGATCTTTGCTGTAATTGAATTATAAACAAAATTGATTATAATTATAAAAAAATCTATAATGATTTTAAAAAGTACTTTTTTCTTTAGTTCTTGACATATTCCGAATTGTTTAACACTCATAGGAATGGGATCATTAAATTTTCGAGTAATCCATGGGTGAACTAATGCTTGAGATGCTGTATATCGAGAATCTTGATCAAATTATAGCAATCTATATAAAAGATCTCTTGCAAGGGGAGATGCATGCAATGGTTGTTCGTATTTCAAGTCAGGGAAACTATTAATAAATTCTTTTTTTGTAAAAATTCTAGGATAAAAAGGATGCTTTCCTTGATTTAGAAGCATATAAAGTACGATACCACAAGACCACATGTCAACAGCTTTGTTATATGCTTTGTTTAAAATTTGTTCGGGTGCCATATATATAAAGGTTCCACATTATTATGACACAGTCTAGTAGTAACGAATTTCAGGTTTGTATTAATAACTTAAACCAAAGTCAGCGATCTTGATACTTGAAAGATCTTCTGTATTTTTAATTAAGATATTATCTATTTTAGTTATACAAAAGTACCAGGCTTAATATCACGATGTATTATCTACTTAGAATGAAGATATTGGATTCCTGTAAAAATAGAATGCATGATCTAACTGATTGTTGACTCATCTAAGCTTTGTTTCATAAATTCATTTAAAGAACCTCCTGCTGCATATTCCATCACCAAATACTGGCAATTCCCATGTTTGAAATACTATAACTATATTAAAATGAGAAAACCTAATATAATTTGATAATGTTTTTGTGTTTGAGACTTTCCATAATTGATGTTTCTTAAATTTATGCACCTTGCATGAACTAAACAATTTAACTAATCATACCTTGATTGCCACTTCCTCATCTTTGTATAATCCCTTATACACTTAACCAAAGGCTCCTTCCCCTAACTTTTCAATGATTCTGATGTCCTTTTCATGGAAAAAATCATGTCTCATATTTTTAATTATTATTTAATTGATCAATCTCAACTCCTCAATTCTTATTATATGATTCATTACATTACAACTTATATTCGAATTCAAAAAATAATATAGCAAATATACAAGATTCATCAAAATTCAATTCCAAATTAAGAAAAAACCAATTAGGGATAATTTAATTTAACAATTATTACGTAATGAAAAACATACTCAGCAGTTTCTCACCCTTCATAAGCAGGAATTCTAATTTTCAAGCTGAGAACATTGAGTTTAAGAAGAATCTTTTTCATTTTGAACCTTTTGATATTAATCCTTAGCTGATAAAGTAGAAAAGAATCAAAGTAGAAAGAACATTATCTCCAAATTCTAATTACAATCCACATGCTTTAATCTTATCTAAAATTAATTTCCAAAAACAAGCCTTGAAAAAAGTCAAACTTAAATCAACTGTGGATTACAGAGCATTGCAAGAATTAGATTTTAATGCGTAGCTCTAATTTTTATAACCAACATCCTTTATTCGTGATTCTACCAATTCAAGTAATAAGAAGGAGATTAATTAATCGAGAAGATAGAAATACAAAGATAAAGTCTAATTTTTCAATTCAAAAGTTGAAACTGATAGAAAAATTCAGTCAAAATTTCGCTTGTGTTTACCAAAACTTCATAAGAGTATTGATATCAATTAATCAAGAAGCTCTCTCAATAGTTGGACTATGAATAGCACTTTCGGTCTATTCTAAGTTAATAGTTGATTAAATTAATTTATATCAAAGTAACAAATTGAAAAATTTCTATTATTAATAAGATAAATATGAAATTATATACTAAATTGATTAGATCTGAATAATTCATGGTTATCAAAATAATCCTAATCTCTATTTGTGTCTTTAAACCTTTTTAGTTTGCAACACTGAACGATTCTATATTAATCAACATAATCCAGTACTTTAATCCATGGATGATTCAATGCTTCGTCCAAAGATATTCTTTCATCAGGATCTATAATTAATAATTTTGTTATCAAATCCTTTGCATCAGCTGATATCTGTTACCAAAAACTATCGTTTAAATCATAATTGCCATCTAAGATATTCTTTATAATATCTTCAGGGAATGAAGCATCAAAAGGTAAGAATCCTTAAATACATTATATTATCATACCGGAAAGTAAGAAATAAAGAATAACGCCTAAAGCAAAATTATCAACTTTGAAATCAATTCTTTTTTAGGATAAAGTTTCTGGAGCTAAATAGTTTGTTGTGCCACATAAAGCTTCACCTTCTTTATTCTAAATATTAGTTAAAAAATTAGCAAATCCAAAATCGATAATCTTAACCTATTTCACAGTTTTTGTGATTTAGTCAAGGACGATCATAATATTTTCAGGTTTTAAATCTCTATGGACTATTCCAACACTATGAACATAATTAATTGTATCAAATAACTAACCCATAATCAAAGAAGCCTCCTACTCATTCAAATTTTCATTATTTGTAATATAATCAAACAGATCTCCATCTCTAACAACTTCAGTAATAATATTTAAATGAGTCTTAGTTTCTATTATCTCAACAAATCTGATGATACATGAATGATTCAATAATTTCATAATCTCTACTTCATGTCTAAATAAAATTGGAAACATACGCTAACATCAGCTTTTCTTATTTTGATAATTTGAACTTTTCTATTATCTTCATAGCTAATTATTATTTTGTTTTTTTGTCTTCACAAAGATACACAATCGAAAATTTGCCTTCCCCTATCTTTTATAATATAGAATAATAATCATTCACTGAAGCCCTATTCTAGTAAATTTAATACTTTTAAAACATTTATAAGCTGTTTGTCCATTTTTTAAAATCTTCGAAGTCTTTACAGTAGTACAATCTTTAAGGATAGACTTTATCTTTATGTGAAATTTCAAATCCATATACTTACTCCTGACTATTTACAATTTCTTGGATTGTCAAACCATCTAAACAAAATATTTCTATAATTAAATTTATTCTAAAATTCTTACTTGAAGGAATCAATTAATCAAGCTTTTTGTAAGATAGACAAAATCTCTATATAAGCTTAAAATATCGATCTTTCATAATCTTTGGGTTTTTTCGACTCACTTTTTTTAATTAACCCTCTAGATCCTTTTGAACTGTCTCAAAAAGAGGTACTAAAGTACTGCTATTTACTCCCCAAATATCATAATTAAATGCCTTATAAAGCCCATCAAATATCTTTGGGTGTAATTTAACAAACTATTTAAATTCTTCAATTGATAATCTAGATAATTAAGTTATTTTACTCCTCTTCGTGCTTTCCTTTATTTTTGTAAATCATATCTACATATTTGCGCACTAAATAATTTATATTTACTCTTTTCAACTCTACTAATTTCCCATTTATTTGAAATGAAATATTCTAACCAAATTATCCCATTGGAACTCCATTTGGTCCAACTAAACTTTCATTTGGGAACATCATAACTACACTTTGTTCGTTAAAATTAGGAAGACTAGATTAAATTGACTAGCACTCGACTGATTGTTGTTTAGAAAGTGATTTGATCTCTTAACTTTATTATGACCCTCTTCGCTATAATGCATGAACTAATATTAAGCTTTCTAATTACTTGACTCAGTGAATTCTTACTCATCGGCTCTTAATGGTTAGGCTTTTTTTTAATTTATTTTCTCTTTTTCTCATAATACTTTAGAATCTTAAGATCTTCTAAAAACATTGGATCATCTAATAACCTTATTAAATCCTCTCTTGGATAATTTTAGAGCTTGATATAAAAACCCAATTACCATTTACAGGAACTCAGCCTTTTTTATAATTCCAATATTTTCCAAATCATACAATTTAAAAAGATGATCAATTTTCTACTCTTCATCACATTTTATAAAATAAGCCACTCCTCTTACAAACTATTCAAAATTTATGAGATTTTCATTTTCATCATCTTTATTAAAATAATCAAAAACTAGATCACCCCATAACCCAATCATTGTAAAAAAGTCTGTAAATGCTGTTTTATTAACTAAATTTTCTACATTTCGAGAATTTAGATCACTATAAATTAAGAACAATAAATCAATCTCTTTTGGAAGAACTTAAAATATTCAATAAATTTTACATTTTTCCTCTAACTATCTCGGTATACGATATAAATTTACTTTTTTGGGCTTACTTCCACATGTACCCATTGCAATTATCAGTAATGAAATATAAATATTTTATATTTAAATGAATCATCTAGTAAGTTTTACAATACTATTCATTTAATAATTTTATTTCAATATATAAACCACCCGAACAAAGCAGTAAAAATCAAATGTTAATATTCTTAATCTATTTGAACCATAATATTTAAAGTTATTAATCATAATAAGAATAAGAATATAGATACTTATCTAAGTTTAACTAATAATGTTCAATAACGAGTCTTATAAAGTAATAAATGTATTATTTTATATGATTTTTCATTATTTAAATTATTTGAGGGTATTTTTTACAGATTTTGGACTAACGGTTTTTAAAATATTTTCAAAGAGAATATATCAGCCTAAACTATCAGATTCCTTTAAGTTCTTATGCTAAATCTAGATAAAATTTCCAAAAAGGCTGGAATTTTGTTTAAATAAATTTTTAAGATACAATTAGAGGAAAAAATACCTAATATTCATTATTACAGGATATTTTTTATGAAAACATTTGAATAATTTCATTACTTTTTGATTTTTGAATTTTAAACCTACATAAGAAAATAGATCGAACTATGATAAACATTATCAATCATAACAATAAAGCTAAATTTAATGAATATTACCACATTAAATAAATCTAAGATTGAATCTTTATTAAAAAATAAATTAAAGTATAATTATTATTACTATCTTCACTATTGAATTAGAAATATATGCGTTGTGCAATCAAGTTAGGCTTTGGAGAAATTTGAATGACCATATATTATTTAGATTAATATTTTTTTTATCATTTACAATTATTTTCAAGTTTTTGAATGGAGTAATTTATTTAGCATTTCAAAATCGTTTTCTAATTTGCATTCAAACTGATTAATTTACATTTATTTATTAATTCAGAAAATATAATTATTTTAAAACAAATTTTATAATAAATAAATGCTTTGCTGCAATAAAAGAAAGAAGAAATAAGATGATGGAATATAAGTACTAAGGAGGACCAAATTAGAAATAGTAATTAATTTTTTATATTATGATAGTAATAAACTTAAGAAATTAATGATGAAGCTATGACATTGTATTAAACTTAAAATTTCTTTAATAACTCGAATATATTTCACAATACAAATGATCTCTCAAGTTAAAGGTAATAAGATATTTATTTTAGATTCAGAACAGGCTCCAATATTAAAGAAAGTCGATCTGTTGATAAATTAATATAGAATCTTCCAAGTCTTAGTCCACGATAGACTTCATTTAAAAGTTTTAAATATTGCCATACAAGTCCTGATACCAAATTCATTTCTCAGAAGCAAGGGTTTACCTTATTAATAACAAAATCCCCTAAGAAGTGAATTACTTTAAGTTAAAGAACCTTTTTTGATATCATGTTTAATTCTTATATATATCAAATAATTAACCAGTTTTTACATCTATTTTCAATGGAATGATAAGTTCCGAAGATCTAATTCTATCTATAAAATTTTAGATCATTATTCAACTGAAACTATATATGAAAATTATGTTTTTTTGTATTTCATTCATCTAATTTCTCTTAAAGAGAGAGCGAGATGTTAAATTTAATTAATAATTAATAATCATTCTTGGGATTATTTCCTTTTAAATTGATTTCTAAATAAAAATAATACCTTCCATTAAGCTCTTAAGGGATACGTTAAATCTGTAATTATTTTTTGAATGAGTTTCTGAAGGAATGATCTCGTCAGGAAAATTAAAAAAAAGTTGTATTTTAGAATTGATTTTACTTATTTGTATCAAATTTTTTAATTTATTTTTTCTATGCTGCCATTTAATCAGAAAAATTATGAATGTATTGAGTATTAAATTAAAATATCTATTTCCTTATAACAATTAAAAGCAGTAGAATTTTAATATAATCTATCTTTATTAAATATGAATTTATGTAGGTAGTGGTAATTTTATGTAAATTAATTGTATTTAGGAACCAAACAACATGCCTTATTTTATAACTCAGATAAAAGGGTGGTTAGGTAAAGGCTATACTTAAATAACCAATTATTCTTTTTAATCCAATTATTAAAAATACCACAAATTTATAATCTTTAACTATATTTTTACAAAGAAATTAATAATATCTAATATACGATTTAACCAGAGGTTTTTACAAAAATTATAGATTAATCATAAATAATTCAGATATTATTAAAAAAAGTTTTAATAATATTTTAATTATGTTAACTTATACCTATAATCATGAATCTACAAACAATCATGAGGAATTATCCTTAGCTAATGTAAGTCTTAAAATAATTTTTGCAGCAATAATTTATTCTATAAGCATTGTCTAGTATGCCAATGTAATTATAGTAGAAGGAAAAATCGCTTTAAATTGAGAATACAAAATTAAAAAGTGAAAATATAGAACTCTAATCATAGCTCAATAAAGTAGAGAATAAACAACAGGAATTAATAAATGAAGTAAATACATTGCAATAATTTTAGATTTAGGATCTTAGATAGTTAGTGAAAAGAGTGTACCAAGAAGGAGAGGTTTAGATATAGTATTAGAAATAAAAAAATGTACTATTTTATTAATAATGCCAAGCAACAATTAGAATATAAAAATGAAAGTCTAGCAAAGGCTTTGTTCAATCTATAAAATAATTTAGAAACCTTTGCTTAATTGAAAAATTTATCCAGATATATAGATGACAATGAGATTTCAGAAAAGAGTATAATGGAAAATCCTTATATTAAATGATTATTATGTAATAATGAACATCGTTTTAATTTACATTCTATGTTAATATTCTAATTATAAACTTATTCTAATTTATTTATCTGCAATAACAAATATACATTATAAATCTGAGCACAAAATTAATATGTTAAATCCACATCATTTTTAAAGATAATTTTTTATTATACTAATAAATTGAATAAGAAAAAAAAGATAAGAAATGTGTGAAAATTATTGTAGAATGCAATTGTTATATCAACTTCGATAAAGAAAGTTAATGGAAAATAATTAATAGATTAATATTTACGATAGGATTAAGAAGAGAGCTTCGAATCAAAAAAATTATGAATAAGAATTGTCATTTAGTGAGTCTTTAGAAAAGGAATCTATTTTTCCTATCATAATTCGAAAATCCCCTTAAGAGTATAAGGAATAAATTTAAAGCATAAATACTGGCAACAATAGGAGTGTACCTTAAAACAAAATCAAATTAAATTCCAAGCTCACAAATAATAATCGATCTATCTCAGTAAATAGAAAAGTTTCTCCTTTTTATGACAAAAGCGTCAATTATGAGCAATTTAGTACAAAATTAGATAAAGAAAAAAAAACAATTGTTGTTTTCTCTTAAAGAGAAAATCCTTTAAAAAATGATTATATCTATAGATTTTGTAAAAGAGACTCTTTCTCAAGTTAATCTGGAAGAAGCAATTATAATATTTATTTTTGATCAATATATAATAATTTTAAAAAGTATATATGTATATGTTTTGTAAAGTTCTAAAGATAATAAACTATTCAAATATGAGTTTATTCCTTACGATATCAATATAAGAATTAACTATTAAAAACAGATCTGATTGATCAAAAGTAAAACACAATCATCATTATTAAACACAAAATCAACAAATACAAAATGGCCTTAAGTTTTCTCACATTCTCTATTTCAACAGTTGCTTCATCTAAAAATAATATTGGTCTTAATTACTTTCATGTCTTTCATCTTTTTCAATATCACCATCTTTAATACAAATAAGATTAAAAAGAGATGGAAATAATCCATAACCAGCAATCATGGCTCCATTGGCCAAATTATTTTGGCCAAGTTGATTGGTATTTCTAACTGGATCGTTTCTACCTGGTTTAGGTCTTGGGGGTATGTTAGGATCGCGAGGTTTGCTAATTATTCTAAATGAAAATACTTAGTTTTAGTTTCATCCTTTGAATATAAAGGAATTAAAGAATTTTTAGAGCAACCATTCTTACAAACTGGGCATGTTAGAAATTCTTGATTTGAATTAAGCCACTAATTATGTTATTTTTTTCTATATACGCTATATATACAAGGCCAGCAAAATAGATGTCCACAATTTGTTAAGATAGGCTCTGTTGCTATCTCTAAACATATGTTGCATTCAAACGCTGATTCAATTAATTATAATTTTGAGTCTTCCTCTTGCTTACTCATCAATTTATTAATATAAAATATTAATCTTGTTTAATAAATTATTTAGTTTTACGCTGTTATTCGTGACAATAGTTTTGATAACTAATTTAATCATCTCAGAATGTTGTGATTACAAATATTTCTCGGAAGAAGTAATCAATAAATAACATAATTGAGGAATAGATTGATAAAATGAAGATTTTATTGATGATTGTCCATTTAGGAATCTTACAATATGAAGAAGAAGATTCTTGATGTCAGAGAAGGAGAAGAAACACGTTTTATATTAACAGATTTGAAAAAAAAAAAATCCAACTAAAAATAGACTTAAATTATAGTAAAATATAGAGCATATCACATTGACTAAGGAAATTTTAGTAAATAATGTATTAGAAGTAATTTTATTTATTCTAGAATTTACAATAGAGATTACCTTAGGAGTTTTCAGGAACATATCATGTTTGCAGAAATCATAGAACTTTATTAAGTATATGTAATCATGACTATATATATACAAGAAAAATTATTTATACAAATGGTTTAAGCAAAAAATTATTATTTTGTAGACTTCATTTGACCCAGCCAGAAAATTAGAGAGTATCTTGAAAGTATTACACAGCAAACTCATGAAGATTAAGGAGGTGGCGAGTATGAATATGTAAATGAATAATTTGTAAAACCTTCAAATACAATAATTATATTGAATAGACATTCTTCTTCTTCATTACCAATCAAAGTGCCACAAAATATTCTGAAAGCGTAGCTTAATGGGTCAAATTCACTAAAGGTACTATTATTGTATATAATTATTCATATTCATTCATTAATAATTTATAACACTCAGATTCGCCTTAAAAAGAACATTTTGTAATTCATTTACAATTTTTTTTCAATCATGATTAAATAATTTATTTTAATTATTGAAATTACGATTCTTTATATGTTATTTTATATTTATCTTATATATA